CTTTTTTCAGAACACAGTAAGGCAGGGGTGGGCAAACATTTTTAAGGTGCATTTTCCTTGGGGGGCGGGAATCTTTTGGGTTGCATGCTAGCAGTTGGCAGAGTCAGAAACAAAAGTGTTCCTCATTTACTAACCCAGAAGGAAGACTGCCCTACTTCAGTTTTCACAGTGGCTTCCTCAGATGTTTATAGAGCAGGCATGTCCAAAGCCTATTTAGGGGGCCTAATCTGGCCCACCGTTCGATTAAATCCAGCCCCTGTGGCAGCATAAAAAAGCTCAGCAACTTCAATCCCCCCCAAAAAAGCTCAGCAACTTTGGTCGGCCCTCAAGCATGTTCACTTCATCAAATCTGGCACCCCTGTTATAGAGCATGGTGAATCGGAATCAGCCTTTGTGCTTAGCAGATAGCATTCAGATTGAGGCTGAAGCATAGCGGGCAGCCTTGACCCATCAATCTTGGTCCAGTAGGTTTGCTGAAGGAACCGGAGGACTGGTGGTACAGGAAGTGAGGTGTTGGAGGCTGCCAGAGGGTCAGTGGTTCCGGGCACACTTAATTCTCCCCCAGTCCCCACCTTGCAGATTCAGAATCTCGAACCTTTGCAGATTAAAAAAAAAAAGAAATGTTTATTACCTGTTCTTCACTCAAGGTCCCAGGATGGGTTATATCATAATAAAACAATTAAATTAAATACATAAATAATGACTCTCACTAAAAGGACAACCATTAAATAGATGAACAGAGGATAATAATAATAATAATAATAATAATTTGTTTATATCCTGCCCTCCCCAGCCGAAGCCAGGCTAAGAGCGGCTAACAACAATCAAAGTAACACAGCATTCTAAAATCATTCTAAAATAAATTCAAAATCAAATTAATGGCACCCATTGGGCTAGAGTTCTGTGAGGATATTTTTTTGGGTGGGGGAATATGAACGAATTCCTATGCCCCACAAATAACCCAGAGATGCATTTTAAATAAAAGGACACATTCTACTCATGTAAAAACACACCGATTCCCGGACCGTCCACAGGCTGGATTGAGAAGGTGACTGGGCCACATCCAGCCCCCGGGCCCTAGGTTGCCTGCCCCTGCTCTAACCACTGCACTGCACGAGGGTGTTTCAGATGGCTGCATCTGAAAATCCGCGGCATATTCAGCTGACCATGCAGACACAGTGAAGCAGGAAGCTGTGCTGGCCCTGAAGAAAACAATAAAAGGAAATGTTCTCTTTCCCCCACTCATATGTCATGCATATCTCAGCTTCCTTTCAAAAGAAACCTAAATGCATCAAACAATCCAAAAGGGATTGTAGGTGGACATGTTTTGAGTATTCGTTTTTATGTAGAAAGAGCCAAGTGATAGCTGGACCTGGATCCTGAGTAGAATGAGAACGGAATATCACATACAGCTTGTGATCTTAAACATAAAGGGGATATACATCTTCCTAATATGGGTTTAGAGCATGGGTAGGCAAACTAAGGCCCAGGGGCTGGATCCGGCTCAGTTGCCTTCTAAATCCGGCCTGCGGACAGTCCAGGAATCTGTGTCTTTACATGAGTAGAATGTGTCCTTTTATTTAAAATGCATCTCGGGGTTATTTGTGGGGCATAGAAATTCTTTCATTCCCCCCCCTTCAATATATAGTCCAGCCCCCCACAAGGTCTGGGGCACAGTGGACCGGCCCCCTGCTGGAAAAGGTTGCTGACCCCTGGTTTGTAATGGTAATGGGACCCCTGATTGTTAGGTCCAGTCACGGACGACTCTGGGGTTGCGGCGCTCATCTCGCTTTACTGGCCGAGGGAGACGGCATTTGTCCGCAGACAGCTTCCAGGTCGTCAGAAACTATGCAGACACTATGATTTCTGTTGAGGTCTTTTGTGTGTGATTTAATATTTTGTTGGGAGATGCCCAGAGTAGCTGGGGCAATCCAATCAGATGGGTGACTTCTTCTTCTTCTTATTATTATTATTATACATGTGAAGCATATTTTCCTCAAAGAATTCTGGGTGCTTTAGTTTGTAAAGGATTTATGGGAATTATATCTCTGTGAGGGGTCAATGATAGTGCCCAGAACTCTTTGAGGAGGAAAAGGGTAACACAAATGTGATTTCAAGGTATAGTGTGTGTATGCTTTTTTGCACACAATGCCCACTGAAATCAACGAAAAAAGATAGACCTGACATTCTTTTCACATTGATTTCATTGGGCCTAAGGGCAACAAACAGACTGCAGTCCTGTAAATAAATGCCTGTAATTGAATACAGTTGAACTCAATGGGGCTAACTTGCACTGTTAGGGTTTGGCTGCACTGGAGTTTACGGTTTGTATTCGCATTTAATTTGCATAGTCCATCTTATGTTCCCCTCAAACGCAAATCTTTATGCTTTCCTCCTGAAAATTTAGGTTTACCTAATGCAGGGTTAATCCAATAAGTTGGGGGAAATGGGGCTTCATACTATTTGTTTTGGTGAGGGTTTTTTTGGTGGCGGGGGGTGGGATCAATCGTCACTTTCTGCCACTCTTTCCACGCCCACTACTTGCTCAATTATTTCTTTTCTGGGAGTGCTTGTAACTCGTCCTAGTTCACTCCCCCTTTCATTTCATCTCTCAGAAAACCACACAAGAAAATTTACAATTGCCTATGTGCTTCTGCACACTTTTGAGTGGGTTTAACACACACACCAAAAAGCCCTCTTTGCATGACCTCTTGATATATTTTTTTTGCATAAGAGAACCAACACATTAGAAGGGGAAGGCTACTGTTATGAACGGAAATACATGTGAGTGTAGATCACTCTTGTCTAACTCAGATAAGGGGAAAGTCAACCAACAGCTAAATAATGCTTGAATGTAGACAAGCCCTAAGTCTGGAGTCAAATTATGATTTTTAAAATTGTATTCCTTCTAGTAGTATTTATGAAAGCAGAAGATGTGATAGTTGCTAGAAAAGGCCAAAATCAATCATACATGTGGCAAAAACGTGTCTAATTTAAATTTTCTTGACCTCTGCCCCCTTCTCAGTAACAGCATAACTTGACTGGATGACCACCTGACCAAAATCTGGAATTTGGATGAGATGGCAATTCACTTAAAATCAAATAGTTTTTGGAAAATGGTCTTGTGGGTGAAATTGGGACCCCTGCTGGGCCAAATATGACCTATGAGTGAGAAAGTTATAGGGCTGCAATTAACTATTATACATTCTATTGTAGGTCAGGTCACCATATCTATATAGATCTGTAAAATTAATTACTTCCAGTGACAACATTATGACTTGTATATTCATTGACCGCTAAAGAAGACCCCCTGTGAGGGCTCATCCACATTTCTGCTTGTTCCGTGTCTAGAAAGCACAACTCTGAGCGGTTTCCCCCTTGCCCCACTCCTTTCCCAGGGAAAACTTGTTCTTTTGTGCTCAGCCAGAGCAAACATCAACCTGGAGAAAACCCGAATTGCTGTTTGCTCCAATTGAGCCCTAAAGAGCAGTTTTCCCCAGAAGAAAGTAGCAGGAAAAGATAAGCCCTGAGTTGATAAGCCCTGAGTTGAATTGAATCTGGTGTTCAGCATTCATTTTATCGTGGTCATCAAGGAGTTGGTCGCCTGATGTATAGGCATCACCTTACATTGTTGTGTTAGTAATGATTTAACCTAATCAAGGGGAGGGTTTTCAAATGCATAGTAAGTAACCACACCTACCCGTGTGGACTCAATCTAGATGAGCATGAATGGTTCCAGACTGAGAAAAACTACATTGGTCAGGAAGACTGATTGTAAGAGCCCTGGGTCACAAGTTTGTGTGCTCCTGACTGGGGAAGCCCAGGTAATGTTGGTAATTATTATTATTATTATTATTATTATTATTAATTTGCACTCCACCCATCTGACTGGGTTTCCCCAGCCCCTCTGGGTGCCTTCTAACATACATAAAAGCATAATTAAACATTAAACATTTAAATCTGGTAGCCAGGATTGTTTTATTAGCTTCACCCAACTGCAGACGTTTCTAGAGAAGGTAGACCTAACCACAGGGATCCATGCTCTGGTCATGTTCATACTGTACTCCTGTAATGCATTTTATGTGTGGCTGCTTTTAGAGACAGTCTGGAAACTTCAGCTGGTTCAGATTGTGGCTGCCACAGTCCTAATGGGTGCACAACAGTCAGCTTCACCAGTTCCTGTATTATACCAGCTACGCACTGACTTCTGCTATGTTTCTTGGCCCATTTTAAAGTGCTTAAGCTATAAAACCCTAAACGGGCCTGAGCTATGTGATGGACCATGTGCACCCATACCATCCAGACTGCACACTGAGGTCTCAGTCAGAGGCCATCTTGGTGTGTCCGCTGCCTAGGTCTATGAAGTTGGTGACCATGTGTCAGAGAGGACCTTTTATGCAGTGATTGTTCCTTTGGCACAGCCAGTGGAACTGTGCTAACATTGCTGAGCTGCTTGTGTGTCACTCTGACTTGCACCTTTACTTTACTATGTTGTGATTTGGCTGGATTATAGTCAATATGTTAAATGTTTTTAACCATTGTGGTTCCATCATTGATCCTATTAGGGCTTAATTTGATCCAGGGCTCAGCACAGTGCCTGTTTTCTGTGCAAAGGCTTCCAGCCCAGGATATATGAAGTGAGAAGACAGGTCCCTGAACACTGGCATTTTTTCACCCATGAGTAAACATGGGAGTCCCCCCTTGACAGGGCCTGGGGAAGAGCTTCCAGCCTGAGCTGTTGGTCAGGAAGACTTGAGCCCCACTATTTATTCTGCTGTTGATTGCAGGAGGCAAAAGCAAAGCTGAAGTCGGCCCTTTAGTGATGCGCTGGTTCTAAAAGCTGAAAGCAATAAAAAGGATATAATCTGCTAACTTGGAGTTCAGGATTTCAACAGGCAAAGAGCAACAAGTCAGTTTTAAAGAAGAGACTCTAAGATTAACAGTGTCTGTTAATGGTCAACTAACTTGCAGAGTTAGCTAAACTGTCCAGATCAGATGTGAGCCAACAGGAAAAGAGAAGTGGGGGGAGGTTCAAACAGGAAAGGATGTATCGGGAATTAGTTGGAACAAAACTGGTAAAATGTGCCTTATGTTGCTGAAGTGAAAATTAGGAACCAGCAAGGCTGGGAGGTAGGTGTACTCTCTCTCAGACTTTTTGTTTGTGTGTTTTGATTCAGTTCTGTGGCTCTCATGGGGCCGACCCTATCATTAGGCAGAGTGAGGTGTTTACTTCAGAACAAGGGCAACAAATTGTTAGCTATTCTAATTTTGTTGTTGTATTTTGACTGTCGGGAAGAGGCACTTGTGAGATTTTTCTGCCTCAAGTGCCAACATAACTTTCCCTACTATGGTCCTTTGACCTTAACGTGGGTTTGGGGTGAGGCACCATTTGGCGTTCTGCTTCAACTAGCAAAATGTCTTGGGCTGGCCCTCTCTGCGGCTATTTCAGATACTGGGCAACTAACGCAGCTTTTTGCAGGAAGACTGAACGCATGAGAAGAGAAGAGAAGAGAAGAGAAGGGGATTAGTCTGTAAAATAAAATAGTTGTGGTGCTGGGTGTGTGGGTGTGGGTGTGGGTGTGGAATGGCAAACTGATGTAAAACTCAGCTTTTCAGGAATTTGCACAGGATAGATTATTTTCTCTTCCTAGAATATGAAATCCAATGAACCCTTAAGTCCTAAGTCATTCCCCCCCCACTTCCATATGCACACTTTACACTGTCTTTCCCCCTATCCATGTAGGTCTAAATGACAGCTGGTGTAGTTTGGGGGTTAACAGAATGAATTCTGAATGACAACTGTAAACAAGAGCTTCCCAGCTGGTGTCTACCATGGGTGTGCAAAGTGGGGGCCATTTTATAATTAAGGAGAAGCAGCGGGAGGGGGCAATTTACTATTGAAAGTTTATTTCCCTGGCTGTAGGTTAATAAGGGGGAAAAGGGAATACGGCAGCCGGGAAAGGATGAAACAGCCCCTCCCCCCCATCTCCTGCTTCTTCCCTCCAAATGCACCCCAGCAAATCCTTGGCAATTGATGGCATCCATTTAGTTGGGTTTCTGGTGTTTGCTGCTGAAAAGCAGTTCTCTTATGGGTGCAGGATGGGGTGCCATAAATAGGAATATGGTTATGAGCCTTGGCTGTATCTCTCCTTTTCCTTTGATTCCAGAGAGACAGCAGAAGTCTAATTTTTTTTATCTGGGAGCAATGATTAATTGGATCTGGATTAACAAGCTGAGGTTTAATCATGTAAAGACAGAGAGGTGCAACAGGAGAACTAATCTAGGATCAGCTGCGCAGCCTGTTCTGGATGGGGGCTGCTTACTTTAAAATATACGGGGCTTCTTGAAAGATCAGCGGCTTAAGGGTCTCCTGGATCCTGCCTTGGTCCTGGGTGGTCAGGTGGCAACTATAACTAGGACTGTGTCCATACTCCCATCCGGTCCAGTGTGATCCCAGCACTACTTTGGGAAGATGTGCACCCACAATGTTAGCAACAACCCATATCCTGTATCATATGAAATACTGCATTTTTATGTGTTTCCTCCAAACCAGCTTTGATCCAAAGAAGATTAAGAAGAACCACCACCCATTATTATTATTAATGAATTTTAACCATTTTAATTTTACCTTTATTAATTCCCCACATCATTACTCCATACTGAATAATACTAAATTATTCCATCCATGTCCATAGTCCCTCCGCTAAGATCACACATTGGACCAGTATTCTATTTTTGTTTCTCATTATATATCTGCTTGTTCATATCCAGATCCATATGTTCAGCTCCGTGTCCTGTTGTGTTTACAATGGTATCCCAATCTCCACCTCTTAGACCTTCCATTTTTATTTTCCCCAGTCTTTTTCCAGAGATAGCGCCATGGTTTTAATAGCAACATTCTCTTAATTCACTCCAGATTGTATGCAAAGTACTTTCTCTCTGCTAAAACTAAAAATGGCCAGGAATGAAGACTGAAAGCTTTTTTTCTGCTCTTCACTTCATCAACACTATATCCAGATAGTTATCCAAATCATTTGTGACTTTATCTTCTACTTCTCCTCTAAATCCTTGTATGGAGGTCATCTCCATTTCCCTTTCCCTTTCCACATGACCACCAGGTTCCTTCCATTTGATCATTTCTTGATCTAGTCCTGCCAACTTTTCATCAGTTTGGTCTGGAGCCTCTGTGTATTCCCCATTTCCATTTTCTGCCTCATATTCCTCTGACTCCTTTTATCCATTATCATCTGGTTCATTTTCTTCATTTTCATCAAACATTGATCAGATCATTTTTAATTGTTCAGCCATCAATTGCTGAACAATACCAGCAGTCACTGATTGATCCAAAGGTACCTTCACCATATTAGATGCTTTTAATGTTTTTGTTATTATTAGCCACTCAATCCACCTTAATATAGCCTGCTTAAAAACTATAGTCTTGGACTTCTGCAGCTGTGACTGTTATCTAGAAACAAATTCTTTTTCTCATGAGAGACATTTTCTTGAGTTCTTTAGTGGAAGTGGTAGCTCAGTCTCATAGCCACAATACTATATCACGTCAGCGACACCAACAGAGTTTGTGTGGTAATTTGCTTTTTATAGAGCTGGTAGTACCTGAAAAAGATGGAGTCCTCAGTAGCAACAGGAGAAGAACAATTTGGCACATCTGTTTCTGAGTATGATGCTGTCACAGAGGGAAAGAATCCTTGCATCTCTCCCTCACACCTGCAACCCAAGCAGAAAACCAGCTGGGAAGAGAACGCCGAGCTACTGGGAGAGAGCACCTCTCCTTGCAAGCTTGTGCCTTTGTCCAATGTGAATGAGAGAATTGCATTGCAGCAGCAGCAGCAAAAAGGTAAGGCCTGTTAACGTCCTCCAGTTGTTTCGCCTCTCCTCAACCCTCAAACATACAATAATAACAATAATAATAATAATAAAATTAATTTTTTTTCCCCAGTAGCACCTTAGAGACCAACTAAGTTTGTTATTGGTATGAGCTTTTGTGTGCATGCACACTTCTTCAGATACCTGAAGAAGAAGAAAAGTTCAATCTGCTTCAATACTCATATGTTGCCAGTGAAACTATGTCAATTATGGTAGCATTGCAGTCTAAAAGGGAAAATCACAGGGGTAACGTTGTATTATTTATTTGGTTTTGTTCTTAGAAAAAGGAGTGTCTCAATTGAAGTTCTGTTAAGTAAGGGGATAATTTGCATTCATGAATGCATTCAGCTTGCATTCAACTGGCTGTGGTTCAGGAGATTACTCTGCATGCTTCATTACTTAAATTCCCAGTGTTTCTGCTCATAATATTATTCAACACATTTTTAACAATGGAATATTTCTGCTATACATGATGAAAATATCTTTTTGACATTTCTGATGTTTTAGATAGGTACAATTACTTGGAAGTAAGTTCCATAGTAAGGGACGCGGGTGGCGCTGTGGGTAAAACCTCAGTGCCTAGGGCTTGCCGATCGCATGGTCGGCGGTTCGAATCCCCGCAGCGGGGTGAGCTCCCGTTGCTTGGTCCCTGCTCCTGCCCACCTAGCAGTTCGAAAGCACCCTTAAGTGCAAGTAGATAAATAGGTACCGCTTTATAGCGGGAAGGTAAACGGCATTTCCGTGTGCTGCGCTGGTGCTGGCTCGCCAGAGCAGCTTCGTCACGCTGGCCATGTGACCCGGAAGTGTCTCCGGACAGCGCTGGCCCCCGGCCTCTTAAGTGAGATGGGCGCACAACCCTAGAGTCGGACACGACTGGCCCGTACGGGCAGGGGTACCTTTACCTTTTTAAGTTCCATAGCGGTACTTACTTCTGAGTTAATATGCATAGAACTGTACTACTGTTGGTATTCTAATTTTTACCACATTTATTTATTTATATTTAGTATATATAGTATAGTCTTTATTCCTTGTCTTTCATAATAAAAAAGTGAAATACTGCAAATATTCACATATCCTTTTGCAAAAGGAAGAGGCATCTGCAAGCCACTGCCAATCAAAGTAGACAGTTCTAAGCTAGATGAAGTAATCTGACTTCAGTATAAGGTAGGTTAATCATATGTTCATATTTACAGTCTACCCAACACATATTTTCAGATTTACCCCTGAAGATAACCATGGTAAGATGTAAGACTGGGCTTCCTGACTCTCAGCTGCAGGGTTATCTGAGAGGACGACTTCGTCTTCTGGAAAACGATGACAAAAAAGCCAGGGCAGTTTTCTGTGTAAGTCATTTACAACCAGTTATTATCCACAATTGCCTTCAGTGCCACAAAATTAAGCTTCCAGGATCTATAATAAGCCATGGGAATTGGTTTTGCACAGCCTGCTATCCTTCGTGTAGAAAATATGGCTGGGCATCCCTGTCTCTGTTACCTGCAAAGCACAAAATGGTCACAACTTAAGGGGGCAATAATTTTAGCTCTGTAGCTGAAGTCAACCTTATTTCTTGATGCTTTATGATAAAGCAAAGCTGTCAACTTGGCTGCCAACGCTTAGAATGCTATAAAGCTGAAATAACAGCACCTGCTGTATTCTCAGGCCAGTTATAGTATTCATCTTTGAAAGCCCTAAATGGCCTGAGAGGAGGGATATTCACAGGACCACTTGCTGCTTTCAGGCGCCTGGCACAGATAGGAATCTCTTTCCGCCCACTTTGCTTCCCAGGAGGCGTTTCCACCCCCTCCCCACTTTCCTCACAATTCAACCCAAGAAGGATTATTGCGATGTGCCATCTGATCAGACGAGCGACAGGAAGGTCGTCTCTGGATGAAGATTAGCTCCACCCCACCCCACCCCCGCAGTCCTGCTCTCCCCCCCCCTCTCAGCTGCTCCCCCGTCAGCTGAGCCACACAAGGGGAATTGCAGGGAAAGGAAAGTTTAAACCTTCCCTCCCCCTGCCATCATTCTGATGCATCCCCACCACCGCTGCTATTAAGTTTAATAGTAGCAAGGGACCCAATTATCATGGGGAAATGCAGGGGAAGGGATATTTAACCAGGCAAGAGGTCTGGGAGAGAAAGAGTGTAAAGTACTGCTAATCCTTCCCACTGCCATTTCTGGCTCAGTCCACTGCTGAAAGATTAGTCCAAGTCCAAGTCCAGCCTTCTTTGCCTCTGCTGGTTAAAACTTTCCTTCCTCTTCACTGCCCCTTGTGCTGCTCAGCTGAGTGGAGCATCCAGGTCAGGTTGGTGAGAAGGGACCTGGACAGCAGACAAAATTTAGGATTTATCTAGAGGGCCCCCACTTCTTTTTCCTGCAGCTTGGCTGGGTATGTTGTGGCCCATGTAAGATCATAGATTGGCACTGAAGCAGCCCAGGGAGTGCAGATTGCACACTTCTGAACAAGAAATAGAAAATGGCAGTTTATAAGGTGCTACTGGACAATATTTTATTTATTTTTATTTTTATTCCCTTTGGATATTATGCATCATATCTGGAGAATGTATAAAACTCAGTAAATATATGCTCATTTCCCAAGACCTGTTGGAAATTAGGTATATTGACTGGGAATATGGAATTCTCTCTTCACGAAAGGTTTGTTTGTTTCATACAATTTATATACCACTTGATTATAAAATAAAAAATAAAAAAAATCTCAAAGCAATTTACAAAACAATACAATGATCAGTAAAAAAACAGTTAAAAATTATTTAAAATGTTCAAATTAATTAAAACAGCAATAAGCTAAAAATGGATTAGAACATATGTGAACATTCTGCATATCTGGTTAGTCTTTGTCTAAACAAAAATGTTTTTAGTAGGCACTGAGAAAAGTACAATGAAGGTGCTTGCCTGATGTCAGTAGGCAGGGCGTCTCAAATTGTGAGTGCTGGCACGCTGAAAGATTGATTTCTTTCGAACACTGAACAATTATTATGTGGCACCTGTAGCAGTGCCAGTTCCGCAAATCGAAATGGTCTGGTGGCAGATATGGCATAAGGTGATCTCAAAGATAAACTCGCAGGATTATGTGCACATTCTCTGAAACCTGGTGACTCTGCACAATGGCCAGTTGTGTACATTGACCACTCAACTTACATTCCTATTAACACATGCAGGGCTTTTCTTTCCAGCTGGAACTCACCAGAACCGAGTTCTGGCACCTCTTTTTCTAGGAAAAAAGCCCTAGTTGCAAAATACATGTGTGCTTTTTTGCTTTACTCGGTCCAGCTGGGTTTCTCTTTCTCACTCCAATCACTAATGTAGCTTCCGCAGGTCTGTTTCTCTTGGGGCAAACCTGTGGTTTAATTATTTCCACCATGGTTTTTTCTCTTTTAGCTCAAATATGATTTAACTGGTTCCTTCCATAGGACTCACATATATGTATTGTCTTCATCTGTATTGGAACTGTTTTTAAATATATATATATTTTAAAGATGTTGCAACGAATTTGTATTGTTTCATCACTTGTTCGCTGCCCTAGGCTCCCTTGGGAGGAAGGACAGGATATAAATTTAATCAAAAGCAACAATCAGCAACACATGGGTGTTTTTGCCTTTCTTAGGAGTTGTCTGCCAGGCTGCTGTCCATTCACAGTGAAGACCAACTAATAGTGGTGACATTTTGGACCTTTGAAGAAATCTGGAAGTTTGTAACTTATTATTCCCTTGGTAAAGCACTTCTGCCTATAGGAAAGTTAAGATTTTTTGTGATTGTTGCTATTGTAAATATAAGTCCTCACAGTACATTTCTTCATAGTAAGAAATATAAACCAGCTTTTTTCAATGCTTGCTATTTTTTCTGCTTTCTTTTTTGGACACATGCTGTTTGATTTTTACAGGTACCAAAGGGCTTGAAAATGGAAGGGTTTTCAACATCTTTACTCATTACTCAAAGTGAAAACACTTGTAAGGATGAAATATTTATCAGCATAGCTTCCACTAGATAAAACTGAGGGCTGTAAACTCTCCATTTCTGTTTGGCTGAAGATGGGTGTCATAAACTAAAAGTACATAATTGAGCACTATGATGACGATGACAATGATATTTTATTTATTTTATTTTATTTTATTATACCCTGCCCTTCATCTGTAGATCTCAGGGTGGTTCACAACATAAAATTACAAAATAAAAAGCACAAAGTACATAATAAAAGTAAGAACAAAAAACAAACTAACAGTCCCCCATCCAACAACACATTTAATAGGGCACTGGGTGTTAATAAGCCAAAGGCCTGATTGAAGAGGAACATTATTGCCTGGCGCCTAAAGGTGTATAATGAAGGCGCCAGGCGAACTTCACTGGGGAGAGCATTCCACAGACAGGGAGCCACTGCAGGGAAGGCCCCGTTCTCACGTTGCCACCCTCCGGACCTATCGTGGAGGAAGCTCATGAAGGAGGGTCTCAGATGATGATCTCAGGGTCCAGGTAGATTCATATGGAAAGAGGCAGTCCTTGAGGTATTGTGGTCCTGAGCCATTTTAAGCCTTTATAGGTCAGAACCAGCACTTTGAATTGGGCCCGAAAACTAATTGTCAGCTACTGTAGTCCAGCCAGGATCGGTGTAATGTGCCTGAACCATTTTGCTCCAGTAATCAATCTGGCTGCCAAATTCTGCACCAGCTGAAGTTTCTGAACCATCTTCAGAGGCAGCCCTACGTATAACATGCTGCAGTAATCTAACTTTGAGGTTACCAGAGCGTAGAGCAAATAGTTTTTATTCTCCATGCTTGCTTTCAAGTCCTTTTTCTTTAGTTTTAAAAAGTTTGTTTCATCTCTGTTACGACAAATGAACTGAATTCAGAAATGCATAAAAAGTAGGTTACATGCACGGCCCTCTTGCCCTAGTTTTCAAAATCAGCCCCCTAAAGGGTTCATATCATTGAGGGTGGGCAGAATTAGTTTATGGATGAAAGGGGTTCAAATAACCTTTGCTGTCTTTGCTTCCAAAAGGTTATAGCAGACGCAAACACTATGCAGATTAGAAAAAAACATTATCAATCTTATTCCCAGCGAAAACATGCCCTGGCCAGGATATTTTATTTCTAGGCCACCTTTTAAGGCAAAGATCTCGCAAGACAGTTCACATAAAACTGTTACAAAATGATAAGATGCATTTCAATAAAAAAAACAGCAATCTAAAACAGTGATCTTGGAACTACTCACAGGTCAGCTACACCTTGTTACCTGCCCTTGTTTCTGCTATTACCGGCTTTATGAAAAAGGGACTTTTAAAAAAACCCCACTTACACTGAAAAAATTTCTTCGGCAGGTTTTTTAAATCATTGTATGGAGAATCTGTTGCTAGATGATTATTTCTGGCTCTCTTCATCAGAGGAATCAGTTGGAATTGATGTTAGTCTTGATGAGGAATGTCTTGGTATGATATACAGAGGCCTATTAATTCAAGAAGGTACTGAGTTTGTATTAGTAATTGTCCGGAAATACTAAATATTCATGGAGTTAAATTACATGATGATCTTTGGGAACAAATGTTGAATATTCCATATTACAAAATGCCGCGGTGTGGGGGCCCCTCTCAGTAGAAGGAGGAGCTTCCAGCCAGGGGTCCAACTCTTCAGGGCAAGGGGGTTAGTGGAAAAAGGGGAAAAACATTTCCCTGCCTGGTTTTCCTGAAACCCCTGTTTGCCCAGGACTTGATAGTGGGGTGGGAGAGCTAAAAATAATGCCAATATATTTCACATCCAGCAACCAGTGCACCCCATTGGTTTCAGATAGTACATGAGTAGTGGAAGACAGGAGTGCCTGGCGTGCTCTGCTCCATGGGGTCACGAAGAGTCGGACACGACTAACAACAACAGATGAGTCTAAAGAGCCTGGGATACAAATTTTCACGGCCCTCTAGTGGCTATGGTGGCTCATTTACCCAGAAGTAATGTATTTACGCAGGTGGCGCTGTGGGTTAAACCACAGAGCCTAGAACTTGCCGATCAGAAGGTTGGCGGTTCGAATCCCCGTGACGGGGTGAGCTCCTGTTGCTCGGTCCCTGTTCCTGCCAACCTAGCAGTTCGAAAGCACGTCAAAGTGCAAGTAGATAAATAGGTCCCGCTCCGGCGGGAAGGTAAACAGCGTTTCCGTGCGCTGCTCTGGTTCGCCAGAAGCAGCTTAATCATGCTGGCCACATGACCTAGAAGCTGTACGCCGGCTCCCTCGGCCAATAAAGCAAGATGAGCGCCGCAACCCCAGAGTCGGTCACGACTGGACCTAATGGTCAGGGGTACCTTTACCTTTACCTGGAAGCATATACTTGATTCTGACCAAACTAAGCCTTCTAGAGCACAATATACATCAGGATCACACACCCCACACACCAAAAACCCAACAACCCATAGAACCACAGAATCATAGAATTTTAGAGTTGGAAGGAGTCCACCAAAGGTCATCTAGTCCAACCCCCTGCAAATACGACCATAAAACCTTCATCACCACCCCTTATTTGATTTAACAGCATCAAACATAAAAGAACAGACAATGGTCAGAGTGTACTTCATGTTTCAGAGAGAGAAACGCCCATCCCACAGGGTCTGGGTTGGCTCATTTGGGGTTCATTTTATGTGGCTCATGTTAAAATGACTGCAAAAATACTTGATATGTTTTCAAATACAGCTTTTTTCTTAAGGTACCTTCTTTGTATATCATAATGAAAACGTAAGTGAGAGAAGAGCTGCAGACGCTGGAGTCGGAATTCACCAGCTGAATTGGTCCGCTACTGAGAAAGCTCCTGAAGAAACGGGGGGAAACCTCGCTAAGGGCTTGCCAGAGCCCCTGATCCCGTTCCATCAGTAGGTCTCCGAACTTAACTTTCAGTTCCACCTGTGTGTGCACGTGTATTTGCAAATATACACCAAATGACTGTTCTGTAATAAAAGTACATGCTCATTTCTTCATATTTTCCTCCCAGTTTTACAGCAGATGGAGAAGGATTAATATTTAAATGTTTTGATGTCTAGTGAAAGTGACAGCATTTTCTATGCATGGCAAGAATTGTTATCTCCTTGAACGTATGCCATATCCAACCTGCACACAAAATATAGCCATTTGTCAAAAAAGAAAAAGAAAAAGAAAAAATTGGCCAGCTTACCATACAAAACAAACATGTGAAAAGAGTGTGCAACGGCAGAGGTGTTCAGAAGACACAGACGCCCTGGATTTGTTCAAGGAATGTTTGAGGGCAGCAGTAAGATCACGTGGGCCCTTCCACGTTGACACATGACTCTTGGCCATGCATGCAGCACCAGCATGAAGAGGGCAGAATTCCACCTTCCTTCTGAATGCACAGCCTTCCATGTGTGGTCACTCACTGCAGACAAGCATGGCTTGCAGGCATGTTCCAAATGCCATCTCAAGAATTCACTGAATGCAACAGGGAATTGTTTTGCATAGCCCTGATGTTGCTTTGCTTTTTTAATTGATGGCTTCCGATGATGAAATGAGCGGTCTTGAAAGCTCTGCCATTTTCCATTTGGAATAAACATTGCTATATAGAATAGTGCGTAGGGCTTTAGGTTATCATCTTTATATACTAAAAACTAAGTGTAACATTTCACAGTGAATATTTTAACATAGCTCTCTTGCAAATCTAAATTTAGCAACAGCAGTTAGATAATATATATAAGCAGCCACAATCCAGCAGAGTTAAGTGTGCCTTGAACAGTGGTGTTTTGCATCACCAGGAAACTGTATTAATATGCTCCATCATTTCTCTACATTTCTGCCTTTGGTGCAGTTTCCCTTTCTTATAACCAAATGAGCACTGAAATTGACCTGATGTTAAAATTGCTATTACTGTTATGGCAGGCCAAGCTAATTTCCTTGAACCTTTCCCATGCTAGATGGTTTCTGAAAGAAAACACAGACTCTGCTGATTTTGCTGTAAGAAATGAATCTGCAGCCACAGATCAAATAGGTAAGTAACTGCTATTAAGACAGAAGTTGTAATAGTTCTGATGAGTTGTGACAAGAACGGAAATGAGAAAACTCCATTTTGTGCCTTGCAGTTCGAAAGCACCTTAAAGTGCAAATAGATAAATAGGTCCCGCTCTGGCGGGAAGGTAAACGGCGTTTCTGTGCGCTGCTCTGGTTTACCAGAAGTGGCTTAGTCATTTCTCTCAGGCCTTGAGAATCAGCAACCAGCTGTGCCCATAGCAATGCTGGAGGTGGGATTCCCCTGTAAAAGGAGACTATACTACAGAAGAAAGCGGTGGGTGGGGAGAGCAGACTGACCAAGGAAGTCTCAATCAGCTCCACTCCCAGGCGCTGCCCAGAGAAGCCAGAGCCCTGTCTCTGATTGGTTCCCTGGTTTGGGAAGCCCCTTCCCCACAGCCAGGCAAACCATATGGGGAAAGACTGTGGTCCCTCCTAGCACTGTGTGCTGCTGCAAACTGGACTCACTGGTAAGTTGGGAATTTATACTGACAAAAACGGAATGGCAGACAAAATTATCTGAGTATGCTGAGATGGCAAGATTGACAGGGAAAGCTTAGGAATCAAGAAGATCAACAATTTAACAGAGAATGGGATAAATACAGACGATATTTAAAAGATCACTGTAAACATGTAAAATCTTTGGCAGGCTTTGAATGACTCCTGCAATGTGATATAATTCTTGGACGTATTGGATAACTGCAAAATAGATGCTGTTTAATATGCAGTTGATATAGAAATGTAGAGAGCCCAGGTTGGGAAGGAGGGAAGTCTCAATACAGGAATAAATTTACCTTATTCCCAACGTTTTTTTACTTCTTTTATTTACACTACTGATGGAGAGTTACAACTGTGATTCATTGCATAAAATCAATAAAGATTAAATAAAAAATAAAAAGTTGGGAATTTGACCTTGTGGCAATGCCTATGCTTTGAAACCAGTTTGCCCAGGACAACCAGCCATGTTGCATCATTGTTTATCATAGGAGGCCCCCAGGCGGTTTTGCCTTTGCCCCACTGCTTTCCCCCAGGAAATCCACTCTTTAGCAATAAACCAGAACAAACAGCAATCACAGAAAACCCAGTTGTGTTTGTTCCGATTCAGCACTAAACTGCAGGTTTTCCCGGGGAAAGTAGCATGGCAAGTGGAAGTGTGAATAAGCCCTATATCAACGCTGTGAAGCTGGCTTGGGTGTTTTATACTTTGTGTTGGTGTGTTGCATATTTATATAGTTTTGTTGTCTGTCTGTCCTCTATCATTGCTTGGTTCTCCCCCTTCCACTTCTTCTCATAGCAACCCTCAGGTTTTGAGGTACTATTGTCCAAGTCACACAGTGAGCTTCAAGGCTGAACTGGCCCTAACCAGTCCTAGGCTGTGTCGTGATTCAGATAGGGACATGATCCACCTGCTCTCAGCAGCCAGAAACACCATAACCAGACACTGGAGAGACCTGTCAGGAGTAAGCATGGACCAATGGTACCAAATAGTATGGGAAACAGCCCTACTAGAAAAATTAACTAATAAACTGAAACTGACACAGGGACAAACAGAAGAAGACGCCTTCACCCCGGTATGGCTCCCCTGTATCACATACACAGCCCAACAGGACAATGACAATAATCCACCAACAGCATACAAATCAATATGGCTAACCTGATCCAAAACACCCACCCACCTCACTCACACACGAAAACAAAGATCACCACAGCCAATCACAAGCAAACAATCACACCCTAGGCCAACCCCAACCTCTCTCACCACCAAAGGAACACAAGTGAACAACACAAGCAACGCTGACACCAAACTCTACATACATTAAACATAATAGAAACACCGCCACCTGACCCCACCCCCATCCATCTTCCCTCTCTCCACCCCCCTTTCTTTTTTCTTTCTTTTTTCTTCTCCCCCTAATGCCTCAACAAATGAAACGGATTTGTAAAAATGTTACATGAAAAAAAAAATACGAGGCACTACACTTCTGTAAAACAAGAAAATCCTTAATAAAATATTAAAAAAAAAAAAAGATAGGGACATGATCTCACAAATGGGTCATTCAGATCCAATATTATTGGGGCCTGATTGATACATGAGGGTCCACACGCTCCCATTTTTCACTCTGCATATTAATTGTTATTCCCCTGCTTGCTATCCACATCACTGGAGAAAATATCCTCTGTCTTTTGTTTTATTTATGTTTTGTCCCTCCCCGTCCCTCACTCTCCTCAGGAAAACCTGTTCTTTAATGCTGAATCAGAACAAATGGCAATTTGGGTTTTCTGCAGTTTGCCATTTGACATTTTCTGGAGGTTGCCATTTGGGTTTTCGCGGGGAAAGCACGGGGGGGGGCACGAGTGCTCAGACAAGGAGCTTTAAAGCGAGAAACATGGCATGAAAGGAAGTCTGGACAAGCTCTAAGTTTCTAGCATTAAACCGCAGCTTGCTTGGCTTTTAAACAATATATTTGCACAATTCTGATTTAAGAGAATTCTGCAGGATTTGTAAGAATTAAAACAATTTGAGGCTTCTTAGTTCTCTGAATAGGGTGCGTGCATGTGCCAAATGTCCTGTAAAATCAGACAATTCCTCTCTCCCAGCCATCTCCAAACAACACCTAACTTAGAACAGCTCAGGAACATTGTGCTGCTGAGAATGGGGAGGGGAATCAAATCACTTAGATCATATGGGAAGATGAGCAGGTGAATGAATCCTGGGTGTGTTAGCTGACATTTTGGGGTCTTTTAATAGTGTTGCCTAAGTAGATACGGGAACAAAGTTGACTTCTGGGTTTGTTGGAGGGTCTGGTCTCTGTGTTTTTATCTCTGATATATGGCCTGTTGTTGCTGGTGTGAGTAACTACTTTAGTCCACATTGGGGCAGGGGGATCCCTACTTATCATTACTGTGAGTCCCTTCTCACCACCTGCAAATGCTGCTGTTTGCTGTAACTGAGAATGGCTGTGCTGATACTAGAGTGGCTGGGGAAACCCAGCCAGGTGGGCAGGGTATAAATAATAAATTATTATTATTATTATTATTATTATTATTATTATTAGTCACCTGTAGCATCCAATTATGGCATGCAGCAAGTCCCACTCAACCCAACTAAATCACCTCTTTCCTCTTTGTTACATCAAAATCTATTTACTCTTATTTCTCATGTGACTTGTAATACTAAAAGTAATGATGTTGACAACATATTGCCTTGATACCTTATTTTAAATAAGTTACTGTATTTCCCAATTCTTTGTTATTCAGCCACAGGATTTTCTGTAGCAATTGTTAGCCACGAAAGTGCTGTGCCTGAGGAAATTGGCTTCCAGAAAGGAGACAGAATTGAAATTATTGGCTACTTTATGAAATGCATGAAGTGGTTTGTGGGAAGACATGCCCCTACTGGCCAAGTTGGTTTTGTGCAGAGTAGCCATGTCAAACCTGATGACTTCGAAACGACTGCAGCAGAGTAAGTACTATGGATGACCATAAAGCCAGGCAGTTACTCTATCCACCAACAAATTCCACTTTTAGGAATGTTTCTACTGCTGTGCATCGGAGGTCATGAATGCACATCTTTTACTCCAAAATTGGGCATTAGAACATAGAACTCAAAAGCTTTCTAGCTAACTATATTGCAGTAAACACAGGGATATTCTGTTCTCCAGTTATACTTACTGCTCTCAAAGGCTAGAAGTGACTTCCATTCATGGGCGTAGCCAGGATTTATGTTAGTGGGGAGCAGAACCTCAGTTAGTTAAGTATGTTTATTGATTTACTTGATTTGGGGGGAGCAGCTGCCCCTCTGCCCCCCCCGGCTATGCCCACTAGGTATGTTTACTTGAGGAAAACTAGAGAGAATTTTGGAATAATAGCTATTTCCAAGTGGCAGTTGAGACTGGAAGCCTTCAAGCACAGAACTGACAGGTTAGCTCAAAGCAGTGCAGTATGCGAGATGCAGGATCATTATCCCTGGCTTTGGCTTTGGTTTTGGTGCTCTTGTTGCATGCTTAGGGCTTCCACAGCCAAAACAGCATCTTCAACACCCAGCACAACACTCTGCCCCATTCACTTTCTTCCTTTCTGACAGCCTCTACTTTCTGAAGGCCAAATGTATAAGTTTTCCCCCCTTGTTTGACTGCTCCTCTTGTTCATAGCCAAGGACAGATTAAGGTAGTTGAGGGCTCAGGCACCCTTCCCAAAATAGCCTCCCCCAGGAACACATGAAACAAGCAACCACAAAATAAGTATTGTAGTATCTTTCACAGTTTCACAAGTCCCAGCAAACCCTCCCCCATTTATTTTTAATTTTTGCCAACCTTGACATGCAAAAATAAGACACTCTGAGCATGTGCAATTTCACGTTTTAAACACCCTAAATTCATCATTGTGTTTGCTCACTTCCAGCCTTTCGGTTTGGGGGCGGCTCAGGGGCGACTTAAACGACCCCCGTGGGCCTTAGGTTGCCTACCTCTGTCCTAACTCCTCTGTGTCGTGTGCTTCCTTCAGACCACCATGCCTGGCTTTCTTTGAAGAGGAGCATTCTATTTCTGCAGAAGAAACTGCCCTTTTGGAAGAAAATGTGGTGAATCTCTTGGGACAAACATCACATTATAACATTTGCAATTTATATCAATTAGGTAAGCAACTCCAGTGTTGTGTTCTTATCTGCATGTCCACACCTTTCATTTTGTGCTGTGGAATATCCAATAAAATGCCAATGTGGAATATCCAGTAATATTGTTTAAGTCTCACTGAGCTCAGAACAACTTAACTGTAACAACTTTCAGATTCAATAACTTGAGTTATTCTGGAGAAAGCTAAAGTCTATTACAGCTAACCCCAAAAAATTATTTTTCGCAAAACATCCAAGTATAAAGACAAAAACCATCCATATGCCAATTAATATACAATAAGGATAAAATCCTCATTAAATATAAAAACTGCTGTCTCCTGGCTTTGACCTTTCAGCCTTCCTAGTAGCTCCTTTTTGCAAAAATATCACATCAAACAACATGCAGAATCCAATGATTTCATTTTCATTACAGCAGCTGTTAAGACTTAAAATCATGAGCAAGTTGTTCAGAATTCATATTCTGCCTTGCTCCTGTTCCTTCAGCACACCACAAATGAATTACAATTTCTACTGGCTTCATTCTGTGAAATTTCAGATTCTTATTTACAAAATAAATGCAATAGGGCTATTGTGATCCAGGGTTGTGCTTAATACACCAGAAAATGACCAGGTGGATTTAATGAAAAGGATTGTGTTCACATTGCATATTTTGTGTAGTTCCATCCTCTGCAATAACTACAGCGATGGGGTGGCTTAAATGTTTTTCCTTCTATTATCAGATGGCCAGGAAGATTTTGAATTGGAGAAATCTACCGAGCGAGGTAAAAGGGCAAAGCAGAGGGATTATCAATATGTGCATCTCCCCACACCCCGACCTTTTCAAAGTGCAAACAGCTGCATTGGACTGTGGAAAAGGCCCTGCAGGAAGCAGTTCAAGCCTTTCCTGGTGCCATTTCCCTGACTGGAATCCTGTCCGCTCTTTCCTCTGTCTTCCCTAGTTTGGTCCAATGTTTTTCTTGTAGTTCTTGATATTTCTTCTCATGCAATGAGATAAATGTGTATCAACAATGTAATGCAGTTTACTTTTTCCTCTGAAAAGCAGATTTTGCCGTTCGTTGAGCAGGTGCTGGCTGCTTTGGACCAGACCTGATCTTATTATTTCTGTTGCTATTTTCAGGTGGGATTCAGTTCCATACTGGCAAATTCCAGGTTGTGCCATTGCAGTTGATTGCAATGTCTTACACAACAAGCCACTTCCCCAAAATATCAGACTTCTTGCAAAAAAGAAAGTGACAGAGAAATGCAATGTGACGTTTGAGATAGCACTTGCTTGTATGCAACACCCTCTAGTCTCCCCACAAACCAATCAGAATGAATGCTCATTAAAGAGCAAACATTGTCTAATCTCTCTGCAGACAAATCAGGATAAATGTCCCATAAGCAGGTCTTCTGCTGTAAGTGCTCTGAGAATGTTATTGGATGTTGCTTGTGATATATATATGAAGTACCTCAGGCCCACATGTACCCTTGCTCTGCTTTGCCTATGGAAGCCCCCTCTCTCATACATGGTTCATAAACTGACTTCTGACCTGGTAATTAGACCTGGGCATTTATCACAATGAATTATTATGACTTATGTTTCCCTTACTTCCTGCGATTCTCTGTCTTTTGTATTTCAGAGATGTCACATTCCTTCCTTAACAAGCATTCTGGCACAATGAAAGACAATATGGTGCATTCCCTGATGAAAGCGAGAAGCTTACAGTTGCACAGGGAAGAGGTCAAGGATCAGAAAAGGCCATTCTCTGCTTCAGATGAGGAGATGCCTTCTAAATCCCAGGATCCACACTTCTGCATATGCCCAGCTGATGGAGTTTGTGGGCCAGAAATCCTTGATTCCTTACTGTTGTTTCTGAACTGCAAAGGATATGAGAGCAGTTTCAAAAGCATATATGACCTCTCATTTTCCTTTCTTAGCACCCTATTCCATGGCTATGCAAGCGAGGAAGATCTGGTTGATTATTTTGTACTGGCAAGGGAAGCAGCCAAACGAGCAAGTCTGCCAAGGGCTTTGGCGCGACTCTGCTATCTCCTGGGAAGAATGAGTGTCCGGAAGTTCAAGCTTTCTCAAGCTCGGGTTTATTTTGAAGAAGCTTTGGCAACAACACAGGGAGATTTTAGTGACCTCTTCCTTATAGCTTCTCTTTATACAAATCTAACTGGTATCTACCTGAAACAAAAGAACAAGGAAAAGTGTGCTTGCTTTTTTGAAAAGGTTGCTTCTTTGCTTATGGGAATTCCCAGCTATATCAGCAGCACCAGAATGGAATCAGATATTCTGAAGTATGCTTTAAAAAGGGCAGTGCTGAGTCAAAGCAAGTATGCAGAAGCTAGAGCATGCTTCCTGCTAGCAAAGCACTATCTGAACTTTCGCCAGGGTGAAGAAGCCCTGCCATTCCTAGAAAGGCTGCAGCTTCTGAGTAATGCCTTGGGTTTACAAAATGGCTCATTGTCAGTTGATTGCTATTTTAAGCTAGGTCCACTCTACAGTGAGAAGTGTTTGCCCCACCTTGTGCTAAGCTGTGTTAAGGTCGCCTCTTCTTGCAGCTCATGTACTTTGTTGGAGTTATTCAGAAGCATTGACTTAGTATTTAAAAATGCTCCCAAAGTCCATTGTTTGAAAACTGTGGGACAAAGACATCCCTCCCAGACTGCATATTATCTCAGACAAGTACTCCACTTGCTAGAGACCAGCAAAGAACACCCAAAGTTGTGCAGCATGGTTTGTTGCTATCTATCTCTACTATATAGCCACCACAAACAGTACGGAAAAGCAATCAACTACATGGAGAAGGCACTAGATACAAATTCACATTCAAGCAGTGAAGAACTTATTGGTCATTTAGTTTTCCTCAGTTGGCTGTATATTCTCCACCAACAAAACACGGTGGCTCTGGACATTTTAAATGCTCTAGTAGAGTCTACACAGAGCAGTCATCAGCAGTTAGGTATTGTTTATAACATGATTGCCATTGTTTTAAAGAGAATGGATGATACAAAGCAGGCAGCTGAAAGCTACTATAAAGCCCTGAGCATTTCAAGAGAGATGGGAATAGTACATAATCAGGCTGTGGCTTTGGCCAACCTTGGGATTCTTTGTCTGCATTCAGCTGCCAGAAGTCTTGGAGAGCGTTTCTTAATTAAAGCAGTAACACTGTTTTCTGAACTGCCAAGTGTTGAGTGTGGCAGAGATTTTATATACATCCTTCTCAGGCTGGGAAGCTACTATGTCAGTGGAATTTATAAAGATAAAGGGAGATGTTGTTTTGAATGGGCATTTTTGGTAGCAATGGAAGCAAACCATTTGGAAGGTACGTATATTATCTTGCTTTCAAAACTGGGGTAACTTGTATTTCAGGGCCACCGTTGCAGATGCTAAGATGAGAAGTTATCTCTGCACAGTTGGTTCCCTTATTTCCTTTGTAAACTCATTTGCTACTCTTGAATTAGCTTGTTCATTCTTTGTCATAATTATCCATGGACTTCCCTGTGTCCCTTCCCTCATCCTACTAGAAAAAGCTTCTCAGGACAGAGATTGCTACCTCCAAATTCTTCATTTGTTATAATGAGCTGGAACCAGCAATGGATGTAAATACTAGGGTGAGGTGATAAAAACCGCCGCTTTCTATCAAACCCCTAATTAGGGATGGGGAAAGAACCTTCAGAAGTTGGGATTCCTAAGCCAACACCTGCTCCAATCAAGGTGCATTGTGACCTGGATCAGATCATGAGTCCTTTTCAGAATCTGCAGTCCTGTTGATCTCTTTACGACAGAGACGGCCAAACTTGGCCCTCCAGCTGTTTTGGAACTACAGTTCCCATTATCCCTGACCACTGGTCCTGTTAGCTAGGGATGATGGGAGTTGTAGTCCCAAAACAGCTGGAGGGACTAGTTTGGCCATCACTGCTTTACAAGGTATGTGAGGGCTGCAGCGCTGCCTCCATCTGGTAAAAAAAATGTATTTCCTTTTTAACAATTTGGTTATCTAGCCACCCACAGCCTTGAGTGGGGCAGGTGTGTGTGTGTGTGTGTGTGTGTGTGTGTGTGTGTGTTTTGTTTGTTTGTTGCCATAAACACTGGAAGCGGCCATTTTTTTCTGTACAATTCCCTTTGGGAGTGACAGAATGACAGCTTGCCCATGTATGTGTTGGCCACTTCAGCTGGATGACCAAGATTCTTGGAATGAAAGTAATTATAGATCAGTGGATAAAAAATGCAGCATTTTTTTATTTGTCTAATTCATCAGTCTCAATAAGCCAGGGAGTTCTTTTGTATGAAGCATGAGTTCAGCCTATTAGAAATTACTCTGAGCCTTCAGGAAGTCATGGGCAATCCAAGCCCTATCTCTATGCAGTGACCTTACAATAGCAGCGTGGTCCCTTGGAACCAGCATGTTCCATTAAATCATTTGTTCCCTTTTCTTTATAGGGCAGCTCCAGGCCGTTCAGCATCTGTGTCAGTTCTACAGTACGGTTCTTCCAGATGAAGCTCTGTGTGTCGTCTACAATGAGTATCTACTCTCCTTAGTTAGGAAAATATCTGACAAAGTCATGGAGGGACAGATATTGGAAACAATCAGTCAGCTGTATCTATCTTTAGGCACAGAAAGGTAAGAAGAGGCAGTTGGGGAAGCTGATTTGTCTCAAACTGAAAGCTTTTTAGTTACATTGCTAGTTTTATGCCAATGAGCCAGACCCAAAGGTGCCCTTCCGCATGCAAAAGCCACCTTCCGCTCGTGGGAAAGCTGCTTTGCACCTCATGCTAGAGCTTTATGCAAGAAAATGGAAACTAATGCAAAGAGCTTCTGTTTGACCTAGAACAGCCTTCACCAGCCTGGCACTGTCCAGAGCTTTTGGACTACAACAGTTTTTGGACTACAATTAGCAGGGGCTAAAAGGAGTTGCAATTCCAAACCTCTGGAGGTCAGCAGGTGGATCTGCCCTAGAGCTTCTGCAGCCTCTTTCTCAAGTGGATATGTAACAGCAGCAACAGACTATCTGTTAGCCCTGTAAAGCTGTTGCACAGAGTGCTTGGATGTTTTATTTTTTGTCTCTTAGTTTTTTGTAGCTTACCCATTTTATTTCATATTATTTTGATGCTCTTAGCTGCAGCAGCACTGAGGTGCAGAGAGGCAGCAACTAAAGATGCCGGTGCAGCCCTGCCACGGGGCCACATTTGGAAAAGAACTTCAGTGCCCTGTTAAGTCAGACTCAAAGGAGAGGCAAGCGCTACAGGGGCCTGAATCTAGCTTGGATAGAAACTGGAGTCAGAAAACAATTGCTGCCTGCCAGTATGCCAGGCGTTGCTGAACTGCAGCTTCCATGACTTGTGTAGCAAGCACCATTTCTTCTGTTATTCTGTTTTGGGAAATGGTATGCCATTGATAAGAAGCAAATCCTGCTTCTCATGCCAGAAAATGGAATAATCAGGGTAGAGAGCATGTTTAGGTCTGCAGTCTGTCTCTTAAATAAGTGAATGGCTGCCACGTGGGGGACCACATGCACTCAGACACAACATTGCCACAAGGACAAGCCCCATTCATCACTGCTCCTGGTGGATGGCTTGACCACTACGGACAGGAAGTCATAAGGGAAACTTGCGCAATTGCTTAGCCTTCCCTCCATGCACACAGCCATCCTCAGGGCTGGCCCAGGATGTTTTGGAAGAGAAAATGGCACACACACACACACACACACACACAGCCACCACTTTCCTAGTCTAATGATTGATAAATAGCCACCTGATATTTCATCTTAAGCTTCAAGTAAATTATTAGTTGAAATGTGTTTTTGTTTTATTTGCACCATGAACCGACAGTATTAAAGCAACCAGTGGATATATTATGATGGTCCGCGGTGACTTTGACAATAATAGTATGTGGTAGCTGGAAGAAGCTTCCTTGAAAACAAAGTGGCAAACCGTGTTAGTGGGGGCAGCTGTTTCCTTTCCTTACTCTGAGTGATTTCCTTTAGGGCATACAGATCTGCCCTGGAGTACACTAAAAGAAGCCTTGGGATATTCATTGATCTTCAAGCAAAAGAGAGAGAGGCACAGGCTTGGCTTCAGGCAGGAAAGATATATTACAAATTGAGGCAGAACGAGCTTGTAGATCTTTATATCCAGGTAAGATGAATGATGCCTTGGGAATTGAAGCTGTGATGGGATGCAAGGAGGATGCAAGGATAGCTGGGTTAAGAAGAGATTGCATAGGTTAAAAATACAGTTTAATGTCATCTTTGTCTTCTGTTATTTTACCTCAGTGATAGAACAACTGTCTAACTCAATCTGGAGCATATAAATTAGGAACATGTTAATCTGATTAGAAAGCAAAGGGAGAGAACAAGTGATGCCACATACATGGGCCATGAGTGATCTGCAAAGAGACGTCGTCATACTGAGATATTTGCAAGCTTTTGAAATGCTATGTATGTTTGAGCCTTAGTCCAAGTGGGTGGATGTGCAGCTGTTTTAAAAGGTATCTTCGCATCCTCCCATAAACAAGAGGCAAGTTCTGTGAGATCACCTGTAAAAGTATTGGATAACAGAACAGAGGAAATTGAAGTTTTGGAAGGGGACTCTGGTGTTCAGGTGGGCCTCAGTGACAAGGGGCTCATCCACACTTTCTCTTGCCCTGCCACTTTCCCTCGGGGAAACCTGATGTTTGCCACTGAACTGGAGCAAATGTCACTTGGGTTTTATCCAGATTGACGCTTGTTCCAACTGAGTGCCAAAGAGTGTGTTTCCTGGAGTAAAATGGCAGGACAAAGGCAGAAGTGCTTGGGCCCTTGTTTCCTAGGCATGCGATGAGCAGAACTGTGGACAAGACAAGAGTTACTGGCATCACCTCCAATTTGCTAGAGCAGGAGCAGCTGGTGTGGCCAGGTGGTGCCTTGGATACTGGCATTGCTGCCACTTACTTGGGCAGGCCAGGGCAGGATGGCAGCAAGGTTAGGCCTGCATGGGCGCACCAGACCCAATCCGGTGCTCATACTGCTCTGCCCTGACCCCATCCAGGCAAACAGCAATGATGCCGCTGTTGGGCACTGTCCCACCACAGCGACTGCTCCTGCTTTATAGCCTGTTCATGATACGTCACAAAAGAAAGGCTGCATTGAAATACTTGTGGAATTATGTACTACAGGAGTAGCCAGTGTGACACCCTCCAGATGCATCGGTCCTGGCTACAGGCCATTCTGGCTGGGCTGATCCTCTCTACCCAGTGTAGTGCTTCTGTTTGAAACAGTCACTATTGTTGCTTTAGAGGTCCAAAATTATGAAATCTCTCTCTCCTCCCTCCTCTCTCTAGGTTGCCCAAAATGCTGCTCTGTGTACTCGTGATCCTAATTTGCAAATGGAATTGTTTGAAGCTTCAGGAGACATATTTTTTAATGGAGAATGGGAAAAGGAAAAAGCAGTGCCTTTCTACAGGGTTGGTTTTCTGTTCTCAATCTTTCTAACTCTGCTCCTGGTCAGAGGGACGAGGCTGCGGTTGTGACCCATATGAGATAATGCTGTGTGATATGTGATATTGCTTTGTGAAAACACATTTTCCAGTAACTCTTTAAACAGTTTTTGGTGTGTTTTTTGTACTCCTTTTAGGACAAGGCTCTACCACTTGCTATTAAGATGAAGAACAGCAACGCTGAGCTTCGACTCTTCAACAAACTGGTGGGATTGCTGTTAACTCTAAAGGTGTACGATGAATGTCTGGGGTATGCACAAACAGCATTAATGCTCAGTGTCAATTTAGGTAAGGAGAATATATGGAAAACTGTATAGAAGTCTTTTAAAAGTCACTTGGGGCCTATTCAGACATACATATACACCGCTGCATTCCGCATTGCTTAAAAATTGACAATTCAACAATGTATGAACTAGCTGTTGAAAAGCATGTTGAAGGGGTACTAATCTTCTATTTGTGGATGATGACCCATTTAGAGACTGCCTTTCCCCCATATGAGTCCACCCATCAGCTGAGGTCATCTTTGAGGACTGTAATTCATGTTCTGTAAGCTCATGACATTTGGAGCATTTGCAGCAAGCAGTAAGGCCTTCTCTGCAGCTGCCATGATGTCATGGAAGGATTTCCAGAAGGAAAGTGTGCACTTCTTCCTCCTGAACTCTAGGAGTCAGACATTTTTGTGGTGGTCCGGCTGTTATACCACTGCTGGTTGTTGTTTCTGTGATAGGCTTTCAACTAATTGTGCTTCTAAATTTGTTGTATGCTACCTTGAAGTTAATGGGCATTATCCAGCAAAGTAGTTTCATGCAAGGATTTCTGTGCATGCAACAAAACTTCATCTCCCCAGATCTGCTCTAGAGGGTTGAGGGAAAATCCAGAAAAGATTTGGAGGCATGTGAGAGACAGGGAGGGGAAGCTGTGTTGTGCCACCAGAAGTCATTGCGCTAATGGATCTACTTGGTTGGTTTACCACCCAATTACAATAGGTCAGTTGGAATATTTGTTGTTGTTTAGTCGTTTAGTCGTGACCCCATGGACCAGAGCACGCCAGGCACTCCTGTCTTCCACTGCCTCCTGCAGTTTGGTCAAACTCATGTTAGCAGCTTCGAGAACACTGTCCATCTTTCCCAACATCAGGGTCTTTTCCAGGGAGTTTTCTCTTCTCATGAGGTGGCCAGAGTCCTGGAGCCTCAGCTTCAGGATCTGTCCTTCCAGTGAGCACTCAGGGCTGATTTCCTTAAGGATGGAGAGGTTTGATCTTCTTGCAGTCTATGGGACTCAGCATATGAAAGTTGGAATATATTAAATTCAAAACATGCAAATCAATAAACGAGGTTGCATATTCATCACTTTGTGACTGCATGTGTAAACCAGCCCTTATATTTCTCTGAAAGGTTTCTATGTCCCATGCTGTGAACACAATCTGTGTGCTATCTTTATTCCTTTACACTAGAACAGATGTTCCTCCTCTTGCTACAACAGGGTTAAAGAACTTGAGGTCTACAAGGAAAACTGAGCAATCCTCAAGTGACCTTGTGCTTTTAATTTAGTGTTTACCCAGTTTTGCATAGTTGGATATTAATCTTTAGCTACAATGTTTGTGGACTACCCTATAACAGAATATGCACCTCAGCTGGGCTGCTCCGTGCAAGGAGCAAGGGAGCAGGAAAGTGGGTGGGGGAGAGAATATTGAGGGGCTGTTCCCCCAGAATAAAATAATTGGAGGGGCCCAAGGGACCCCGGCCCCGTTGGTTCCTATGGATATGACTCTTGCCCTTTTAATGGCTGGAATGGAGCTGGCTGCACATTCAGAGCTGTCTGTACACACATGCATGTCTCCATCTAGCCAAGCAAGACACATTAACAGAATCCAAGGACACGTTGCAGACAGGAATGGGAACGCCCATAGGCAGGGCCAGTGAGGGGTCTGGCCTGGGGGGAGTTGGGAGGCATCATTTGGCCCCCAAACTTCAGGTTCCCAATCCTTGTTTTGGGGCCGTCTCAGGCTGTTATTGTATTTATAAAGGAGAAAGATATTGCTTGCCTCATTTCAAAGGGGCTTCATGTAGCAAGTGGAATTAGCCCAGGAAGCAAGAATGACCTTCTCTTTTGATTCCCAGTAGCAGTTTCCATCTTGGGATTACGTGTGTCTTTTAATCAAACTAGTAGTGAAAGGGGAACTTATAGTGTACAACTGTACAAGGAACACATGCCTATATGTGATATTGGTGCATCTCTCTCTTAGTGTGCACAGCTGGACAGATTAAAAAGATTCCCTTCTTCTGTCCTAAATGCACCCAAAAGGGGGCAAACAGATGGTGCAGGATTACTTCACAAATGCAGACTTTGAACCCTGCAAGGGGAAAAGATGTATGTACTGGTGGCTGGGGAAAGCTGAAAATGGTTAGCAGGAAAATAGTTAACCAGCCTCTTCTCATCTAAGACTCAAAACACTCTTTTATGAAGATGACAGAGAAGGGATCAACAGGCCACAGTTTGACCTTGGATGTTTGAATGCCAGTCCACTGAAAAATTTGTGTGGTAATACGATATTTAAGTTCTACCTGTAATGGCCCCTTCACACATGCACATGTGGAGCATGTATGTGTGAATCTGACCCAAGTCATTCATCGATGTATACAGTGCTGTGCTTGTTTGTTTTAACTCCTCTTTCGATTTCCACACTGTACTGATTCTTTTGCTTACCTCATTAGGGAATCTGTTAAATGAAAGGATAGCCTATCACCGGCTGGCTGTTATCTACCATCATCTAGGGCAAGTTGAACTCACTGAGCACTTCTTCTTAAAAGCCTTGTCTCTCTGCTCCTCACCTCTTGAGTTTGATGAGGAAGCCCTATACTATGTAAAAGTGTACCTTGTTCTTGGAGACATTACATTCTATGACTTAAAGGTGAGACACTTGGATGGAATTGATATATGAATATGGAAAATATTTTTGCATGCTCTGGATTAAGTAACAGGACCGAGATTATACAGCCTTGCCATGACTAGGTGGGTTGGATTCCAGTATTCCAAGTCAAAAATGTCTTACGAGGTGCTGCCTTAGTAATGGTTTGTCAGTTTGCTTGCTGGTGTGAAATGAATTGGACTATTTAATTCCCTGTTCAGATGATTGGTGGGTGAAAGGTTAGTGTACGCTCCCACCGCTGGCTTCTGTTTCTGTCTTCCAAACATTTGTCACTTTTTTTCAAGACCTTGGGCATATTGATTGAGTCCCACGAGGAAGCTTCTGGAACAAAGTGGGCAAGTTGTACCTTTCAGTCCAATGATGTTCTGCCCCAAGTTCAAATTTGTAGAAACACATTTTAAAAAGGGAAACAAGCAGTTTGGGGATTTTGTTTGTAGCCACTTTGTTTTGGTTGTTGAGGATTGGGGTGCTGTCTTGCTCTCAAAGATGATGAATCGGGATGAGAGAGGAGAGTGGGGTGGCCTTGGTTTTAGTCATATTGCTGGGTTTTGCTTAAGATAAAAGACAATGTTTTCATAATGTTGAGTTTCTGAGCTGTTCCATAATTTTATGGAGCAGATCAGATTCAACACCAAGTATGACTTAGTCAGATACCGCCCTGTCACTAAATACAGCAGGAAATATAACAGGGAGAGGCATGAAGTTTAAAGTGTCTGAAAGTCTTTGTGTCCACTAGGGCATCAGTGTGTGCATGGGTTGCAGTTTCTGTGTGCACGTTCATGTGCCTTTATGACCACATGAATGTAGTCATTTTTATGGCTCCAAAATCTATTTTGATTCTGAGGTCCATTGTGGGCATGAACCTGGGTATTTGTTTACCTGTTCTGGAGAACCTTTAGAAAAATACTATATTGCTTCCTTTATTGGAAAAAATCCAAATTTAGTGAGATAAAGTACAGGCTGCTACTTGGATGACGAGGCCATAGGCACAACAAAATAGGCACAACAACTCACCCTCTATGAATTGGAGTGACTAGAGTTATAAATGGCAAAAATAATTGTCACACTTCGCAACAAGTAGCAATTTTGCTGCCTGCAAGGTGTGATGGTTATTCTTAGGTATTATTTAGAATATTTGTAAATGGTTGTTTGTATGAGGCTCATATCTTGCTGCCCTGTTTCAGGACCCTTTTGATGCTGCTGGATACTATAACTTGGCCCTTGCAGCTGCCATGGACTTGGGCAACAAAAAGGCTCAACTGAAGATTTACACAAGACTTGCGATAATTTACCACAACTTCCTGGTGGACCGAGAGAAGTCTCTCTACTTCTACCAAAAGGCAAGAGCCTTTGCCACAGAGCTTAATATTCGCAGAATAAATCTAGCCCCCGATCAACGTCTGAGGGCATCGAGGGAACCGTTGAAAAATGCCAAGTGAGGACGTGGCATGAGGGGACTTTGTGCTGAGGAGATTTTGATTCTCTCTTAGCAAATTGTAACATTCCTTGTGAAATGGTACACGGTGCATAGGGCTCCTGACCTGAATGCCGGTACTTTAGCTCCTGCTCTTGCATACAGAAATGTGTTTGCAAATGTGTCTTCTGTCCCCAAATGAGCAGCTGTATGGGCTCCAGTGAAACGAGAGCAAAAGGTTACTGGAGAGCTTTGGCAACAATCCAGCTTACAAGCAGATTTTGGACCGAATTGTTCACATACTCACTGTTGGAAACAGAGGAATCTTAAAATACGATTAACTGAAATAATAAATATACTGGCTGACTCCATCTGTAATTAATTACTATGAATGTTCTGGGATGTGATTGTGAAATATTTGTTTCCAAATGGGGCTCAGGAATAAAAAGTTGTAATATATCCCATTCCCACCTATACCTGAGCTAGTGTCTGAGTGAGCTAAAGACAAGTTGACATGAGACAAATGTAAAATGACAGAATAATGAAGGAGTAAGCGAAGGAGCAAGGCAAATTTTGAGCTGGTGCAGTGGCTCTCTCCACTGCCCAGAGAGGAGGTGCCACCACCGTTTGTTTGTTTGTTTGTTTGTTTGTTTGTTTGTTTGTTTGTTTGTTTACTGGAAGTGGGTTTGTTGCACAGCAGCACCAAATCTACTTTAATTGCACAACCTACATTTTCCAGTCTGCGGCAAAACTTCACTTACCAAAGAATACCAGTTGGGAGGCAGCTGCAGTGTGCAACGCAGAGCCCCGCTCTCCCCAAGCCAGCCCAAGTACATACACAGAGTTGTACACATTTAGCTAAAAAGGTTTATAACTTCTCTGCCCGCGAGAGGGCGCTCTGTGTCTTTAAGACAGGCTGCTGAATGCAAGAGCAAAAAGAAAGTTTGCGCATGACATTAAATGTGTTAAATACGCTTGATAAAACTGGGCTTAGGAAGAGCCGCTTCAAATAACCAGTCTATCTTCCACGAAATGCAGCTGTGTGTCATAAAGAAGAAAGAAAAATCAGGGCAATAGTGGGTGTGTGGGTGTGGGTGTGTGTGTGGGTGTGTGTGTTTTGTAGGAGTAGGAGCACAAAATAACCTATCGTAGGTGCCAGTGCAAGAACAAGGTTCCATGTGGCTAGGAAGCCTGAGTACACAGAACAAGGAGAGCTGTGGCACAAAGATTTGGGCAGATTAAATTGCACAAGGAAGACAATCAAGCTGCACACTCTACATGATAGATGACAAAGAAGCACTCACAAGAGTGGGAAAAATTATAGAGTATCTTAAAGACCACTGTAGACATCTAAAAATGCTAGCGGGATTGTAACACTTATAATGTAATATGATTTAAGTTTAAAGGTAAAGGGACCCCTGACCATTAGGTCCAGTCGTGACCGACTCTGGGGTTGCGGCGCTCATCTCGCTTTATTGGCCGAGGGAGCCGGCGTACAGCTTCCGGGTCATGTGGCCAGCATGACTAAGCCGCTTCTGGCGAACCAGAGCAGCGCACAGAAACGCCGTTTACCTTCCCGCCAGAGTGGTACCTATTTATCTACTTGCACTTTGATGTGCTTTCGAACTACTAGGTTGGCAGGAGCAGGGACCGAGCAACGGGAGCTCACCCCGTCGTGGGGATTCGAACCGCCGACCTTCTGATCGGCAAGTCCTAGGCTCTGTGGTTTAACACAGTTTAAAAAGGATATAAAATGAATTAGAAAAATGTAATTAGATGCAATAGAATGAATAGAAAAATTGGAAACCAAGGGAAGATTGGGGGAAGACAGGAGATTTAATCTCAGATGTGTAAAAATTGAAAATTATTTAAATGTATAAAAACATTGTTAAAAAAACGAAAATAAAATGTTTTAAAAAGACACAAGAAGCACACACAGGACTCTGACCTGCCCAGAAAGCACCCCAAATATTTGTTTGTCAACAAAATGAAAGAGACCATCCTTCACAGGGCATTAGGGGAGGGGTAGGACCTCTAGTGGGGCAACAAGTGGTTCTTTTTCGGGTAGTTTGTCCACCTTCGGCCCTAACCCTGACACAAACCCTACCCCTAGCCCTAACCCTTTGGCTCCTAGAGGCTGTCATCATGCAACAGCAGCCACACCCTGGGAACAGCTTCGACTAGCTGGCTAAACCAAGAGAGGGTAGCTGATGCATCTCAAATTCTTGGTTAGTTATGGACTTCCCCTGCATGTGAAGACAGGCTCCAGTGGATGGAGTGGACAAGAGCAATAATGTAATGCTGTTAAATTGTTATTAATTGTTGTTGTTTAGTCGTGTCTGACTCTTCGTGACCCCATGGACCAGAGCACGCCAGGCACTCCTGTCTTCCACTGCCTCCCGCAGTTTGGTCAAACTCATGCTGATAGCTTCGAGAACACTGTCCAACCATCTCGTCCTCTGTTGTCCCCTTCTTGCGCCCTCCATCTTTCCCAACATCAGGGTCTTTTCCAGGGAGTCTTCTCTTCTCGTGAGGTGGCCAAAGTATTGGAGCCTCAGCTTCACGATCTGTCCTTCCAGTGAGCACTCAGGGCTGATTTCCTGAAGAATGGAGAGGTTTGATCTTCTTGCAGTCCATGGGACTCTCAAGAGTCTCCTCCAGCACCAGAATTCTAAGGCATCCATTCTTCAGCGATCAGCCTTCTTTATAGTCCAGCTCTCACTTCCATACATCACTACTGGGAAAACCATAGCTTTAACTATACGGACCTTTGTTGGCAAGGTGATGTCTCCGCTTTTTAAGATGCTGTCTAGGTTTGTCATTGCTTTTCTCCCAAGAAGCAGGCGTTTTTTAATTTCGTGACTGTTGTTACCATCTGCAGTGATCATGGAGCCCAAGAAAGTAAAATCTCTCACTGCCTCCATTTCTTCCCCTTCTATTATTATTAATATATCGCTCATCTGACTGGGTTCTCCCAGCCACTCTGGGCAACATCAAACATTAAAAAGCTCCCTTCAGATGTCATCTAAAAGTCAGATAGTTGTTTATTTCCTTGACATCTGACAGGAGGGTGTTTCACAGGGTGGGCGCAACTACCGAGAATGAAGAAGAAGAGGAATGAAGGAAAATTATGAGAGTGAGGAAAAAAAGAGAAAGAAAGGGACAGCTGAAAAAGAGAAAGAAAGAGACAGCTAGAGGGCAATAGTTGAAAGAGAAAGGAGCAGATAGCAACAGTGTCAGTAAAAATGAATGTATTGCCTAGAATGTTGTTTCTGTTTCAAACATTGCAAATTTTGGACAAAATGGATTGCTTCAAGAAGTGGCAGAGAGATATCTCTAGATTTGTCTGGCAGGGCAAGAAGCCTAGAATAAAATTTAAAATACTAACGGAGGCAAAGGAAAGAGGTGGATTTGCCCTGCCAGACCTTAAACTTTATTATGAATCAGCAGCTTTTTGCTGGCTGAAAGAATGGCTGCTTCTTGAAAACACAGACATTCTGGATTTAGAAGGTTTTAATAATGTATTTGGATGACATGCATATTTGTGGTATGATAAGGTCAAAGCACATAAAGCATTTAAAAATCATATTGTCAGGAAAGCATTGTTTAATGTCTGGATAAGATATAAGGATTTATTGGAAAACAAAACCCCAAGGTGGCTGTCACCGATGGAAGCGAAAGCTCAGAAAAAGCTCAATATGGAGGTCAAATGGCCGAAATATTGGGAAATTCTGGAACAAGAGGGAGATAGACTGAAACTGCAGAGTTTTGAGAAACTAAAAAATAAAGTGCAAGACTGGCTTCATTATTATCAGATAATGGAGGCATATAATTTGGACAAGAAAATTGGCTTCCAGGTGGAAAAATCAAAATTAGAAACAGAACTGCTAGAACCCAAAACTAAGATTTTGTCAAAAATGTATAACTTGCTGTTGAAATGGAATACTCAGGATGAAATGGTGAAATCTGCTATGATTAAATGGGCACAAGATGTTGGACATAACATAATGATGGCTGACTGGGAACAGTTATGGACCACAGGTATGATGTTTACGGCATGTAATGCCTTAAGAGAGAATATTATGAAAATGATATACAGGTGGTACATGACACCAGTCAAGCTTGCAAAAATCTATCATTTGCCCGATAATAAATGTTGGAAATGTAAAGAAACTGAAGGTACGTTCTTTCACCTTTGGTGGACATGCCCATGGATTAAGGCTTTCTGGGAGATGATCTATAAGGAAAGGAAAAAGGTATTTAAATATACCTTTCTGAAGAAACCAGAGGCCTTTCTCCTGGGCATGGTCGGCCAATTGGTGCCAAAGAAGGACAGAACTTTCTTTATGTATGCCACAACAGCAGCAAGAATACTTATTGCAAAGTATTGGAAGACACAAGATTTACCCACTCTGGAAGAATGGCAGATGAAGGTGATGGACTATATGGAATTGGCGGAAATGACTGGCAGAATCCGTGACCAGGGAGAAGAGTCGGTGGAAGAAGATTGGAAGAAATTTAAAGACTATTTACAGAAATATTGCAAAATTAATGAATGTTAGAATGATGTCTGAATGAAGTTAAGTGGTTTTAGCAGCAATGTTATTAAGGTGTATGTAAAAATGGATTGTTAACTGGTGAAAATTCAAAGTTATGATTTATTAAGTTAAAAGATTAAGATAAAAACAAAGAGGGAAAGGAATTGCTGAATTAATTAATAGAACTGGAATACAAAAAAGGGAGGTGTGAGGAGGTCAGGGAAGCAAGGAAATGAAATGTAAGGTACGGAAAGATTGATGTGTTTTTTAAATGTTTATTATCTTTTTTCTGTATTTTGTATTTTTTTTCCTTTCTTATTTTTTTCTTTTTTCTTTTTCTCTTTTTATTTATGTAATCTTTTCTTTGAAACTTTAATAAATATCACATAAAAAAAAAGATAGCAACAGTGTCTCAGTTTAATAATTTGAGATTTTTCATACAAGATAATATTGTACTGTTTCAGTAATATTTCATTTAGAGAGCTTTGGAGAGCTCTGCATGCAATGCTCAGAAATGTTTTGCAAGTGTAGCTCTTACCGTTTGCCCTGCGCTTTTCTGGTCTGTTTCTGAGTGCATTTTTTCTTCCCTGGCGCTTCCCCCAGGAAAACCTGATCTTTACCACTCAATCAGAGCAAATAGCAATTTGGGTTTCCGCTGGAATGCTGTTTGCTCTGATTCAGCTGTCAATAGTGGGTTTTTGCCGGGCAAAAGAGAAGTGTGTTTGTTTGCAAAGCAGCCAAACCACCAAGGTGCCCAAACCCTGACTTCTGCCAGTCCAGGACACTTGGCACCAATGTCTTTTGCGGTCTAAAACAAGGGAGGGGGAGATGCCACCCTCAGGAAATCCAGCTTCTGCAGTCTTTAGCAGGTTGTAGCATCTGGAAGTCAGCAGAGGCCAACTCTGGGGCAAAAAGGGGCCCCCAGATGCTGGAAACTGGCGGACAAATCTCCAGGGAGGGTCAGTCTGAGAGGGTTCAGTGTCCTGAGGAAAGAGAGGCACAGCCCCAAACCCAGACAGGGGCAGCCTCCCCACCATGGCTGCTGCTGCTGCAGATGAATGGAGGGCATTTCCCCTGATGCCACTTGGAACAGGCAAGTGCATCTCAGGGGCCGGACCAAGTTTCCAGTGCTGCAGGGGTGCCCAAGCCTGCAGGTAGGCCAAGGGACTGGCTGGCAGCATCCGTGGGAGTCTGGAGGCACCAGCTGGTCAGGCAGCATCCACAGGGCCAAGAGGCAGAGCAACACGACGACGCTAGTCTGGGGGAGAACGCTGCAGGAGCTTTCTTCAGAGGGGGCGCAAAAGAGCCCCAGAAGACACATGCAGAAGTCACTTGTCTCCTCTCCTCCTCAATGCTGGCCCCGTCCTCGTCGCAGGGGCCTGCTGCTGCCTCCTCCTCCTCCTCGCTCAGATCCATGTGCAGCTCATCTCCCGCTTCAGGGTGAGGGTATGTGGAGCCACGGATGGAACGGCAGGTGAAAAAGATGATCCGCTTCAACCACTTGTTGTAGAAGGAGGAGTTTAAGGACCACAGGCTGCCCTCTTCTCCGAAGGGGTCCGAGTCCAGGTCTGGGTTGTAGCTGTCAATGTCACACTCCGAGAGGCAGATCTCCTGCTCCACAGCGTCCCACAGGTGGGGCTTCAGGGCACGGAAATCCTTCGGCTGAATTCGTGGCTCTTGACGGAAGGACTCCTTGAGGGTGGCTCTCAGGTAGAAGAGGGTCTTGTGACTGCCTTTGTCGCTAAGGGGGCCCTCCTCCTCGCCACTGTGGCTCTTGCTGAGCCTGCTGGGCGTGGGGACAGGGCCTCAAGCACGTGGGGCTGCCCTTCCTGGCAGAACGGCTTGAAGAGGTGCTTGTCGTCAGCGGCCATCTTGCAAGAGGAGCTCTCAATCCTGCCAAGGATGGGTGCATCTCCCGTTTGTTTCCACCCTCAACTGGGAGTTTAGGGCTTCCAGACTTGACTTTTCCAACAGCTTCATTTCTGGACATTTTTCGAACAGCATAGGCCACGGGGGGAACTTGAACCGGGCGCCGCTGTTGTCTCAGCCTGTCTCCACCAGGCGGCCCTCAGGGGCCCTGCCAACCCTGCCATGGCCCCGCTTGCTTCACACGATGAGGCCGCTAGTCGAGTGCCCGACTCGGAGCCGCCCTTCCAGCGTCCCTTCTTTCTTTTCCCCCCTCCTTCTTCCTTTCCGAAAACTGAGAGTGAAGGATGCACAAAGACAATCAACAATTTACTTGTTTATGCATGTATATATATATATATATGGGGGAAAACAAAACAACATACAAAACTGTTTGATCAGGAGTGTAACTTTAAGAAGTTAACCCTCCTGAATCGAAACTTCTTAAGGGGGGAGGTATGTGATGTTAACATATATGAGAGAGTGCTGGAGGGGAAATAGTTAAATAGGTTGCACAGTCAGGACCCAGGGGGGTGGAGTCAGTGGGACTATAAAACCAGTTCTGGGAGGAGTTCGTTGGGAGTTGTTGGTGGGCAGTTGGTTGGATTTAGTGGGTTGGCTGGTTGGGAAAGGCAGTTGGTAATAGAGAGACACTTAGGGCCGTGGGTTCTTGAGTGTGGGGAGGTAGAAGAGATAGAGAGAGGAAAATAAGACTAAGAAAGTAAAGAGCAACAACGTTTTGAATGCTGTAAAAGTTTTGTTTATGTCTGAAATAAAAGACACTCTTCTTTATTAATTGAGAAGCTGACTGAGACTGAAGTGATTTTACGAGGCAGGACCTGGTTGGTGGCAGTGGATTAGTGGTGTACGGGTCAATAGTCCATGAGACGACCGGGGGCTCCGTACGAACGCCACAAAATTGGCGGCAGCGGTGGGATTCGATAAGTCTAAGTGCCTGTGAGCGGAAGCAATACACCTGGAGAGGGGAAGGGTAAATCGGTGAAGTGATTACCTGGCCCGAGGGTGTGATTGAGGATAAATCCCAGATTGCCATGAGGCCGAGATAACAATAAGAGCAAGAGATCTCAAAAGACTGTTCTGGCGGAGGCTTAGGCTCAGGGTCAGAGGAAGTAAGCTTGAAAGGTTAGAGGCAAAAACCTAAAGCTATACTTTGAGGACCAGGGTCTTGAAAAGCCAAGCCGGGAGGAACAGTGTTGGAAGTAAAATTCTCTTATTTAATTAATTAGTGAAAACACTGACTCACCCATAATGCCACCTAAGAAGACCAAGCACCCAGTGAGAAAAAACCCATACGAAAGCTCTGGGGAAGAGAATGGGAATCCCCAGGGGGAGGAAACAAGAATAGAAGAGATGACTAAAACCCCACCTGAAGTAGAAGTTCCACAGTTTTCAGAGGATTTTGAAAAGCGGAAATTAGTACAAGAATATAACTTGAAATTGGAGCTTGAGAAAAATAGGCTTGAACAAGAAAAAATTAGGCTTGAGCAAGAATTGGAAAAAGAAAAAGTGAGGGTGGAGCAGGAAAGGGAACAGGAGCGGTTTCAGTTAGAGATGAGACCGTTGGAATTAACGGTTTTAGAAAATCGTAATAATAGTAATAACACCGATGGGCAGAATCAAATGAAGGTAGATTTAAAACGCTTCCCTGAGTTTAGAGATAAGGATAGCCAAGAAGCATTTCTAGTATCCTTCAAAAGAGCCTGTCACGATTTTCAAGTGAGAGAGGAAGATAAAATGATGATCTTGAGAGCTAGGATTAGCGGTCCTCTGGCCGAAATATATGCTCAAATGACTGAGGAACAATCCCGAAATTTTGAGGTGTACAAGCAGTTAATATACACACGCTTTGGGATTACCTCAGAGCAGTTGAGGAAAAAATTTAGAAGTGTGACAAAGGTGAGGGAGGAAACCTATGCGCAGCTAGGTGCAAAGATAAAAACTTACCTCACAAGATGGTTAGAGCAAGAGAATGCAGACACGGTACCTAAGATTAGAGAAGTGGTAGCGTTGGAGCAATTTTACAAAACAATAAATGGCCAATTGAAGTACCTGATAAAAGAAAGGAACCCCAAGACAATAGAGGAAGCAGCTGGTTTAGCCGATAAAATAAACGAAATCAGAGAGCACGGATTCAATGAGCCAAAAATTGGTGGGAGATCTTGGGAAACAAACAAGAATAAATTTCAGCAAACCAAAGGAAAGATTACCTCAGAAACCGATGAGAGAAGTAGCCCCTCATCAAAAAGCCCACATGAGAAGGCACACACCCATACAGAGTTTACTGAGGGAAAAGCCAATAAAACAAGTTATGTAGGACCCAAAGACATTTCATGCTGGAGATGTGGAAAATTAGGTCATAAAAGTTTTGATTGTAAAACAGGAAAAGAAACGTCTAGTTATAGCAGCACACAGAAACAGACATATTGTATGCAGCCTGTGGAGCAGGGCCAGACTAGTCAGGTTGTCAAGGAAACGGCCATGGCAACTAGGCCCGAGCCTGCTGAGGTAGTAGAGGCCAAAGTCCTGCACTGTTATGCGATACAACAAGATAATCTCTTGTTAAAGAAGGCTGGAGAGTATATCTGGATAGACGGAAAAAGATATTTCGGGTTAAAGGACACGGGATCGCAAGTCACTATTGTCCACCCTGAGATAATCAGGGATAATTCCAGGGAAATTAATGAAATTAAAAGGAATTTCGAAACAAGCAGAGATCCTAAAGGTGGCAGAAGTAGATGTCAGGTTCAAAAACTGGGCAGGGAAGTGGCAGGTAGCCCTTTCGGAAGAAATTCCCGCCCCTGTGCTCACTGGTTGGGACATTTTAGAACATGTGCAGAGTTCTTTCATAGTTACCAGAGCAAAAGGGAGCCCACAGTCACCTAAACCTGAGGGGGTGGATACAGTAGCAGAGGCAGACAGTGCTGAAGGACAGCCAGGGGATGATCAGTGTGAGGAAGGAAAAGACACCTTTTCGTTTCCTTTGACTAAAAGTCAAACCCCAAGTTTTGCCAAAAAGCAAAAAGAAGACACTGAGTTACAAATGTACTTTGAGGCAGCTGAGTCGGAGAGGGCGTTAACTCCTGAGTGCCCAGAACGGTTTTGTTTGAGCAGGGACCTTTTATATCGAGAAGTCCTTGCCCCACCATCTAGGGGGGTGAAGAAGTGAAAAGACAGTTAGTAATCCCACATGAATACCGAGGCAAAATCCTGCAGCACGCTCACAACAGTGCATTTGGAGCGCATATGGGTATTACACGTACAAAACGGAGAGTGGCTCAAAAATTTTATTGGCCAGGCATGGGGAAACGAACAAAACAATACTGTCAAGCCTGTGACATATGTCAGAGAAGAGGCACCGGTCAAGACAAAACAAAAGCCAAATTGTGCCCCTTGCCTCTCATATCAACCCCTTTTCAATGGTTAGGGCTGGACCTGATAGGGCCCTTGCCTAGAGCCAGCAGGCGGGGAAACAGATACATCCTCACCATAGTGGATTACGCAACCAAATATCCAGAAGCCATTCCATTGCGAAACATTGAAATAGAAACAGTGGCAACTGCTTTAATTAACTATATGAGTAGATTGGGCTTTGCCAGTGAAATAGTCACTGACTTGGGTTCTTCTTTCACATCAAGACTAATGAAAAGACTATGGGAGGTGTGTGGTATTCAGCATTTAACATCAACACCTTATCACCCTGAAACTAATGGATTAGTTGAAAGATTTAATGGAACCCTAATGAGAATGATTAAAGCCTAGACTTCCGGGGTGGCGCCATCGGCAATGGCGGACTCCCTCTGAACAGGAGGGACTAGCTCCGCGGGAAACGGGTCTTCTCCGCTACGGCGAAGCGGGGACCCTTTTAAAAATCACAGGCGGATGAAGCCTGTGACCATGGGACTCGGCGGGCACCTTTAGCGCCCCCCCAACTTGCTAAGGAACCCACTAACGGGCTCCGAAGTGAAGAGGGGGAAGTGGCGCGCTGCTGTGAGTCAACTGCTATTTCCATGGAGCGAAGCCGCATAGCCGTTGCCGGAGAGCGCTGCCTTTTTCCTGGGACAATTTGGACTCTAAAATAAGCACCCGTGAGTACTTAGATTTTGAACAACTGGACATTAAATAAAGACTTGAGAGCAGAAAGGAATTGGATTTTAAAAACCTATTTTAATTTGGTACGGAATGGGAAGGTCTAAACAGGAAGTCAGCCTTCCGTTCTTTTGTAGACAGAATAAAACAAAGACAACGTAAACTAGAGCTTAGAAAATCGCCTTTAAAGGATTGGATTTCATCATTTAAAATTGTGGAACCCCCCTTCGACAGCAGGAGAAGGGGGGATCTTTTTCGGACTGTTTAAAGTGAGTTTAAAGTAAAGTAACTTTCCTCCGTCCTGATCCTGGAGCGGGGTGTCAGGACTGACGTTTGAAGTTCATTGACCAGAGACAAGCGTTTTTGACAGATAGCTAAAAGAAGAGAAACATAGCGATTCCACTGCTTCCCTTCGCATCTTTAAGCAACAAATATTGACAAAGTATCTCAAAAAGGGAAACTTTGTTGCAAGAACAAATAGAAGTTTTCCCCCTAGAGGGAGACTGTGTAACTGTAACCAACTCCAGGGAGCCGGCAGCTGTTACAGATTACAATCGTGGGAACAGGCATTTGACCTTGCAGGACAATGTATTCAGAAGCTTTGTTGTGTGCTTTTTATAAAACAAATGCCCTACTGGAACAGTTACATGAGAAGGTGAATTGGATGGCGACTTCGACGAGAAATTTTGAACAGGCAGTGGGAAATTTTGAACAGACAGTGGGAAATTTTGAACAGACAGTGGGAAAATATGTGGAGCCCACTCAGGAATTAAATCAGGAGTGTGTCCTGACAGAACAGGCCCAACAGGAATATGAGTTTTCGGATTTGACAGATGAACTTGGAAAAAGCCAGATTTGGAAAGAAAAAGTTTGGTTTGGTTTGGAAATGGGGGGCTGGATTGACCCCCCTATGCTGGGATGTTTGGACTTTTCAAATCTGGCAATGGGCCGTGAGATGTTTGGGATTGTGGGGGCTCTTAATTTTGGAGGGTCCTTGAAACATGCTTTCAAATACCATATGGAATTCAGTGTTGAATATGGAAAAGGGGCTGATCTGTCGAGAAGGGTTAAAAATATTGCCAAGCTGGAGTTACCACGAGCAGGAGACAAGGGAAAATACTGTTACAAATATGAAGAAGAGCTGCGGAAGGGACATGGAAGAGACTTGAGGGCCTCGGATATAAGGCTGCCAGGTTAATGGGCTAGATCGACGGGATAATAAGGACTGACAAAACCCGGAACCAGGAGGAAGGGACGTTGGATGAAGATTGGATCTGTTTGCATCTCGTTTTTTTACCATTAGAACTGTTTTATAAAATTGATGAATGTTAGAAAAATGTTGGAATGAAATTACTTGGCTTTAGTAAAGATGTTTAAAGAATTATGAAAGAATACTATGGTTATGAGAAGTTGGTAAGGATAAGATTTAAGTTTTAAGCTTTAAGATTTATTTTATTATAGAAAGATAAGATTAAAACAGTTTAGGGTAATGTAATGACAGAATATTATGAAATATGGAAAGGATTTGCTGGGATAATTAATAACTAGGATACAAAGAAAGGGAGGAGGAGGAGGTCAAAGAAAGAAGGTAATGACAGTTGAGGATTTGAGAATAATGAATTTGTTTTTAAATGTTTTTAATTGTTTGTGATGTATTTTTGTATTTTTTTTCCTGTCACCTTTTCTTATTTTTGAATTTGTATTCATGTGGTTGGAAGGGGTTTGTTTTTCTTTTCTTTTTCTACTTTGTTAACTATTTTTATTTTGTATTTTCTACTGCTTTTATTTTATTTGGTAACACTTTGAAAATTTTAATAAATATCTTATAAAAAAGAGAGAGAGAGAGAATGATTAAAGCCTATACCGCAGAAAATCCCAATGATTGGGATGACACGCTACAGCCACTACTTTATGCCTATAGGGATGTACCCCAAGAAAGTACCGGATTTAGCCCATTTGAATTATTGCTGAGATGTAAAGTACCGTATTTTTCGCCCCATAGGGCGCACCGGCCCATAGGACGCACCTAGTTTTTTGGGGGGGAAATAAAGAATTCCCCCCCCCAGATGCGGGGCTGGGGCGGGGGAAGCCAGAGCTTCCCCCGACCCCAGCCCCCAGAACAGGCTGCTATCCGCAAGCCGTGGGTGAGCTGCGCGAAGCCCGAAGCCTGGGGCGTGCTGAGCTCAGCGCGCCCAGGCGTCGGGGTGCAGGCAGCTCTCTGCAAGCCGCGGGAGAGCTGCACGAAGTCGCGCAGCTCTCCCATGGCTTGCGGATAGCTTTCTGAAGCCTGGAGAGCGAGAGGGGTCGGTGCGCACTCTCGCTCTCCAGGCTTCAGCGAAAGCCTGCATTCGCCCCATAGGACGCACACACATTTCCCCTTCATTTTTGGAGGGGAAAAAGTGCGTCCTATAGGGTGAAAAATACGGTAGAAGGGCCCCTGGGAAAGGCAGTTGGTAATAGAGAGACAGTTAGGGCAGTGGGTTCTTGAGTGTGGGGAGGTAGAAGAGACAGAGAGAGGAAAATAAGACTAAGAAAGTAAAGAGCAACAACGTTTGGAATGCTATAAAAGTTTTGTTTGTGTCTGAAATAAAATACACTCTTCTTTATTAATTGAGAATCTGACTGAGACTGAAGTGATTTTACCAGGGAGGACCTGGTTGGTGGCAGCGGATTAGTGGTGTACGGGTCAATAGTCCGTGAGACGACCGGGGGCTCCGTACGAACGCCACAGCGACCAACTTGGCTCTCCAGGCTTTGAGCAGAGGACCATCCAGGAAATTTTGATTAGTCGTACTCATGCCAGTGTTCAGGGGTGTAGGAGGGAGAGGGCAAGGGCAGAGCTGGGGTGGGGTGGGGTGGGGGCAAAAAGGGTCTCTTCGAGGGGGGGTAGGGACATACTTTGTGAACATTTTCAATCAGCTTTTCCTTGAGAGACATCTTGTAGCTCTGGGTAAGTCTAGCAAAGCGTGGGCGCAATGACCGGGCTCTCCGATTGCCGCTGCAGTACCGCCTTCAGAAGGGAACTGTGAACCCAAGATGCGGACTGTAAGTAAAGTGCATGAAAGGAAGCCTGCTGAGCTAATTAGAATATCGTGGGAAAGTTCATTTATTTCAGTAATTCAACTTAAAAGGTGAAACTAATATATGAGATAGACTAAAGGTGAAACTAATATATGAGATAGACTGATTACGTTCTCGTAATCAGATGTTTATTGCTACAGCTTAGTCATCGAGATGTCAAAATCAGTTGTAATAGAATTGCACTGAATTAACAAATGGAATAAGGAAAATTAAAATTAATTTTTCTTTAATTTTAATCACGAGTGGACTCTTTATTACTGCAATTGCAGTTGTTCAAAATAAAATCTAGTCGTACCTTAGTTTTGGAATAGCTTAGTTCCTAAATGTTTTGGCTCCCGAATGCTGCAAACCCAAAGTGACTGTTCTGGTTTGTGAACGTTCTTTGGGAAGCCCATTTTAGAATATTTACCAACCTTTTATTACCATCCTGCAGGTGTTCCTTATTAATCTCTATACCACAAAATAAAAGATGTAATTGGAAATAACTGCTGCTATTTTCAAGAAAGCTCATCAAAGCACTGATGCTACTTGTTTTGGCAACCCAGATATTTTCCTGCAGGACTCTACTCTGCAGAATTATTATTATTATTATTGTTATTATTCAGCACTACCTTCAATCAGAAAATGAAAGCTAGTCTGGGGTGAAAATGCGCAGTCTAGGATATGAAAAATGTTTCAATGAGTAAGACTGACCAGACCTGAGTTGAGTATAACAGAGACAAGATCTTTCCAACCTTTTTGGAAAAAAGTTTTTCCAACCTTTTCTTACCATCTTTTCTTACTATCACCAGCTAACCATCGCAATATAGCAATATATCACAATGTCTGAAAGAAGGATGGGTGAGACTGGGCTGAGGAGGGAGGGAGCAAGCAGGAAACACGACCAGGAGAAAGGAGGCAGCCCCTTCAGCGAGGGATGGAGGGGGCAGATTAAAGGATGGATTTAGGGAGGGACGGGCCGAAGAGGAGGGTATCAGGGCCAGGGCGGAGCTGGGAGGGGGGCAATAAAGGGTCTCTTGGGGGGGAGGTGACATAGGGAAGGATCTTTTGCGGGAGGGATTGGGGGGAGGGAGCAAAGGAGGGGGACAAGGTCTGGGGGGGACACAGGGGGGAGGAGGGAGGGGGATGTCTTCAGGGAAGATCTATGGAGGGAGGGGGGCAGGGAGGGATAGCACTGGTGCCTGCAGAGGAGAGTCTGCGCCTGCCTTGGAGTTCTCTGGCGTCTCCAGGGACACTGGAACCCGGCCATTGTGACACACATGGCTGCAAATCCCAGGCAACCAAACGGGGACCCTCCAATTTGTGGCTCAAAGTCAACCTCCCAGGCGGTCTGTTTAACTTTGGCCCACAAGGCCATCTCCCCAGCGTGACACTCACCTGGTCCATGGGAGATGATGAATTGGGCAGGAGTTTGGGATCCATCTTCCGTTAGCTGCATAGACTCAGGATCCGGTCACTGTGTGCTTTCTCCAACTCCACTGATTCCCTCATAGATTTGGGGGCATTTGGGGACAGCACTCCACTGCTTTCTCTTCCTCGGCCTTCATTGGTTCATTGGCTGAAATGTCAATTTGCTCGGAGCCCCCCACTCCACCCCTTTTAAATCCTTTCCCCCCTGGATGTGAAAGTACAGTAAGGGGGGGGGGAGCTATCTCAGCAAGAAGCCCCATTCCTTCCAAAGGGAAGCAAAACAAGCCCCCCAGCTCCAAGGCTTTCTGTGCCTACTGGTGGAACCAAAGCCTTTTGCCTTCCACCCCTGGCAACCCCCCAGAATGGCTCCTTGATGCCAGCAGGGCAGCCAGAGCAAGAGGCCCTCTGCCTTCAAGAGCCGGTGTCCCTCTTTGCAGGTGAACGTCCCTCTCCTGATAGGCTGGAGGAACCGGATGCTACCTATTTTAAGACCTGCCCTGTTCTTCTGACTGTAAATTGTTCTAACTTATTTCAAGGTTGCATTTTTATATTGTTGTAACCTCCCCTCAGACCATGTGGTGAAGGAAATAAATTTCACAAAGCTTGCCAAAATATACAAGTCAAAATTCAATCTTTGTTGGAAATGTAAGGAGGCGGAGGGTACTGTGATGCACTCCTGGTGGGGCTGCGGAAGAGTTAAAAATTTGGGGGGGTTGCATTCATGAGGAATTTTAAAAGATGCTCAAAATCTCTATAGGAAAAAACCCAGAGGAAGTCACATGGGTGTAGGAAATTTCAATGTTTTGTATGTTTAAGTAGGTTGTTCTTCAATGTGTCTATTATTTTTTCTTGGTATGTAGATTTAGTGTGTTTTTGTTTGTATGTATGGAAATAAATTTTTTTAAAAAAGAAAAGAAAAAGAAAATTAACAAAAAACAGCCAAAACCAATAGGGACTCAGACATCTTGTTTTAATAATAGCACTTTTTGGGGGGCGGGGGCAATAAAACAAGTCTGTTTCTACAATACAAAAGAAAAAGGGAAAGTTTAAACAGTAGTACCCAGTTGCATCAAAGGTGTGTGAAATAATCCCTGACAACGGAATCTAGAAGCAAACTCATCCCCTCAGAAGCCTCCCATTTGGGCACCTCAAGGGAGACGTGAAAGAGCCCCAGAGGGCAGCCAGGGGTCTTCTGCACCCCCTCAGGCGGCTTTCGGGGAGCAAGTGTCAAGTGGGTGGGGTGACGGGTAGGGGGCCTTCAGCTGCCACGAATTCACCCCCAAGTGGCCTCTGGCTGAGGAGAATTCTGCCACTCAGGCCTGGAGGTCAGGCATTGGCATGCTCCGAGAAGCTTCCAGAGACCGGAAGCTAAGTCCCATTGATTTATGAAAGTGTGGGTAATTTGTCTAAGAGATTGATAACCCCAATAAATTACTTTGTTCTTAGATCAGGGCGTACAAGACTTCCTGCACACTGAGTACAGAAGAGTGACCAACTCACATCTTTTTCTGCAGTTTGCTCAGCATGCTGCACTCTGGGCAACCAGCACAGCACACCAGGCTGACTTCAGTGAGCCTAACAGGACTGCAGCTCAGACACATGAATGGTTTGCCACAAGCACGGAAGGTAAAGTGACAATGCCCCCCTTGAGCAGTTGTGTCATGCAGTTTTTAAATGCAGAACAGAAGCACATGGCGAGACATTGCGAGAAAAGGAAGCAGCTGTTCTCACGATAGGAACACAAGGAGCTGCCTTGTACCGAGTCAGACCATTGGTCCATCCAGGTCAGTATTGTCTGCACTGGTCGGCAGCCCCTTTCCATGGTTCTAGGCAGGATTCTCTCCCACCTGGAGAGGTCAGGGGCTGAACCTGGGAGTTTCCGTATGCAAGCAGATGCTTTCCTACTGACCTTTCCTTTTCATTACTGTATTTTAAATATTTATATAACCAGGTTCTTGGACCACTTACAACAAGGATAAAAACACATGAAAAATTACATATGCAGTTGTACCTTGGATGTTGAATGGCTTAGTTGCCGGATGTTTCAGCTCCCAAACGTCAAAAACCCAGAAATGAGTGTTTCAGTTTTCGAACGTTTTTGGGAAGCCAAACATCTGACACAGCTTCCGCTTGAGGGCTGGAAGCTCCTGCAGCCAATCAGAAGCTGTGCCTTGGTTTTTGAACGGTTCCAGGAGTCAAACAGACTCCCAGGACAGATTAAATTCAATAACCAAGGTATAACTGTAATAAAGAAAGCATATCTGTATGTACCCTTTCCCCTTAACAAATAAATTGATTGTATTTACCTTTTCACAGCAGGTTAACAGACTGCCCTATTAAAAACCATTTTCTTCCTTTTAAATTTTTAGACCACCCTTTATTCCTTAGATCTGAGAATTAGCAGTTCCTCCTTCTGTTATATAACCCAGTTATATAAATAAAAGTTTTATAATTCTTTTCTAGAAGTGAAGGCTGCTGATAAACATCTTTCCCAGCCCCACTTTCCATATGTGATTCCCTTTCATTAATCATCTGCAAATGCTGCACAGTAAACTTGTCCTATCCATGCTTCCATATATCTTGTATTCCCATAAAATTAAAACAAACATTAATAGGACATTTTAAGTCTGTGACTATCAAGAGGAAGTTGTGTGAAACTTATGGCTGTAAATAAAAAGAGATGCTTATTGCCATTTCTATGGTCGATCTGTTTTGTTATAACAGTTATAGACTTCTGAAAAATGCCTTAGGGCTCCTGCGTTCGAATCCTGCTTGTGGTTTTCCCTCAGGCATTTGGTTGGCTGCTGTGAGAACCGTGGTGTTATCAGCACTGTGCTCTAACCGCTCCAGGATGCTGGAGGACTTGGTCCATTGCTCTGATCCAAGAAGGTCTTCAACAGCTTAACCCAGTTGGTTAGAGCAGTGCTGATAACGCCAAGGTGGCAGGTTCGGTCCCCATATGGGACGGCCGTATATTCCTGCATTGCAGGGGTTGGACTATATGATCCTCAGGGTCCCTTCCAACTCTACACTTCTATGATTCTTATGTTCTCATGCTACCCTGGTGCCAGCCAGGTGTGTCCACCCAGTTTCCTCAAGTACTTGAGAAATTGCAGACTTTTGTAATAGGATTATGGCTGATGGGCAGCAAAAAGCCTCGCCCCCTGCAGCTCTCTGATGGGATAGCGAGTATAACTTGGCAGGGGGTTGGACTCGATGGCCCTTGTGGTCTATTCCAACTCTACGATTCTATGACTTGTCTTTTTATGCTGTGAACTGTCCAGAGATCTTCTGACAAAGGGCAGAATACACCTTTAAATCTCTGTGGTGCAATAGTTCAGTGTGTCTGTTAAGCTGAAGGCTGGGGGTTTGAGCCCCCCCAGGGACAGCTGTGGGCAGGATCCCTGCACTGCAAGGGGTTGGACTAGAGGACCCTGGGGGTCCCTCCCAACTCAGAAGGACAAGTCTGCTGCTCCTCCCTTGATAAGTACACACGGTTGCTTGTCCACTGGATAGCAAATAATTAGCTTATTAGCTAATTAGCTGGCAAATCTTTCCTGTTCAACTGCTGGTGCCTCCTCACGCAGGTTGTTAAGCAACAATCCCCACCCCCTGCAAAAAAAAAGGGAGAAAAATACTGAATTTGGCAAGTTGAAATCTTCGTGTCTTTGTGAGTTGGCCTAATGAAAACATGGTCCTACTTTCCCTTTCGGAGTGGGCGGACACACGCAGAGGGGAAATGAATGGGGCGGGAGGGGAGGCTGCTTGTTTGCAGCCAATCAGAAGCTTCCTTCTAAGCTTTCCCAGCCAGTTAAAAAAAGAGCTTTGCATTTGGTGCTCCGAGAAGCGCAGGAAGGAGCCCCGGGCAGAGCTCTTCCGCAGGAGCGAAACCTCGGCCCCGTTCGCAGCAGATCTTCTCCTTTCAAGGCGCAGCTTCAAGCCGGCAGAGCCTTTCCCGGGAGGAGCTCCAGCGCCCCCTCCTGGGCCTGGCCTGCTTGTGCGCCACGCTCAAAAACTTAGGCGAGAGACATCTTTTCTCAGTGGCAGTTCAGCGTGCAGCCCACTTACTAAAAAAAGAAGCAGGAAAGAAGGAAAGCATTCCTGGTTGTCCTGGTAAGAGAACTTTCATTGGGAAAATACTTGTGAATTGAAATAGCACAGTGAATTTGATCATGCTTCGTGTGTGAATCGGGTTACCCATGCCAGATTGTTTGTGCTAGCAAGTACAGTGGTACCTCGGGTTACATACGCTTCAGGTTACAGATTCCGCTAACCCAGAAATATTACATCGGGTTAAGAACCTTGCTTCAGGATGAGAACAGAAATCGTGCTCTGGCTGTGTGGCGGCAGCAGGAGGCCTCATTAGTTAAAGTAGTGCTTCAGGTTAAGAACAGTTTCAGGTTAAGAATGGACCTCCGGAATGAATTAAGTACTTAACCCGAGGTACCACTGTACTTACTCATTTGTGCATGTGAATGATCTCTGTGGTGTATGGGGTAGCACCTCTGGTGGGGGACACGTTGTGCTCCTTCTGGGGTAGTTTGTCCACCTTTTGGCCCCCACCCTGCACTCAACTCTCCCCTGTGGTTCCTAGAAGCTGTTGGCAGGTGACAGCGGCCACATTCCCAGGAATGACTTTGACTGGCTATCTGATCAAGGCCTCCAGCTGGTCTCAAATCCTCAGTGAGTCAGGGACTTCCTCTGCATGCAGAGACAGAGTCGGGCAGATTGAGCAGACAAGACCCAGAGTGGGTCCAACAATCAAGAAGGCAATTTCTGTAGAGGAAAGCGAGGGGCAGATGGGGCTCAAGGGAGTCCACCTAGGAGAAGGCAAACTCTGGTGCCTTGTGGGACATCTTCAGGAGATAGAGTAAGGAGTAAAGCCTACACAAATCTGGAGTCAAGTCCCTAAGACGGTTGGATGTCTCCTATATGCCTCCTTCCAGCAACACCTGCAGCCAAGCTGGTGCTCTGCTTTCCTTTGGACCCCATCCGTGAGGCCAAGAGGGGGGTCTTCTCATCTGGGCAGCCCAGGACCTCCATGCACACGGCCCAGGCTTGTGCCCCGGGGGAGAGGTCATTTTGGCACCACTCACACAGCGCTATGACTTCACACCCCGAGGTGAGAATCCCTGATCTGGTGGTGGGACTTTAAAGGTAAAGGAAAAGGGACCCCTGACCGTTAGGTCCAGTCATGGCCGACTCTGGGGTTGCGGCGCTCATCTCGCTTTATTGGCCGAGGGAGCCGGCATACAGCTTCTGGGTCATGTGGCCAGCAAGACTAAGCCGCTTCTGGCGAACCAGAGCAGCGCACGGAAACGCCGTTTACCTTCCCGCCAGAGCAGTACCTATTTATCTACTTGCACTTGGACGTGCTTTCGAACTGCTAGGTTGGCAGGAGCAGGGACCGAGCAACGGGAGCTCACCCTGTCACGGGGATTCGAACTGCCGACCTTCTGATCAACAAGCCCTAGGCTCTGTGGTTTAACCCACAGCGCCAGCCACCTTTTAAAGCCCTAAAATAAATTTGTCTGTTCGACCACCCCTAGTCACCATTGCTGCAAATTCCATAAGTTATGTGCAATGTGAAGAAGGATTGTTGTACCTCGCTGTTGCTACATGTAAGGGTTTTTTTTAATGTACAAAGGTTAGGAAGCTTCTCACTTTGTTTAACAGAGTCCAAGGGTCTCTGTTGGAGAGTTTTGCAGTAGAATTTTCAAGTGGGACCTGTTATCAAAATAGGATCTCCCTGAGAAGAAAATAATAAAACTCTTGTTTGCTGCCAACTTTTATCATTCAGCTGACAAACTCCTAGAGGACTACATCCAGAATTCTGATTTAAGGCGATGCATGCACAGTAGCTTACCTGCAAAACTCAATCTAAATGTTCTGTTCTTTGTCATTGTTGATTCTTGTTATTACTATCCTCTTACAGATGCACAATGTCGGCTGAAAATAAGCAACAGCCTCTTAAGAAGCCAGCATTCAGCAAAAAGCAAGCCACTGAATTGGTCCAAAAGATATTCGGATTAACGGTCTTGGAGCTCAAACCGTTGCCGAGCTATGATGATCAGAATTTCTATGTGTGTGCTTCGGCTGCACTTGAAGGGAAAGCAGAGAGCGCCCAGAATTTTGTCCTCAAAATAATCAATTGTGAAGACAGCCAGAACACTGAACTCATTGAGGTGCAGACCCAGGTCATGATATTCCTGAATGGCGAGGGCTTTCCCGTGCAAACTCCTCATTCCACGAAAGAGGGTGGAATAATGTTTCTGGAATCCATAGGTGAGGGGGTGGAACATGCATCCAACATTGCTATTCTGCTGGTGCCAGATCCCATCTAGTCCAGCAGGAGACCAGCTGCCTTTGAGCAGCTCACAAGCAGAACAGGAGGGCAGCTGCAGTCTCCCTGCTTGTGATCCCATACCCTCCAACATTTCTCTGATGAAAATAGGGGTGTCCTATACAACAACAATTTTAATATTTATACCTTGCCCATCTGGCTGGGTTGCTCCAGCCGCTCTGAGAAGCTTCCAACATGTATGAAAACATTATAAAACATTAAACGTTATAAAATCTCCCTATAGAGGGCTGCCTTCAGATGTCTTGTAAAGGTTGTACAGTTACTTATTTTCTTGATGCCAACATTTCTCCAATTAAAATAGGGACGTCGTAACAAAAAGCAGGACATTCCAGGATCAAATCAGAAACTGGGTGGCTTCTGTAAACCCAGAACTGTCCCTGGAAAATAGGAGTGTGATTGTATTGCATTTATTTTTTGATACTCTTATTTCTATTTTGATAATTTCATTATTACTGTTTTTAAAGTCAGTTTTTTTATTGCTGTGATATCCTTTTGTGTAAACAACTTAGAGCTCTTCTGTATGTGAATGTTGCTGAATAAAATTGAATCTCTTTGCTTCTTAGATACTAGCTCTGCCAAAAGAGCATATATAGTGCGGCTGTTGAGCTACCTCCCAGGCAAAACGGTGGCCACGATCCACACGAGTCCTCCTCTTCTGTATGAACTTGGGCGGATGGCAGCCAGGATGGACAAAACACTCACAGAGGTGAGATTTTGGAATATGCCTTAGTTTTAGGTGAGCCCCGTAACTAAGACTAGCTGCTATTTTAATTTCCAGCAACGCCATGGAGTAAGCCAGCAGTTTGGGTGCCGGGGGGTCAACCTGGGATTTGGGTGGGCTAAACATTTTTTGTTGACTTTATATCACTTTTATGTGCGTCTGCTGGTGCCAATCTGTAACCATTAGGCAATGTGAGATATTTGGCTCCAATGTTTGGGTAATGGAGAAAGCTGAAAATGCTCACATGGGGGTGGGGGGAGGGGAAGATGCAGAAGGTCTGGGGTTCAGTGCCCCCCAGTATTTCCAGGTTGGAAGGGGTAAGGCCTCTGCCTGAAACTCTGGACAGCCACTGATCTGGGAAGATAGAAGCCATCACAGCAACACTGCCTATATATGGACTCAGCAATTTTGTTTTGTTTTTAATTGAAACAATGTATTCCTGTCCCCCCCCCCTCCGCCACCCAAAAGAAATTCCAGCATCCATTGGCGAGAAGTCTCCACCGAGGTGGCTTCATCTGGAATCTGGCTAATGTCCCTCTCCTGGAGCAATACATTCATGCGCTGGGCCGGAGAGAATATCTGGACGCAGTGAAATGGGCCATTGATCAGTTCAGGCATAAAATAGTCCCAAACCTACACTCCTTTCGGCCCTGTAAGTATCTTTTTAAAGAAATGCACAGTAATATACAGTCATACTTCAGGTTGCGATCGCTGCGAGTTGCACGTTTTTGGGTTATGGAAACACTGAACCCAGAAGTACCGGAACAGGTTACTTCCGGGTTTCGGCGCATGCGCAGAAGCGCTGAATTGCGACATGCACAGTCGCAGTGCTGTGGGTTGTGAACGTACTTCCCGCACAGATCACGTTTGCAACCCGAGGTTCCACTGTAGTTGTTGTTATTTGCAGAGGCATACCTTGGCAAGGAGCTGTACCAGCACCCCCCCCCCGAAAAAGCCCACTTTACGAGAAGGTGCGAGAAGGATGGGAAGCTCCTCTTGCAGTTGATCTCGCTGTGACACCGGCATTGTCTGCACACACATATTGGTCATGCATTCCATAGTCTGATAGGTAATTTATGCGGGGGGGGGGCATAGCTTATGTCCGGGGGAGGGGGCTGGTTTCACCGTCCCTAGGTGTGCCTCTGACTATTTGATTTTAATTTTGCTAAGTGTTTTTTATGTGCCTGAGGGAGGTGGGGTGGGGAGAGAGATGCTTCATGCATGTGGGAGCTCTAACTTCCGTGTGACGCGGTAGTGCTCAGTTGTATATTAGGCCCCAAATTAGATTAAAATAGTGAGCCTTAAAGTACCACTGAACTCTGGATAACTGATTTCTGCATAGACATGTATCAAATTGCATTGTAAGGCAGGGCCTACTGTATATTATTCTAAACAGATTGTTGCCTCCCTTTCCAATGTTCAGGCCAATACTTTTCCAGTCAAAACAACATCACAATAAGAAGACCCTGCTGGATCAGGCCAGTGGCCCATCTAGGCCAGCATCCTATTCTCACAGTGGCCAACTAGATGCCCATTGTGGGAAGTCTGCAAGCAGAATTTGAACACAACAGCAGTCGCCTCCCCTCCTGCACTTGCGGGTAGCTGTGGAGGCAGAGCACAGGGCATCCTGGCTGGCAGCTGCCCACAGCCCTCTTGTCCATGAATGTGTGTAATCCTCTTTTGAAGCCATCCAGATTGGTGGTCGCCCCTGCCTCCTGTGGGAGGGGGTTCCATAATTCCATGCCCAAGTGGGAGGCATTGGCAGGCTTGGGGGAAACTCCAAGGGTTACAGAAGTGCAAAAAGTAATCTAGAGGGGAAGTTCTAAGGGGAAGGGGAGCTCAGCCCCAAAAGACACCCCAGTGAGGACTGAGCATCCTCATTGGCCTGACAGTTGGGGAGGGGAAACAGGATAACGACATGGAGTGGCTGGAATCCTGAACAGAAGCATTCAGCACTGCAACATTCTGTTACAGGCCCCACTTGAATTATATCAGTTTTTCTTTGTTCTCCACTTTCAGGTATCATTCATGGAGATCTCAATGACCACAATATTCTAGTAGATACCGATTTTACTTCCCCTAAACGCTCACAGTACAGGGTGTCTGGTATTTTGGACTTTAGCGACATGAGCTATGGCTGCTACGTGTTTGAAGTAGCGATACTCATCATGTACATGATGATTGAAAGCAAGGAACCCCTCAGCGTGGGAGGCCACATTCTCGCGGGATATGAAAGCATCGTCCCGCTGACGGAGGAGGAGCGAGATGCCCTGTTTCTCCTAGTGAGTGGGAGGTTTGCTCAGTCTCTCGTGATGGCTGCCCACACCACCCTCCTGCAGCCCGAGAATGAAGAGTACTTGATGACCACATCCAAGACAGGATGGAAGCGCTTGCTGCTGCTCTTTGAGATGGGCCAAAAGGCTGTGGAGATGATCTGGTTTAACACAGCAGAAGCGTATGCCAAAAAGGGGCCTTCCTAAATGTTGGGTTACATGGTTATGGGCCGCTCAGATTTACAGTTTTAAAATGGGGCTCTGCCCAGATTAAAGTTCCAGATGTTATGATCAGGGAATCTAGAATACTGCTACCTGAATGAATTATGCCAATACTTACGGCATTTATCCTTTGCATAATTTCATCCTGCTTCCAAAATCTAGTTTTTCAAAGAATTTCAGATTTATTCCATTGGGCAGAGCCCACACACAGAGGCCTCTGGAACGTCTGACAAAAACTAATGCCTGTGTTTGCTTTTTTCCTCCTCCCCCCACAACCCCCTTGCCTTTTGTGCCCTTGATTGTAAGCCTGTAGGCAGGGACCAGATTTTTACTGATTGCTGTAAGCTGCTTTGGAAGCCTATTTTCATCTGAAGAGTGGGATGAAAATCACTTTAAATAAATATTTTTGGGAAAGCTTATTATTCTATTGCTGGACCTTTCCTTCAAATATCTGAAGGTACTTTGTAGCCCCGAGAACTCCTGACTAACCCAAGGTCTTTGCTTCCGTTTGCTGGGCAGAGCAGCTGGGGAAACACAACCAGATCAGTGGGGTAGAAATAATAAATTATTATTATTATTAATATTGAAGCTGAGTAGTGATCCCCACCCGAATTCCCTTCCCGGTATAGCTGCCCAGAGTAGCTGGGGCAACCCAGTCAGATGGGTGGCATATAATGAATATATAATTATTATTTATTATTTATCCTCCATGTGTCAATAATAATAAGAAAAATAAGTTATAACAATATTTATACCAGCCTTCCCATTAAAAAGCTCAAGTACAACAATTTAAAACAAGATAAAACAATTTATTAATATGATTAGAGTACAGTGAAGGGTTGTTTGAAACATGGTGGCATTATTATTATTACAGTGCTACATTCATTTCCCATTTTTTCGCCAAATAGCTCCAAGTGGTGCACATACTTCTCTGCTGCTCTGTTTTATTCTCACAATGACCCTGTGAGGGAGGTTAGGCTGCGAGGCAGTGACTGGCCCAAGGCTGCCCGGTGGGTGCAGGTCCTTGCCTGGCAGTCTGCCCCAAGGGCTGGGCAGCCCCCCTGCCCTCCCTGGGCTGCTTCCAGGAAGGGTGCCCAGGAGTTCTGGCGCTGCAGATGGACGGAGGACAGAGCGCTGTCTGCTCTCAGGCTTCCCCGCATCTCAGCCTTCAAGGAGAGGGATTTTCTCCAAAGGTTGCATCTATATGCAGAAATTAACATATGCACATTTTGTGCACATTTGAGTTTTTTTGTTTTCCAAGATACCTTTCCTTTGGGTGCTGGGACAAGGAAGCAGCCCAACTCTTACCCCAGACTCTGCTGCTTCCCCCCAAAAAGTCCAAATATGAGCCACACTGCAGATAGGACACACTGGGACAACCAAGGAAAAGGAATTTGTATTTTCGAAGACATCAGAAGGGAAGTTTTTAATGTTTGGTGTTTTATTATGCTTTTATATGTGCTGGAAGCCATCCAGAGTGGCTGGGGAAACACAGTCACGTGGGTGGGGTATAAATAATAAAGTAATATTGTAGCCTTATGAGGCTTTGCCCTCGGGTGGGAAAAATATTGCGCCTGGGAAAGGGAAGTGGGAGTCAACAGACACTCAAGGAATAGTTTTGGAGAAAAGGCTTTTATTTCTACCATCCATGAACTGGTAGAAGGAGCAAGTGTGATAAGTCACAAAAAGCATGCACGAGTTCACAATCATGTGCACAAGCCTATATACCCCTTCCAGTTCCCTCCTCCTTTCTCCTCCCTCAGGAGTCCTCTGAGCATGAACAGAAAGCTGTCTTGGGACTATTGGACTCTTGGCAGGAAAGGGGGTGAGGGGGTTTTCAGAGTGTTCCCGTTGTTTCATTCTTGTGCTTTGGCATGGTTCCCGGAGAGAAAGCAAGTTGCAATGTGGTTCTGAGAAAGGCCTGAGAAGACAATGGGCTCTGTTCTCTACCTTGTTGCAATCTTTTTAGTTACAGCAAGCAGAATGTTTCTGATGCTTAGCTGCTGAGAAAATGATTTTGAAAAGCTTTGAGAAGCTTTGAGCCTACTTGGGGACTTCCGGGGTGGCGCCATTGGCAATGGCGGACTCCCTCTGAACTGGAGGGACCAGCTCCGCGTGAAACGGGTCCTTTCCGCTGCGGCGAAGTGGGGACCCTTTCAGAAATCACAGGCGGATGAAGCCTGTGACCGTGGGACTCGGCGGGCACCCTTAGCGCCCCTCCCAACCCACAAAGGAACCCACTAACGGGCTCCGAAGCGAAGAGGGGGAAGTGGCGCAGTGCTGTGAGTCAACTGCTTTTTCCGTGGAGCGAAGCCGCATAGCCGTTGCCGGAGAGCGCTGCCTTTTTCCTGATACAATTTGGCATCTAAAATAATCACCCGTGAGTACTCAAACATCGAACAATTGGACTTCAAATAAGAACTGGCGATTAGAAAGGAATTGGACTTAAGAATTTATCCTAATTTGGTACTGAAACAGGAAGGTCTAAACAGGAAGTCAGCCTTCCGTTTCTTTGTAGCCAGAAGAAAGCAAAGATAACGTACACTAGAGCTTAGAAAATCACTTTTAAAGGATCGGTTTTCACCATTTAAGATCGTTGAACCCCCCCTTCAGTAGCAGGAGAAGAAGGGGGATCTTTTTTGGACTGTTTAAACCTGCAGAAGTGAGTTTAAAGTAAAGTAACTTTCCACCTTCCTGACCCTGGAGCGGGGTGTCAGAATTGACGTTTTGAAGCTCATTGACCAGAGACAAATGTTTTTGACAGATAGTTAAAAGAAGAGTAACATTGTGATTCCACTGTTTCCTTTCGCATTTTAAAGGAACAAATATTGACAAAATATCTTAAAAAAAAAAACTTTGTTGCTATTGTTTTTAAAAGAACAACCAGAAGTTTCCCCCTAGAGGGGGACTGTGAAACTGTAACCAATTCTAGGGAGCTTGCAGCTGCCACAGATTACAACCGTGGGAAAGGACTTGTGACATTGCAGGACAATGTTTTCAGAAGCACTGTTGGGTGCTTTCTGTAAAATAAATGCCGTATTGGATCAGTTAAGTCAGAAGACGGATTTGATGACTAATGCGGCCAGAACATTTGAACAGGTAGTGGGGAACTATACGGAGCCCACCCAGGAACTTAAACAGAAGTGTGCCATGACAGAACAGTTGAGAGAAGAGGATGTTGTTGAATCTTGGGCGCCAGAAAGGTAGGGTCTTCTGGTCCAGCAGGAAAATGAGCCTTTGGATCTGACAAATTAACTTGGAAAAAACCAGATTTTGAAAGACAAAGTTTGGACTGATTTGGAAATGGGGGGTTGGACTGACCTCCCTATGCAGGGATGTTTGGACTTTCCGAGTCTGGCAATGGGCCGTCAGAGGTTTGGAGCTGTTGGGGCTTCCAATTTTGGAGGGAATTTGAAACATGTCTTAAAATACCACATGGAGTCTAGTCTGGACTATGGGAAAGGGGCTGATTTGTTGAAAAGGGTCAGAAACACTACCAAGCTGGAGTTCCCACGAGTGAAAGGAAAATATGAAGAAGAGCTGCGGAAGGGGCATGGAAGAGATTTGAAGGCCTCGGATATAAGATCACCAGGTTAATGTGCCACACTATTGGGATAAAAAGGACTGACAATCCCGGGACTGGGGGGAGGGGACGCTGGAAGAAGATTGGATTGTTTTTATTTCTTTTTTCTATCATTAGGAATATTTTATAAAATTGATGAACTTGGAAAAATGTTGAAATGAAATTACTTGGCTCTTGTAAAAATGTTTAAAGAATTAATTAAAAGGTAATGGTTATGAGAAGTTGGTAAAAATAAGATTTAAGTCTTAAGCGTTAAGGTTTTTTAAAGATAAGATGAAAATAGAGTAGGGTAATGTAAAGACAGAATATTATGAATCATGGAAAGGATTTGCTGTGACAATTATTAATCAAGATACAAGAGATGGGAGGAGGAGGAGGTCATGGAAAGAAGGTAATGAAAGTGGAGAATTTGAGAATGATGGTTGTATTTTTTCTTTTTCTGTTTTTGTCTTTTTTCTTTGTAATTTTAAAAAATTCTTTTTTCAATAAATATAATTAAAAAAAAAAAAAGAGAAGCTTTGAGCCTGCTTGGGGGGGGTGACTTCGGGCCTAGGTGAGGTCACCTGTCCTCACCTTCCTTCAATATCATCATCATCATCATCATTTGGGTCAATAACAGGGCATATAAGATACAATATAGTACATTAAAAACACTCTTAAATACACCCTTAAATGTAGAATTAAAAGCAATATAAAATGTTTCGCACTTCGTATTAATTTACAAAATCCAAAGGGGGGGCAGGGGCCCCTCCCTTCCTAGGAATCATCTGGCCCTTCGCTCCCCTCCGACCCGCCTCCTGGCCCCCGAGCGTCCCCTCACGCAGGCGACGCTTCGGGCATGATGGGAGTTGTAGTCCACCCACGGGGACAATGGGATCCGAGTCGCGAAGCGCGGAGAAGACCCAGGCGGGCGGTCTGGCCCTTCGTCTCTATGCCCGCCCCTCTTGCTCAGCAGTGCGCAGGCGCGCGGCGCCCGCCATCTTTCTCGCTTTCGGAAAGAAGCGGCGGCGGTGAGTGAGGCTGGCGGGGGCCGAGGGGCCTCGGGCGGCGGCGGCGGGTCCTCGCGGCCCCTGGTGGCGGGGCGGGGGTCCGGGGTCCGGGGGGGCGAGGGGCCTTGGCCTGCAGGCTCCTCCGAGAGAGGCCGCCGCCCCTTCCCGGGATGACTCGGCAGGTTCCTCTGGCTGGGCCGCAGCCCGACCGGGGCAGCTCGGGGGCGGGCAGGCAGGCAGGGGTGGGTTGGGCTAGATGACCCCCAGGGGCCCCTTCCAGCTCGCCTCTCATGCCAGGAGTAGCTTTCTGGCAGACTGGAGCTCAACAGGTGGAGCTGCCGCCAGCGAGCGACCCCGCCATTCCTCCTCACATTTGGGCGGCCTGCCCTGCGAGGGAGCCGGGTGGAGAGGCAGTGCTTCTGCTGTTTCCTTGTCTGAACTCTAGATCCATTTGTTGTTATTTGAAACTGTGCAGTTTTGTGGAGGTCGGGGAATAACACCCGCTCCCCCCCCCAAAAAAAAATAGTAGGAGCATTTTGCCAGTTTTCCTTAATGTTTGTTTTTGAAGGGGAGAAGGATCTCTATCCTGTTTCTCTTCTAGGGGTGTTTCAGTTTAGAACACCATCCTTTTCCTTTGTAACCACCTGTGTTTCTCTGTGAGATCGTTTATGGTTATGTACACACATTTGGACGTTAACTTTGCCAAGAATAACATTTCATACACCTAAAGCTTGAAGTGGTCTTGTGCCAATGTTAAGAAAATGTTTTAAAAGTGTGGGAAGAAAGGGATGTTGCTTAGGAAAATGCTTAGGGGTTTTTTTTTTTAATTGACATATTAACGCTTGAATTGAACTTATACAACAACTTCACAAGCTCATCGAAGAAATCTGGGAGAGAAGATCCCAGCAGACGACAGGAATGCCAAAATTATCAATCTCTTTAAAAAAAGGGTGATAGAATGGATCGTGGAAACTATCGAGGCATCTCTTTATTAACTGCAGCCGGCAAAATTTTTTGCAAGGATATTAGCAAACCATCTCTTAACAATATCTGAGGCTACCCTTCCTGAATCCCAAAATGGTTTTAGGCATTCTAGGGCAGGCATCCCCAAACTCGGCCCTCCAGATGTTTTTGGGACTACAACTGCCATCATCCCTAGCTAACAGGAGGGATGATGGGAATTGTAGTCCTAAAACATCTGGAGGGCCGAGTTTGGGGGTACCTGTTCTAGGGGACAGTGGACATGATTTTCACCACTTGACAGCTTCAAGAAAAATGCGGAGAGGAAACCAACTCCTGTATATAGCGTTTATTGACCTGACTAAGGCCTTCAACACTGTAAATCATAATGCTTGTTTACGAAGCTATTGTACTACCAGCCTTACTGTATGCTTGTGAAACATGGGCCACTTATAAACACCATCTCCAACTCCTCAAAAGATTCCATCAGCGGTGTCTCCGAACATTTTTACACACTTGGGAAGACAGGCAAACTAATGCCAGTGTACTGGAAGAAGCAAATATCACCAGTGTCAAAGCAATGATTCTTCAACAGCAACTTTGTTCAACTGGTCATGTTGTGTGGATGCCTGATTATCGTCTTCCAAAGCAACTACTCTATTCCGAACTTAAAAATGAAAAGCGTAATGCTGGTAGTCAATAAAAGAGGTTTAAAGACTCCCTCAAGGCAAATCTAAAACAATGTAGTATTAAACTGACAACTGGGAAACATTGGCCTGCGAGCGCTGCAAAGCCTTTACCAAAGGTGTTGTGGACTTTGAAGATGCTCGAACTCGGGACGAAAGGGAGAAACGTACTAAGAGGAAGGCACGCTTGGCAAACCCTCACCGTGATCAGCTCCCGCCCAGAAACCTATGTCCCCACTGTGGAAGGAGCGTGGATCCAGAATTGGCCTCCTCAGTCACAGACTCAATGTTAAAACGGTGTTCATGAAAAACAATCTTACTCGGCTACGAGTGATCACCAGAGAAGAAAGAAGAAGATACTCTCTAATTCTGTAGCTGCTTGGGGGCGGGGGCGGGTAATTCATAGTACAGTGGTAGCTTGGTTCTTGAACTTAGTCCGTTCCGGGAGACCATTCGAAAACCAAGGTGCGGTTTCCGATTGGCTGCAGGAGCTTCCTGCACTCAAGCGGAAGCTGATGTTGGGCTTCCGAAAAATGTTCGCAAACTGGAACACTTACTTTTGGGTTTGCGGCATTCAGGAGCCAAGCCTTTTGAGTACCAAGGTACCACTGTAAAAGCAGAACTTCCGTATACCAGGGATTAAGGGAAGAGTTTCCAGGTCATGGTAGGCTGAGCATTTCTTCCCCTAGAAAATAATTACTGAATGTAGCTGGACAATATTCCCTTCTCTACTCATATATAAAAGCTTGTGCCATTATAAATCTGTTAATATTTAAGATGTCACAAATACCTTTGATGCTACAAAATCTAAATACCAGCTTGTGCAAGGACTTTTAACTTGGTTTACTGTAGTCAGGATAGCTCAGTTGGTAGAGAATGAGACTCTTAATCTCAGGATTGTGGGTTCAAGCCCCACGTTAGGTAAAATTGTATATATGGAAGTTTTATGATGGCCTATACTTGTAATAAGGGACGCGGGTGGTGCTGTGGGTTAAACCACAGAGCCTAGGACTTGCTGATCAGAAGGTCGGCGGTTTGAATCCCCGCAACAGGGTGAGATCCCGTTGCTCAGTCCCAGCTCCTGCCCACCTGCAGTCCCAGCTCCTGCAGTTCGAAAGCATGTCAAGTGCAAGTAGATAAATAGGTACCGCTCCGGCGGAAAAGTAAATAGCATTTCTGTGCGTTGCTCTGGTTCGCCAGAAGTGGCTTAGTCATGCTGGCCACATGACCTGGAAGCTGTCCGTGGACAAACGCCGGCTCTATCTGCCAGTAAAGCGAGATGAGCACAGCAATCCCAAAGTCGTCCGCAACTGGACTTAACGGTCAGGGGTCCCTTATACCGGTATTTGTAATGTCTATTAAAGGTTTGGCGAAGTAAGTAGATTCCTGCATGGCAGGGGGTTGGACTAGATGATCCTTGTGGTCCCTTCCAACTCTACAATTCTTTGATTCTATGATTCATCTGTTTCTAAAACAGTGTTTGGTAAGCGTGGGATGTCACTGGTATATGCAGTTAAAGCTGCCATTTTTCTTACTGGTCCTGGCAGTCTTTCTCTCAGAAAAGTAGCAGATGAAGCTTTTCTTGCCATGGATGAATGGTAGGAATTTCCATGAGACAGGCTTGCTGTTAAGGGCTTTGCAGAACATTCAGGAAAACGTTGGCAATCCTGTGTGTGATCCATCTAACACCCATTTGTTTTCTTTTGCAGCATACTACAGTCTACAAGCACCATGGTGAGTTTCTGTCCTGTTTCTGTGGAAGATGGGTATATTTTAGCAATGAGGGTGGGAGCAGTTTTCAGATTACATAATGTAAGAACAGGCTGTGGAATCACACCCGTGGCCTACCTAGTCTAGTATCCTGTTTTGACAGTAGCCAACCAGATGACTATGCAAAGCCTGCCAGTAGGGCGTGAGTGCAACAGTACTTTCCACTCCTGCAGTTTTCAACAACTCGTGTTTAGAAGCACTCTGGCCGTAGAAGATAGCCAGTAGTAGATTGAGGCTCAAGCTGTATGAAAACAAGGTTAATGAAATGCGGGGAGGGGCTATGTTGACAGGTCCACAGATATATGCAGAATAAAAAAAAATTCACTGTTCAGAATATAAAAAATGAGGTTTTTATGAAAATCAGAAGTGTGGGCTCATTTATGGGATTTCCATGCACTTAGAACATGAAAAACAATAGACCTATGTGCCAAGAGTGACTGCCCCTTCCTTTTTGACAACTGCTTATCTCCCAGCACTCGATGGATGGGTGGTTGCCTGCTCTTGATGAGGTTGCATTTCCTCTGAAGGAGCAGGTACACAGCTTGTGGGCACTTCTGTCGCTTGAGGCTTAAGTGGCCTTGGTGGCGCAGTGTGTCTTCCATCAGTTTTGGTTGGTGGCCTGACTACACCCCTATCTAGGCAGGGACAGTCTTAACTACTGCTCTCTATGCTCTGATAACCTCTAGGCTAGATTACTGCCATACATAGGGCTGCCTCTGAAGACTGTTCAGAAACTTCAGCTGGTGTAGAATTTGGCAGTCAGGTTGATCACTGGGGCAAGACGGTTTGAGCATATTGCACCGATCCTGGCCTGACTGCACTGGTTGCCAGTTAGTTTCAGGACCTAATTCAAAGTGCTGGTTTTGACCTATAAAACCTTAAACAGCTCTGGACTCCCATACCTCAAGGAGTACCTGGACCCTGCCATCATCATCTAAGGCCATTCTTCATGAGAGGTCTGGAGGGTAGCAACACAAAAATGGGCCTTCTCTGCAGTGGTTCCCCACTTTTGGAATGCTCTCCCCAGGAAGGCTTGCCTGGCTCCTTTGCTACTTATCTTTGGTATCAGGCAAAAACATCCCTCTTCTCCCAGGCCTTTGGCTTATTAAACAATCTATGGTCCTTAAAACTTGAGGGTTTTGTTGTTGTTGTTGTTGTTGTTATGCTATATATTTTTGTGTTTTTTTATTGTAAGCCATCCTGTGATCTTGGGGTATAGGACGGTATATAGATCAGACACAGAAATTTGTGCCTCTGACATGCATTGACATGGAACCCAAAGTAGAGTTAAGGACCCCCGTTGGGTTTCAAATAGACTGTCTTTTGTGACACAGTTCAGAAGGATAAAACTAGCAGTGGATAAGTTTAGCAGCTACCTACCCAGATGTTTTTTCCCAAGTTCTTATTTTTCCAAGTACTATGGATGTTGCAGTTTATCATTTGAATGGTTTGTAAATTAAATAATCATCTTTGCAGTCTCGAAGATATGATTCACGAACGACAATATTTTCCCCAGAAGGTAATTGCATTGCAACATTTCAATTTCTGTCTTCATCAGCTGCTCTGATAAAAATGAAATGATGCTGTTTCCAAGGTGGCAGTTACGGAGCTTTGTGAATGGTTCATTGGTTGTAATATTTCATTTTCACATTGCTGTAATCTGCCTTGAGAGGTTGGCTGTGTACTGGAGCATAAGGATTTGATCTCCTGGGTTGCCATAAGCAGCAACTGAAGTTCACCTGAGGATAAACTCCTGTGCACACTTACCTTGAAGTACATCTCATTGAAAACAGTGGAACTTGTTTCCCGATAAACATGCGTAGGGTAGCACTGTGAGCATAATGCATTTGAATATTAATTATCTTAACTATCAGTTTTATGGGTTGTAACCAGATGTGTCCCCCGTACTGACAGAAAGCTCTTTCATCCAGTGGACCCTTCCATCAGTGGAATGAAGCTATATTTACCCATTCTTCCAGGCCACCTCCCAGTTCTCTGGAGCAGGTTTTGAATGTTATAGTTGCAGAGGGGATAGGAAGTTGGTAAAAGAACTACAACAAAAACACCCTCATTCCACTGGCAAAATTCTGCACGGAATTAAAGAGTCTTCCATCAGAATGAAGGGCACCCTTAGTTACAACCATATGCTGTTATTTTACACTAACATTATTTCTAAAAGTGGCAGTCTTTATTTATTATTCTATGTGGACTTGGTCAAAGTGGATTGGAACCAGAAATAGCTTTCTGCAAATGGAAGGATTCCTTCTGTTTGCAGAGGAGACCCCAGTCCAGCCCAGGCTCCCACAGGAGAAAGGGTGAGTCAGTGATTTCTGCCCATTCCCCTGCGTCTCCCACGTTTTCCAGAAAGCTGCTCTGCAGGGTCCGGGTATCCTCGTGAGAGGTGGCACTGGGGTCTGCAGAGTGGAGGAGGAAGGGGCAGAAATTGCTGAATCACTCTTTTGCCCAGCAGAGCGTCAGAGGAGAACTCTCCTTGTGGGAAGTCTGGGTTGCATGCTATATATTTTGTTCTGGACCAAAAGAATCCCTGGCTAGGACACAAATGAAGGAAATTTGATGCTTGTGTGACTCTGGCCTAGAGTTTAAATCAGTGACTCAGCTGCCACTATTACCCCCTCAGGTCGCCTGTATCAGGTTGAATATGCCATGGAGGCCATTGGACACGCAGGCACCTGCCTGGGGATTTTAGCAAATGATGGAGTCTTGCTGGCAGCAGAAAGGCGCAACATCCACAAACTTCTGGATGAAGTATTTTTTTCAGAGAAAATATACAAACTCAATGAGTAAGTTGTATGCCCCTATGTTTTATATATTTTTTTGTTTAAAGGTGGTACGATTATAAATGTTTTGAGGAAAAGTCTCAGCTCAGTGCCCCAAATTCAATCTCTCACATCTTCAAGTAGGGCTAAGAAGAGACCCATCTGAAATTTGGAGGCTACTGTCAGTTAATGTAGAAAATACTGAGCTAGATGGACCAGTGATGTGACTCCATATAAGGCAGCTCCCTATTTTTCTGCAAGTTCAGGTTATGAGGTATTGACGTCTTTGATTCCCTGCCTTTTTCAACTTCCATTTACAGGTGTCTCTTTCAGGGCTGCTGCCATAGCAACATTTTTCTCCTAGCAGAAATAATACTGTGCTAACATTCCTTTTCTGTAGTGAGTTGATGTATAACTTTGCCATCAATTTCTATGCATTCAGAAACATTCAATAGCATTCCTATATTTCAGCAACAAAATATTCTGTATTTGATCTCTCTATAGTTCTTGCCATTCCTCTTCTAGGCATCAGTAGTAGGAGCCATAACTCTCCCCTGGACTGTTAAGGAATATTTTACCATATCAACAAATTAACTTAATGTTTATTTGGTTTAGGCTCCATACCAATTTAGGCTACCCTTTCTTTTCCTAAATCCAATCCTTAAATTACTTACTTTGTTTTCCTTCTGCTGAAACAATAGCTATCATGTAACCCTCTTAAATTCAGCAAGAAAAGCATTTAGTAAAAACAGGTTAGAACTATTGAGACACAAAGTACTTTTTGTCAAGAAAGCAGATACAGCAAAACTTTTTTTAATACCTCTAGCAGCTGTTTACAGTTAATTTTCTAGGACAGTGCTCTCCTTTCCTACCTTCCAGTTTACCCTTTCTGCCTTTGTTTCTGTGTTGAAATTTTGGCAGGTGAAGCGTTTCTGTCTGGTACTTCTGGCTTGTTTGCAGTGCATCTTCTCAAGTGTACCCTCCTGTGCACCCTATCGGATGCTGAATCTTTCGTATCTATACATCCACCTATTTTTGTTGTTATCCAGTAAGAGCACCCACCCAATTCCTATGCCTCCCCACCCATTGTTTCATGCATCTCTGGCTGGGCAGGTGCCCTTACTTTGGGATGATCCATATCTGGACTTCCCAAGTGTACGATTTTTTGTTATCTTCTTACAAACGTTTGTGAGCGGTGTCAGTATTGTTGAAAAATATTTGATGTGACCAGAGGAGAGAAAATTGTTTATCTACTTGTTTTCAAAAGTCCAGCTGTGTGTTTCATTATGATAATTTGTGGATTAGTTTTGATGACATAGAAGCACACGCACTGTGTTAATACAAGTTGTTTGATAAACCCATATAATCAGCAAACTGTTTCAAGTAATGACTATGTGCAGTGAAGATATAGGCTCGGTTGGAGCTAAGCGTGCTATGGTGTTATGAAATAGTGCCTGTGCTTTATAAAATGGTACGTGAAGCTCACAGTCAAACACAGTGATCTTCTATATTCCAGGGATATGGCTTGCAGTGTGGCTGGCATAACTTCAGATGCCAATGTGCTAACGAATGAACTGAGGCTGATTGCACAAAGGTATGTTTGTTTGTTTGTTTGTTTGTTTGTGTTTGCATTCTTCTGCCCTGCCCTTCCACCTGCCCAGGGCTGCCAGCGGGAAGGTAAACGGCGTTTCCGTGTGCTGCGCTGGCTCGCCAGATGCGGCTTTGTCACGCTGGCCACGTGACCTGGAAGTGTCTCCGGACAGCGCTGGCCCCCGGGCTCTTAAGTGAGATGGGCGCACAACCCTAGAGTCTGTCAAGACTGGCCCGTACGGGCAGGGGTACCTTTACCTTTAAATGACAGTGCAGGCAGGAGAGAATAGTAAAATCACAAGAATGGTTGGAATCTTTAAGAGACAAATTCATGACAACTGATGTTAGGCTTGGAACCTAAAGTCCAGCAGTATGACAAAGTCACCAGACATACTTGTTTTCTTCTTGTATCAAAAGATGTTACTAATATGTAAATTCTGAAATAAAGACAATGTGTGTCTTTAGATTTCAGACTTGCTGTCTAAAATTAAATGGAAGTATTTCCATGTTCAAAGGAGCCAATTGTTTAGACCAGCCTTTTTCGATCTTGGGTTCCTAGATGTCGTTGGACTACAACTCCCTTCATCCCTGATCACTGGCTATGCTGGATGGGACGGATGGGAGTTGTAGTCCAACAGCCTCTAGGAACCCAAGATTGAGAAAGGCTAGTTCAGAATGTACAAAAAAACCCCCAATGTTCTGTAGTTAGATCCTAATCAAACCTATCATAAGTAAATCTTACTGTATTTAGTGAGATTTCCTTCCTGTTAGTCTTTCATCTTTAGCCGTAGTCTGCAGAGATTAAGCAATCTGTTGATGGTGCCTTACTTTAAAGTTTAAAGCATATGAGGTGATATCCAGTGTTGTTCACAGGGACTTCCCCCTTCCTCTCCTTTTGCCTGCTCTAGGGTGTAATAATGTAAAGGTAAAGGACCCCTGACAGTTAAGTCCAGTTGCGAATGACTCTGGGGTTGCGGCGCTCATCTCACTTTACTGGCCAAGGGAGCCGACGTTTGTCCGCAGACAGTTTTTCCAGGTCATGTGGCCAGCATGACTAAGCAGCTTCTGGCGAAACCAGAGCAGCACACAGAAACACCGTTTGCCTTCCCGCCAGAGCGCTACCTATTCATCTACTTGCATTTTTGGCATTCTTTTGAACTAGGTTGGCAGGAGCAGGGACCGAGCAACGGGAGCTCACCCCATTGCAGGGATTCAAACCGCCAACCTTCAGATTGGCAAGCCCAGGAGGCTCAGTGGTTTAGACCACAGTGCCACCCGCGTCCCACTCTAGGAGGTACCACCTTGCAGATCTGCTCTAGGGTGTACCGCTGCACTCTAGAGCAGATTTGAGAGACATGCAGGAGGGAGGAGAGGAAGGGGAAAGTCCCCTTGTGCCATCAGAAGTCTGTTCTGCTTGCAGATGGGTATTGCAGGTGAGATTCAATTGTATTCCAGACACTTAAACATGTTTAAATTGCTTCGTAAAACCAGTGGGATGAGTTTTTTGCTTTGACTTGATCATGACCATTGACCAAAATCCCAGGAAAAGCTGCTTGGTTTTGGGAGGGACTGAGCTGCCCTTAAAGCAAGGGTCAATTGCATGCCTTGTTAGAAATCTTTAAAAATAGAATAGTCAAAGAGTATCTAATCACACCTCAGACAGAGCAGAACAATCTGTCCTCTCAGTGACTTTTTTTTTTTTGCTAAGACAGCAAGATATGTATCCACTTTGAAATTGGACAATGAAAGTGGTTTGATTACCTTTTTTTCCTTCTTTCTGTGCTCCCCAATTTTTCTTTGTTTCAGAGTGGCTGTACTCTTATTTGCAACCCTACTTCAACTGCTCAGTGACCCAGTTTAGGGTCCCAGTGGATCAGCTACAGAATGCTGACTTGGCTTTTGAATTAAGTTATTTTAAGTAGCATAACAATCCTGCCTGCCTACAAATATTTGGATTTCCTTCAATCCTTTTAATTTATATCATTAAAAGTAACGATATAAAGGCATTTTTCATTTTCTGGGCAACCTTTTGAGGGCCACGGGCCAGTGGTGGGCAGGGGAATGAATGTACAACAGATTGAGGATGCAATCCAGCCAGGCAAAGCCATTCATAGTACAAAACCAAGAAGAGTTCTGGGGGCCAGATAGAGAACCCCAGAGGACTGCTTTTGGCCCCTGAGGCTCCTCACCCCCATTCTAATGAGTCTTATAGGAGCTTTGAAATTGTAGATTTAGCACTGTGTCTTTCCTAAGCTGGGTTTTTGTGTGCCACAGTCCCCCCCCGTACTGTTTAACAATCCCAGTGCAGCTTGATGTAGGTCCTCCAGGCTGTAGTGAAGCAGTCCCTATGGCAGATGCTTGAAGGAAAGGTGAAAGGGATCAAAACAAGACAGAGAAGACCAGTCTCTCCAGTCATCGGGGGGCGGGGTGTTGGAATTTTTGTTTTCAAGCATGTCAGTCTGTTGGGGTCTGAAAGTAAAACATAAACATGGTGCTTATTTGTAGCAATTTCTATAGGGATTTTTTTTAAAAAAAATTTATTTGATAATATTTTACCCTGATGCTGTAAGAGTTGTTCCAGGTAGCTTCAGAAGTAGACGGGAAACCATTAATCATTGCACCTGGTGCATTAGCACATTGAAGAGGTCCTTATCATGGTGACTCCCTGTTTGTGGAATGCTCTCCCCAGGGAGACTTGCTGGTGCCTTTGTTACGTATCTTTAGGCACCAGGTAAAAACATTCCTCTTCTCCCTGGCCTTTGGCTAATTATATAATATGTGGCCGTTTAAGGTGGCGTGTGGGATTGTTTTGGTTTGTTACTATGTTATGTATTTTTGTGTTTTTCTATTGTAAACTGCTCTATGATCCTCAGATGTAGTGTGGTTTAGGAATTTAATAACATGTTTGTAAATATTGTGCCAATTGTTCTAGGTATCTGTTGCAGTATCAAGAACCAATTCCTTGTGAGCAGTTGGTAACAGCCCTGTGTGATATCAAGCAAGCTTATACACAATTTGGAGGTAACATTTTTACCTTTAAAGTGGCAAATAAAAGTAACTTGGAATACAGAGCTCTGTCCTAAAAGTTAGATTCCTAGTCAAGTACAGGAAATCACTACTTCCAACACCAATAATTTAATTCATGGGTAGGCAAACTAAGGCCCAGGGGCCGGTTCCAGCCCAATCACCTTCTAAATCCGGCCCACAGACGGTCCGGGAATCAGTGTGTTTTTACATGAGTAGAATGTGTCCTTTTATTTAAAGTGCATCTCTGGGTTATTTGTGGGGCATAGGAATTTGTTCTTTTTTCTTCTTCAAAATATAGTCCGGCCCCCCCACAAGGTCTGAGGGACAGTGGACCGGCCCCCTGCTGAAAAAGTTTGCTGATTTAATTATTGCTGCTGGGCTGTAAGCAGCTGGCTCTAATTCTGCTGGCATAGATTGAGCCCAGAGTCAGACTGAAAAATTGACTTTGAGGCAGAGCTCCTTGGAAAGGTGCACTCACCATCCCTGTGTTTGGTGGGAGGCTTCTTCAAGTGGTGAATCGCTCCAGTGGTGCTTGAATCGCTTGAGATGGCAGGTCAGTCTGGTGTAGTTAATTAACCGGCAGAACAAATTGTATTTTGGTCCTCTGAATTCTCTCTTTGGGGTATAGATGACATGGATCTTTTATTATTAATTTGCCTCTGCTTTTTAATTAAGAAATCTGCCTATTGACTATTGCAAGGCTTGAACAGAGTTGTTTGTTGTGTCTGATTTTCCAAAATGCATTTCAGGTTTTTGTCTTAAATAAATATTTACTTCAAAATAAAACAAGTTTTTTTGGGCTGGGGTGGGGGAATCAGTCCTTAATCACTCTGTATATGTTTTGCAGTTACTTATGCTTGTGTGTTGACTCTTTCAAAGAAACATAAGGGGGAAACTGCATGAGGGCAGGCTGACAAAAATAGGTCTCTGGCATCCTTGTTCTTACACACATCTTGGAAAGAAACTGTGGGGCTGAGGCAGTATTGGAGCTTATCTTAAGCAGCAGAAGTTCTGAACAAGCTACTAAATCCTAGTTCATAGAAAAAGGATTTTGCATTCGTCTTGGCTTTTCCCCTTTTGAAGTGGGACTCTTGGCAAATTGTGCTTAATTTAAATCACTCATAACCTTGTGCTTTAACAGGAAAGCGTCCTTTTGGAGTTTCACTGCTGTACATTGGCTGGGATAAGCATTATGGATTCCAGCTCTATCAGAGTGATCCTAGTGGGAACTACGGGGGATGGAAAGCCACCTGCATTGGAAACAACAGTGCTGTAAGTTTGTCATCTTTCATGCTAAATTCCTTCTTTCGTAATCTTGAACATAACTTTTTTGCAAATAGAGCATCCAGCAGTAAGGTCTATGCTGAGTATCCGCTAGCAGGCTTTGACGCTTCCCGTCTTACATAAAGGCACAGCAGAACTGCAGTGTCATCTTTTATGTTCTTTAACAGGCAGCTGTGTCAATGTTAAAGCAAGACTACAAAGAGGGAGAAATGACCTTGAAATCCGCCCTTGCCTTGGCTGTCAAAGTCCTGAACAAAACCATGGATGTCAGTAAACTCTCTGCAGAGAAAGGTGAGCCGTAATGCGTCTTTTCTTGTGAGGCATTAAGATGCCATCACAAGAGGTTTTGGCCTTCCCTCTGGGAAGTGTGTATCTGTTTAATAAATGCTACAGTTGGCAGTGTTTTCTAATGCTCTGTATGTTTGACATATTAAATAATTTAATCTGTCAGCATCATCCATAATGATTTTTCCCTGTCTTAATATGAGTAGCATGACAGTGCCTAATAGCTGGTGGTGGCGGTGGTTGTATTTCCTTCCACATACCGTATTTTTCACTCTATAGGACACACTTTTTCCCCTTCAAAAATTAAAGGGAAATGTGTGTGCGTCCTATAGAGCGAATGCAGGCTGCGCGGCTAAGCCCAAAGCCAGAACAGGGAAACGGAGAGCTGCGGAGCGCTCCGTCTTGCTATTCTAGCTTGGGGGTGGCCTTCACCCCACTGTCCTGCAGAGGCTAGCAAGGCTGTTCCCAAGCCAGAACAGCAAGACGGAGCCATCCGTCCTGCTCTTCTAACTTGGGGGTGGCTGTGCGCAAAGGAAGGCTGTTCCCAAGCCAGAACAGCAAGACAGAGGGCTCCGTCTCGCTCTTCTAGCTTGGGGGTGGCTGCGCGCAAAGGAAGGCTGTTCCCAAGCCAGAACACCGAGACGGAGCCATCCGTCCCGCTCTTCTAGCTTGGGGATGGCTGCGCGCAAAGGAAGGCTGTTCCCAAGCCAGAACAGCGAGACGGAGGGCTCCGTCTCGCTCTTCTAGCTTGGGGATGGCTGTGCGCAAAGCCTCTGCAGGGCAGCGGGGCACTGCGCTCCAAAGGCTTCAGGGATCTTTGAGGCTGGCGGTGGGGGAAAGCAGCGCTTCCCCCCACCGCCAGCCCCACAAGCTTGGGTGAATGCACCTTGAACGCACCTTGTTTTAGAGGGTAAGAACAAGGAAAAAATTTTTTCCCTGTTCTCCCCCTCCTATGGTCTGGTGCGTCCTATAGAGCGAAAAATACGGTATGTCCCAAGATGATGTACAAAATATAATAAAGCCTGCTTAAATAGTTACATAGGAGACGTAGAAAGCTTCCTTACACAGAGTCGAGCTGCTGGTTCATCTAACTCAGCCCTGTCTGCATTGACTGGGTTGCAGGCAGGAGTTTCTCAGCCCAACCTGGAGATGCTGGGGATGGAGTCTGCGACCTTCTGCATGCCAAGCAGATGCTCTGCCCCGGAGCCATGAGCCTGAGCCTTCCCCAAAACACTCCGCAGTTTTCCTATGGGGAAAACAGATCTTTAAAGAAAATTCAGGATTGCAAGGATTCTGACATGCTCAGTATTTTGTTAGCGGAAATTTTATGTTGTGAACAGCCCTGTGATGTTTGGATGAATGGCGGTATACAAATTTCATAAAAATAAAGACGAGGAACTTCCATTATCTGCTGAAGTGTCATAAAACCTTCTATCTTTATCTTGTACTTCAGTGTTTTCTGTTGGCACTGGAGAGAAGCCACAGTTAAGACATTTGCTCTAGTTTGGTGAATTTTTAAAGCAGAGAACGGATGTTGACTAATTGCCAGTTTAATAATTTAAGGCAGTCCCTTTCATATGTCAGTCATACAAATTGACAATATTTTTTGTAGGGGCGACTTGTACCTTCTTCCTTTGGCTGACTCAATTCAAAAGAAGCCTTGGATATTCAAATGTATCATTTATATTTTTCATGTTTCAGTTGAGATTGCAACCCTGACAAGAGAGAATGGAAAGACAGTAATAAGAGTTTTAAAGCAAAAAGAAGTGGAAGTGTTAATAAAGAAGCATGAAGAGGAAGAAGCCAAAGCAGAGCGTGAAAAGAAAGACAAAGAGCAGAAAGAAAAAGATAAATAACTTAAGCACTTTGAAGTGGGGAAAATGGGCGTTTTTCGATACACAAATACAGGTCTTACTGGTGGAGTGAAGAAGCTAGTAATGCTGTTTATTGAATCGGGTCCTTTTGTACCAGTAAAACGCGTTGCCCACTTCTTCAGAGAATTATAATTTCTTGGTTCTACTCATCTTTGTTTTTTATTACTTAATAAAACAATACTGTTAAAGTTTGATTGCATCTCTGTTACGTCTAATATACCACTCGTCGAAGCAAACATCTTGGTTTGAAAAATATGGCAGCTTGGAATTGAAGTCAATAGGACCCATAAGATATTTTGCCTCTTATTTGTAGTCATGATGGGGAGGAAGAAAAATGAGGTCTCTGAAATACATTTGTTAGATCTCTTATCCTTCACAGATGGCTAAAGCACAGAAGAAAAATAAGCTCCTTACTACCCAAAATCACATTTAATGCACGTCTTGCCCAAGGCAATAATCTTTTGTATTCTCTTAAATTACTCTATGAAGTGATTTAGAAATCCCAGAACGCAATAAATGAGCAATGAATGATGTTTTGTATAATGCATAGCTCCTGGTTATTTTTAGGATGAGTCTGCTAACTAGGAAAAACAAAACAATAAATAATGGATGCTTAAATATTTTAGAAATGTGTCTCCTGGATGCATGGTTTGGTTCTGAGTTTGTGAGCAGGTAAAATGACATTTGGTCAAAAATGGCTAAGAGTGCAATCCTTTTACATATTTACTCAGAATTAAGTCCCATTGAGTTGAATGGAGTTACTCCCAGGTAAGTGTATATAGGGTTGCCACCTCAACCTCTTTAGCACTTAAATAGAAGCAAAATGCATTTGAAATGGTAATTGCTTACTACTACAGATGTTGGCTCATGTTGTCCACAGTACTCTGTCCAGCAAACTGGTGATTTGTCCAAAGATTCTTGCAAATTATATTTTTGCCACCCCTTGTGAGGAATTGTGATGTAAGCTTTCCCTGGATCGCTTTTAGACATGAACAATAGATTGTAAAGGCAAACAATCAAATCAGTTGAGGCCAGTGAAGTTACCTCTTCATTCAAGGAAACAAACCACAGCTTCGGCCTGGTAGTCTCAGCAACAATTTCCAGGAGGTCCTGCTCAGATGAAGCAGTTGTGAGGCCTGAAGGTCCCTGCTTTCCCAGTGCCCACTGGGACTCCTCTCCAGGGTCTTTCCCATGCAGTCTGCACACAACCTCCCTCTGCTCTGCCTGTTTCATTTCTCTGGGAGGGAGAGGAGCTGGTTGCAGCAGGAGGGGGAGACTCCCTGGCCTCTTGCGGCTCACTAAACCCTTTCACCTCTTCTGCTTCTGGCACCCCCTCCCAGTCTGCTGCTCCCTCTGACCACTCTCGTCTTCCCACCACCAGTCCCTGGCTCTGAGTCGCCTTCCCCAGGGCGCCTCCCTAGCTGGTTCCCCGACTGGTGCTTCCCATCACTCCTCTTCGTCCAGCCAGTCCATGAGATCCTATGATTAAGATTCAAATCAAATATCTTTATTGCGGTCCATAGACCCACAAAACAGTTTCAAAATAAGATACAGTTAAAACAGCCAAACAGGTGAAAGAGACCGAGGTGGTCATTTTGTTATGTCTAGAACATGATGGTCTTTGTTTCTTGTGACCTCCGAAAGAAACTTTGCCACGGCCAGTGTAATGTCATTTGACCTATCCTCCAGAAGGTATTTAATATGGGAGCTTCAGATTTTCCCGGCAAATTTGCTAGTAAGGGTTTGATCAGTTGATCCCTTGCTTGCTCATACTGCCCACAATGCAGTAGGATATGCTTCATGCAATCGGCGTCCTGAGAACATAAACAAAGCCTATTCTGGTGATTAAGATTAGCTATACTTCTAAATGAGTGGTCCAAGTTCCTGAAAGTACATGCAGCATATTTGAATACTGCTACAAAACGTAATGATACAATTTCACTTCTGCCATTCCTATAAGGGTTGTGTGAATAGTGGCTGCAAGTACAGAACTGTCTATAGAATTTTTCATTCAGCTAAGAATCTCCATGTATATATAGAAAAAGTTAGTTTGAAGAACCTTAACTTTCTTTGCACCTCCATGTTAATAGATCTCACTAGCTTAGCATGTGGATGAATGCCATAGTTGCACCCGCTACCAGTGTGGGAAGCATCTGCACATGGAAGCACTAATGCACACAAAATGCACTTCCGCCTGAACCAATTGTATCTCAGTTGCAGCTCCGCTCCCCAGGTAATCGCATTGCTGGTTACATCAGGTGAACCATCCTGAAGAGTTATTAACTTGGTCAGGGGAAGGGCACGATCGCAGAGTGAATGTGCCCTTCCTCTGACCAAGTTAATAACTCTTCAGGATAGTTGATCACAAACTTGCCAGGGGGAGGCAGGGCCAAGGGCAAAAGTTAACTTCTGGTAAATTCCCCTTCCCTAATGTAGAGTCTACTTTCCAGTTCAATATTTTAAATATTTTATTTTTCTATTTGCAGAAGTTTAAAGAAAGATTGGCATTGAAAGCCTTTCCGGGTTATTGACAAGTATCTCGCCATATTCCTATTTTTAGTCGTGGGGTGACATCTGGAGCACTCCTGGAAATGTACCCTTGTAACCTGAAAGCACATGAATCTAAATAGCATAAATTATTTTTTGTCCATTCAGGCCAATTCCCTAATCAACTGAGCTGAATCAATTTTTTTGATCAGGCACAAAACCGTCCTATGCATGACCCCTCAGAAGTAAGTTCTATCAGACTCCCAGATAACTGTACAGGATTTCAGCCATAAATATCCATTAAAACTTTTCAGTGGTTATTCTTTCAAGTTTTAATTGCTTTAGTGCCCTTAAATAGTTTGTCCTTCCTGGAAAAGAATTAACTGGAGTCTTATGACTAAATGGTAATTTCAAGTTCCTTGCATTTAATCTTAAAAAGGTTAAACCAACTTCACAAGAGTTTGCGGGGGGGGGGAGAGACTTTTGCTAGATCAAAAGAACAATCATCCTGGGGTTTTTTAATCAGTAAAACATCACTTTGTTTAAAAAGTAAAGACAACAGCCTGAGCTGCTACCTTCACACCCCGCTTCTGCAGTTCCCAGAACAGTTTGGCGATCTACAGTGGGACACTGGAGACTGCAATGCAAGGATAGGGAAAAAGCGGCCCTCCCACTCTTGTTAGACTACAGTTTCCATCACCCTGACTTATCATGCTGGCTGGAGCTGTGGGAGCCCAACATCGAGATAGCTGTGCATACTTTTGTGTTCTAGATGGACCCTGGCTTCATTGATCAGGGATATTTTTATATTTTGTTTTTTAGTTATATTGAAAGTTGCAAGAAGAAGAAGCAGAAGCAGAAGCAGAAGAAGAAGAAGAAGAAGAAGAAGAAGAAGAAGAAGAAGAAGAGTTTGGATTTGATATCCCGCTTTATCACTCCCCTTCAGGAGTCTCAAAGCGGCTAACATTCTCCTTTCCCTTCCTCCCCCACAACAAACAGTGGGGCTGAGAGACTTCAGAGAAGTGTGACTGGCCCAAGGTCACCCAGCAGCTGCATGTGGAGGAGCGGAGACGCGAACCCGGTTCCCCAGATTACGAGTCTACCGCTCTTAACCACTACACCACACTGGCTCTCAGCCGTGTGAGGAATGGTTGAGGGTGTTGGATATGCTTTGCTTGGAGAAGAGAAGGATGAGCAGTGATATGATGGTCATCTTCAAATACTTGAAGGGCTGTCACCTCGAAGATGTCCAAGCTTGCTTTCTGTTGCTCAGAGGGTGGGATTCAATGGATTCAAATGACAAGAAAGGAGATTCTGACTAAACATGGTAAGAGTTGTTCAAAGGTGGAATGGATTCCCATGGAAGGTGGTGGACTTTCCTTCCTTGGAGGTTTCTAAGTAGAGGTTGCATGGCCACCTCTCAGGGATTCTTCCTCAGCTGAGATTCCTGCATTGCAGGGGGTCGGACTATATGGCCCTGGGGGCCTCTTCCAACTCTATAATAATCCTATCCTCAGTTCCCTGGGAATGAGCCCCACTGAACTTGGTGGGATTTATTTTTTAGTAGGCATGAATATGATATCACTGGATCACATTTTTTGGCTTGAGTATTTATAAACTGAGAATCATAGATTTGGGAGGGAGGGACCTCAAGTGTGCAGCCCCTGTCAGTGCAGGGAATCCACACTACAATATCCCTCACGGGTGGCCCCCCAGCCTCTGCTTAAAACCTATAATGAAGGAAAGCCCCCACCTTCCAGGGGGTCTGTTCTACTGTCAACCAAGTGGACCATCTGGAAATTCTTCCTAATATTCAGTTTAAATCCTTTTTATTGTAATTTGAGCCTACTGATTTGGGTCCTACCCTTTGGAGTGACAGAAAATAAATTCTTCACAGTGTGAAGTAGTTTAAATGTTTTGCACCATCTTTGCTGTAATTAAAATTCATCTACGGTATATGTAGAAAAGACAGACCAAAAAACAAAACAAACCTCAAAAAATTAAGTCAATTTCACTGTCCAGTACGTACCAAAGGAAACTGCAGCAAAATGGAGGCCGTGTTTGAGGTTCTTGGGTACAAAAGGTGACCTGACAAAAAGATGTTTAGCTATGATCAGTGCTTTTTTTCTTAAAAAATGTTGAGGGGTACTCTCCTTTTTACTTAAGAAAATCACCATTTTATAGTTCAAATCGAGGGGAAATAAATATAGTAAATGAACAAAAGTACAAAGCGTCACAAAGTGTTGAGGGGTATGCATCCCCCCAGAAAAAAACATTGGCTGTGATTATTGATTTTCAGAAGGATCCAGCTACGTGTTGCTGTGATGTACTGCTATTTAGGGCAGCGGCATCTTTGTGGAATTAGAAGGACATGGGAGACAGGACAAAATGCTTCCAACTAAAGGCATAAAGCTGTTAATAATTCACTAAGGGAGTAAGGCAAGGTGTGTTTCCCTAGGCGGGAAAGCCACAGACGTGAAGAGTGGGTAAGGACACTTGTTTCAGAGCAACCCACATCAGCACAAATCCACTGAAGGTACATGGCAGGGCAGGGCCAGATTTAAGGTGGTGCAGGACTTCCGAGCCAAGGGGACTCATAACAACAACAACAACAACAACATAATACTACCTAAAGGGTATATTTATGGAGGTGTCTACTCAAAGCTTGGGGGTTCCAGATTTTGCCCTCATTCAGGACACCATATTACCAAAGTCCGCCACTGGGCAGGAGATTAATACTTTATTCAGAATAATGGGCTAAATCGTGTTCCCAAGCCCCACCCCAATGTTATATGATTGGCAGGTGGGTGGCTTCACCCACTGGTGGAGGAAGAGGAGTGGGGGGGGAGCGCACGGCCCCCGGCAGCGCGATCCCAGTAGGGTGCCATCGCAGCTGCCTCCCCGTCCACGCTGGGTGCCCTGCCCCCAAGACACACGCCAGCCCCTCTTGACCTGCAAGAGATGGGGGTGCTAATCATGTGATCCTCTCGGCAGACCAATAGTGTGGCCTAGTATAATGCAGCTGGTTTCATGAAAATATATAATCATTTGTCATAACACCTAGAAAAAGGAAACCAAGGGTCAAGAATCTCCAAGTTGTGCACACAGGGAAAGTTCTAGACGTTTGACCTAATAAATTACAGTAATGGTAAAGAATAGAGCTGAAAAAACTTTCAATGGATATGCTAATTTATGCCAATTAAGATTGCAGCAGGCCATTAGATCCACTTGGTGATAAAAAATAGTGCCATAAATCTGGAACAACACAGCCGATTCAGGAAATGGTTGGCTCCACAAATAAAGCTTGATTGCTGAATGCAATTTGATGGGCAGCACTATAACACATTTTTTTGCTGTTGGAAGAAAATACATTGCTTCATCTAATTCTTTGTCTTGAGCACACATTGTAAAACGAAAGACAAAGGCATGTAATATTCTTTGCAAATTGCCTGTGTGCAATATAGGATTTTGGTGTATATGAAGCAGGGACCCTGCAATGAAGAAAACCGTCAAATAAATCAAGTGCCAGGGGTTTATTGCAGAGCTTTCTAATCAATATCTCAAGCCAGTGCATAATAGATGGAGAGGAAAGTACTATATAAGCAGATTCCTGCATTATATCCACTCACTCACACAACCTGAATGCCATTTTTTTAAAAGAGAAAATCAAAGGTTATTAATTTTATGGAATGATGTGTTTGAAAACTGTTGGTCTAATTATGAATAACACTAATTACATATAAAAGCCATATTTATGTATATGAAACCATTCTATTGTTAAATACTTCTATAAGGCAGAAGATTTCACTACAGTCCTATTGCAGTTACCTGAGAAGAAGCAAATAGGCCTTGTGCTGTTGATTCTTCTTTTACTATTCAAATCTACTTAAGTCCTGCCCATATTTTGGTGACTTGACTCTCAACAGGATTCATGATTCGCGTCGCATACAAGCCAGATATTTGCATCCTGTTCTGGTAGTCAGAGGCTCTGGACTTGCATCTATTTTATGGGAAGCAGAGTTTACATCCAAGGGAAAAAGGAGGCTGTCAATGTCCCAAGGTGAGGCTGAACTACTGTGGAACAGCCTGGCACAGTGGTCCTTGGTGCATAATATCTATCTGTATTTACATACTATTATTCATACACTTATTGGTCAACATGTTGTGCGGAATTGCTGTTGCGTCATGGCTTCTTTCTCTCCTTCCCACGAGAGGATCTGGAGAAGTTACACCTCAATCATTTGCAGTGAGCTCAGCGCTTTGACCACCTACAAATGCACGTTTTCACACAACCCAAATAATGCATTTGAATCTCTCCCACCCTATTTATCTTTGCGCTGTATTCAGGGGATGTTTATTTGTCTCGGAAGGCGCAGAATGGTGTCCAGGCACCTGCCACCTGCCACGGATTCTGTAGCTGCCGTCCCTCCATTACCGAGGCAACTGTCTATAAACAATAAACTTCCATAAAAAATGGCAAAAGTAGTTTCTTTCCCAAATCAGTTTTATCTTAAACCATAGCATACCCTCAAAGTAATTACTTATGCGTTTGTTTGTTTGTTTGTTTGTTTGTTTCCTTCTTAGGTATTTTTATTGGGTTTATAAATATATTAGGACTCCATCTGGGAATGTAATCTGGACACATTAAAACCAGCGGAGAGAGTTGAAGATAGGTGCTTTACAACAAATAAGCGACAGTCATCACAAGTGTGGTTTTGTTCAATGAACTGTTCAACCAGCGGAGCCTCTCTGATGTTGCCTCTAATGTGGGATCGGTGTTCTGAAATATGAGTCTTAACAGGGCAGGTGGTCTTTTAAAAGACCACAGAAAATTTCTCGTCTACCACTGGAACACTTTAAGTGTGGAGGCTGTTGCAACCAGGCTATTGAAAGTGCCTCTTACCATGTCCCTAACAGCTCCATGATTCTGAAATCGAATGGATTCACTAGCTGTGGCACCAGAAACGTGATTTAATTAATTGATTGCCTTTGTCAGTTGATATACATTAGTGCCACCACCCGCCCTGTTAAGACTGCTATAAACTCAACACACTAGTTCCATGTGGACTAAATTCAACATTAGTTCACAGGATTCAAGTAATTACATGCAGCTGTTTGTGGACTTTCTGCCGTTATGTCTTTAAATTTGTGAGCTCTGCCCACGTTTCCTAAGGAGGTTTGACAAACGGAAGGACATTGTTCTCTTTAGTGACTGGGGGTATTAACTAGGTACAGTGGTACCTCTGGATGCAAACGGGATCCATTCCAGAGCCCCATTCGTATCCTGAGTAGAACGCAACCTGCGACTGTGCGTCTGTGCGGGTCGCGATTTGACGCTTCCGCGCATGTGCGTGACGTCATTTTGAGTGTTTGCACATGCGCGAGCAGCGAAACCCGGCAGTAACGCATTCCGTTACTTCTGGGTCACCGCGGAGCATAACCTGAAAACGCTCAACCTGAAGCATATTTAACCCAAGGTATGACTGTACAGTGGTACCTCAGGTTAAGTACTTAATTCGTTCCTGAGGTCCGTTCTTAACCTGAAACTGTTCTTAACCTGAAGCACCACTTTAGCCAATGGGGCCTCCTGCTACTGCCGCACTGCCAGAGCACGATTTCTGTTCTTATCCTGAAGCAAAGTTCTTAACCTGAAGCACTATTTCTGGGTTAGCGGAGTCTGTAACCTGAAGCATATGTAACCCGAGGTACCACTGTATGTGCAAATAGACGAGTTATTGTCTCACTTTTTTCTTGTAGATATGCCCCTGCTTTAAGCTGTTTACACACTGTCTTCTCTTGTGTATCATTTACTACAAAGGTATACCTTAATTACATATTCTCAACGTATTTTTAATTTTAATTCTCCTTATTCTACTTCTTAATTAATTGCCATTCTGTTACAATAGATTTTGGCAGCTTGATGACTCAGCTCTTTAGCACCGAAACGTTGGATTACTGGAACAACATCTGAGCACCCAACCACTGCTATATTGTAGCACCCTGCTTGTGGTTAACGCTTAGGTGGAATGAAATATTCAACGCAGCTATAGAGAAATTAAAATAATAATTTATTTGTCAGACAAATAAATGAGAGACACAGTGGTATATGGATACCAAAGCTCTGCCCACTCCAGCCCTGATGGCCAGCACTTATATTTCCTCAGCCCAGCCCCCTTGCTCCTCCTTTGGTTGCCTCTGTCCAATCAGCCTGGTTGAAATTCCTATTGGCTGTTTGCTAGAACCAATCATAAAAGATACACCCATTTCCTATTACCTTTTATGGGAGACAAAGAGCTATATTTCCTTCTATCCATAAATGGCAGACAAGTAGCCATATATCTTACATTTGCCTCGACAAGGCACCTTAATTACCAGATCATCTTTGCCCTATTGCCCTATTCACTCCAAAACAGATGGCTAAAACAGATGGCTCATGGTAACAGAGATCTTGGGTTCACCTTCTCACACACCATCAATGAAATAAGAATCTAACATAAGAATCTAACATTTCTTACTTTCTAAATCCTTTGCATAATTACATTTAGCCAATAAATTTCATACATTAACATAGCTTTTTAGAAGAAAAGGAACTTAGTAAAAAGGAAACAGCTTCAGAGAGAAGCCTCTTCGGTTTACAACCCCCCTTTCCCCAGCCAGCTGCTGTTCCTATTAGCTCTTGCCCTTTAACCTTATGAAAATATGGCTCAAGTCTAATGGGAGGCACCTAGTATTATTTTCTGTTAAACAATAAATCTCCCTATTTACCAACTCTTAATTAGTGTTTTTGCAGCTTGATTGTATTCTGTAATATGTAGGGTCACTGTAACCTTTGCTCCCAGCCTGTAATTTCCTTTTACAACTTTGAGGTACTGCTATAAATCAGAGGGGCCCTGTTTAGGAAGATAAACATCTGCCAAAGTACTTAGCCAGCTGGTTTCTGCCTGGTATGAAACACACAAGCATCTGCAAATATATCTTTTAAGCTCATTTTAAAATACAAGCCTTGATCAGATGCCTCATTCCCCCCTTTCAAGCTCAAGGACCTTCATCCCAAGTGTCCTTGATAGCTTGACCTTCATCATATTCCTGAGGTAAAGCTCTGTATAGGGCCATGATATGAGGTAGAGTTTCATTTGAAATCATCTTGCTAATTGTACTTCTAAAACATGAAATGATACATGGCACCATACATAAAACCATTACTACTACCGTCAAGAAAAACAAGCAAGACAATAGTATCCCTTTGAGTCCTGCAACATTAGGTAACCAATTGGTGAGCCATCCCATATCCCATCCTTCCCATATTTGTACTGGGACATGTGCTATACTCTCCATCTTTGTGGCCAACACACGGATTGCCTCACCATTATCAGAAATGTTAAAGCAACAGGCATTCCCTGTCAAGTTCAAGACTCCACATAGGCCTCCCTGCCTGGCAAGTACATAATCCATTCCCATTTTCAGCTGCAAAATGGCGGCTCTACTTTCATCCAACTGTTGTGCAATAAGTCTCAAACTCTGGGCCGTTGCATTGGTTACAAGTTCCACTACTGCTTGCAATCGAATTATTCTGTTTAGATTATAAATAGGATCCTGTGCCCCTTGTATGAGCTCATCAGGATTCCAGGAGGCAGGATCATAATAGGCTGTAATGCGCTCTGGTGGCCAATCATCAGTATCGCTCCAACTTTGGGTACTTCCTCCTGCTATATGAGAAATATCAGCGTTTCTTCGTGTATGCTTGGCCGAACTAGTGGGCATAATCCACATTGGTGGTAATACCCATCCCAGGAAACAAGTCCCACTCCATTTGGAAAGGAGTTGCTTGTATGCCCATTCTCCACATATCCACCACAACCATCGGGTCTGAGGTTTTTGGTACGTGGAGTGCATAAGGCGAAATATCAAAAGGGGTATAGAGTTCACAGTGCAGTATGTTAGATTGCCTTTTACTGTCACAGTTATGTTCCACACCATTTTCCATGCATGAATAAAAGGAGGTGCACAGGGCAAGGTATTCCGAGTTCGATAGGTAGTACCGTTTGCCCAGGTTTGACTATTCTTAATATAATCCCAAGTATAGTGGCAATGAGAAGAGCCTACCATGGTAGAATCAGCTGCATCTAATGATTTACGTACACAGAATTCCCCTTGTACAGGTATAACTCGTATTGGTTTAGTTGAGTTCCATCCGGGGAAATTCTGTACTTCTGTTTGGTGTGGCATTTCGCTTACCATACCAATGGCACTTAATGGTATCGGTAATAAGGGCATACCTCCCTCTGAATCATCTGGCCCAAGAGAGCAAACAAGGCAATTGGTCCTATTTGTAACATTGGCTACCATCTCAGCTAAGCCTACCCACATATTGTGGTCATGGCGGAATCCATATTTAGCAAATTTGGTCAGATTCAAGGACCCTTCCCCTTCCCAAGGGATCAGGATTAATAATAAAATCATGTTGATGTCTAGTATATGCATTCCTTCCACAAAAGATTACCTTATTGTGATAGCAAAAAAATATTAGCCCCAATATAATTCTCCCAGTGACAGAAATGTGGAACCACCAAGACCAAAACATATATCTCGAGGATCCCCAATGAGTAATATTCCTGATAATTGTTCCACAAAGGGGGATGTGGCAGTCAATCAATTGTATAAAAGAATCTTCCCGTTCACAATCACTGGTTCAGATGCTCCTCAAGCTTCAGGCGTGCACAGGTCAGCCAGCTTCCAGGTTGTGGCTGCTGCAGGCCAGTCGTCTAATGTTGCCCGTGACCTAGCCCGTTCCCTGTAGGGCTAGATACAGGGGTTTTTGGAGAGAGTCAGTTTAAAAGGATTAGAGGGGTCACCTTTGCACGTCCAACTGCCTTCAGACTTCTTCAAACGGGAGTGATGAATCCAGGGGGTCACCTCAGCTACCTTCACCGCTGTTGGAGTAGAGAGCAAGACGGTGTAAGGCCCACGCCACTTAGGTGCAAGTGGATCACGTTTCCACTCTTTCACCCATACGCTATCGCCAGCCTGGAACTGATGAATCGGCTCGGCAATGCTGCACGGCATGCGCTCGAGGGCCCACCTGTTAAGAGAAACAACAAACACGGGAGAGAGATTGCACTTGTCCCTGTGTCACATGGTCTCCTATTGGTTTGAGGTCAGCTGGAATATCCTGAACAAAGGAGGGTGGCCTCTAAGGGGGTAGTCTTGCTTCACTGCTGTGGCCAGCATTACCATCTTTTCCTTCTGCCACTTCTTCTTCTCTTGTTTCTCAGCCTCATCCCTATTCCGATAAACTCGGCGTGCAATGGCCATAATTTGGCTCATCAGCATCCCTTCCCATCCTTCTGATTTCTGAATTTTCTTACGAATGTCAGAAGCGCACTGGGCCACAAATGTAGCAGTAATCATTCTGCTGTTTTCAGGGGCTTCAGGGTCAAAAGGAGTCCATATACGATAGGCTTCCTGCAGCCTCTCTAAAAAGTCTCCCGGACTCTCATTTGGTTTCTGTTCTACTTCTGAGATATTAGTATCTGAGATATTAATATTAGACATATTAGTGGGCTTCTGGCATGCCCTGCGGATACCTTGCACAAGCGTCTGGCAGTAGGTGGTAAGCCTGGCCAGGTGAATTGCATTGTTTGGATCCCAATTAGGATCTTCCAAGGGAAAGTTGTCCTGGAGATGACGGTCAATATTAAAAATATTTCCCACTCTGGCCTGCTCACGCAAATATATCTGTGCCTTTTCAATTATGTCTCTCCTTTCCTCAGTGGTGAACAGAGTATTCAGGAGTTGGCGGCAATCTGTCCAAGTAGGACTATGAGTATTTACTATTGAAGTCACCAAGTCCATCATAGCCTGAGGTTTTTCTGCGAAAGATGGGATGTGTGTTTTCCAATTCATCAGATCCGTAGTCGTGAATGGAATGTACTGGAGGGTCGAAGTTCGAGGTGGCCGTGGTCCGGGTTGCCCGTTAACCAGCACAGGCTCCTCAAGTGCATCAAATACTCTTCTGAGAGGGGCTACTACGTGACCTTTCTCTTCGCTTTGCTCTAGAGGCCTCAAATCATAGGGGATAGTATTTGTCCCAAGACGTTCTTTTAGCAGCTTTATGCACCTGGCTGTATTGCTTGCTGACCGATCAAGGTCTCCCTGTAACTTCTGTAATAATTCTCTAGGACTTGGATGTACAGGGGTTTGGGGTGGGCAATCAGTTGTTCCACTAAAGGAGACTGTAGATGGAGGTCTACTGGGACTCTCAGGTGGAATAACCACTTCTGCTTGGGCTTTATTATATGACTCCAATGCCTCCTGAAGATATTTATCATAATCTATGAAGGAATCAAGCTCTGTGATTCCAGCTCTGTTATTCATTCCACTTTCTTGCCTTGGGGTTACAACTGGTGGAGTGTTCGGATTAGGCTCCCCTCGACGTGGCGCATAGGGTGGAGGTGGAAGCACCTCTTCCTCTGGTCCCTCAAAAATGGGTTTGAGTTTATTTGGCAAGATTCCTTTCCTAGCTTCGGCTTTTACAGCCAATAATTTGCATTGTTGGACTTTGCATTCCCTTATCCATGGAGGATTATTATTTAATGTGCTCAGCCAAGAATCTATATATGAAAATTGTTCTGGGCACCCTCCAGTTTCTTTGGTGATGTTAGACCAAAGTTTGCTTGCTAAATTTATATCAAAAGTTCCTTGAGGCGGCCATCCAGTATTTTGTTTCGGCCAGTCTAATTCACATAACGTTCTCAAGCGCTCTGGCGTCATTTTGACTCCATATGCTCCCGAGAAGGCTTTCTTAAAATTATTTAACATACATTCAAGAGGTGTATTTTCCCCCTTTGAACCTCCAACTCCCATTGTATGGCCCTGTGAAGTATCCACTCAGTCACTCACACACTCGCTTCGTGGGGTTCCTTGCCCAGTGAAGTCGCCTTACTGGGAAACGAAGTAGTACCCACTCCACACTCAGGTCAGCTACAGATTGTACTTTCTCACACATACAATGCGCTGGATACTTCACCACACTCTACCTCCCAATCTTTCCCTTTTCCTCCACCAGACCACCATCTGATGTACCCAACCACCTAGCGTACTCAGTTCCCCCTTACTGAGACGCAGAAGTTTGATCAAGACTTCTCTTCCTCCCAATTAATTGGAGGGCCTCAACCCCTTTGTGCACTTACCCGTAGCTGGTTCCCTGTTTATTTCTCTGGTTCCCCCCGGTCCGTCGCCGTGAGTGAGCAGGGTATCAGACAGACGAGACTTCTGCGTTCCCCTGGAAAAATGTTCCAGTGCGCGCTGGGTAAGCAGTTAGTGGTCCTCCCTCTTGTACCCTGCCCGCTAAGGCGAAGGGGCTGCCTTCCAGCAGACCACTTATCCGAGTCACAGAGGCACCATAAAATGTAGCACCCTGCTTGTGGTGAACGCTTAGCTGGAATGAAATATTGAACGCAGCAATAGAGAAATTAAAATAATAATTTATTTGTCAGACAAATAAATGAGAGACTCAGTGGTATATGGATACCAAAGCTCTGCCCACTCCAGCCCTGAAGGCCAGAACTTATATTTCCTCAGCCCAGCCCCTTTGCTCCTCCTTTGGCTGCCTCTGTCCAATCAGCCTGGTTGAAATTCCTATTGGCTGTTTGCTAGAACCAATCATAAAAGATACACCCATGTATGGGAGACAAAGAGCTATATTTCCTTCTATCCATAAATGGCAGACAAGTAGCCATATATCTTACATTTGCCTCGACAAGACACCTTAATTACCAGATCATCTTTGCCCTATTGCCCTATTGCCCTATTCACTCCAAAACAGATGGCTAAAACAGATGGCTCATGGTAACAGAGATCTTGGGTTCACCTTCTCACACACCATCAATGAAATAAGAATCTAACATAAGAATCTAACATTTCTTACTTTCTAAATCCTTTGCATAATTACATTTAGCCAATAAATTTCATACATTAACATAGCTTTTTAGAAGAAAAGGAACTTAGTAAAAAGGAAACAGCTTCAGAGAGAAGCCTCTTCGGTTTACAACCCCCCTTTCCCCAGCCAGCTGCTGTTCCTATTAGCTCTTGCCCTTTAACCTTATGAAAATATGGCTCAAGTCTAATGGGAGGCACCTAGTATTATTTTCTGTTAAACAATAAATCTCCCTATTTACCAACTCTTAATTAGTGTTTTTGCAGCTTGATTGTATTCTGTAATATGTAGGGTCACTGTAACCTTTGCTCCCAGCCTGTAATTTCCTTTTACAACTTTGAGGTACAGTGGTGCCCCGCAAGACGAATGCCTCGCAAGACGAAAAACTCGCTAGACGAAAGGGTTTTTCGGTTTTGCGTTGCTTCGCTAGACGAATTTCCCTATGGGCTTGCTTCGCAAGACGAAAACGTCTTGCGTTTTTTTCTTAAAGCCGCTTGAAGAGGCGCAGTTGCGACGGACCGTGCTTTGCAAGACGAGAAACATCGCAAGACGAAAAGACTCGCGGAACGAATTATTTTCGTCTTGCGAGGCACCACTGTACTGCTATAAATCAGAGGGGCCCTGTTTAGGAAGATAAACATCTGCCAAAGTACTTAGCCAGCTGGTTTCTGCCTGGCATGAAACACACAAGCATCTGCAAATATATCTTTTAAGCTCATTTTAAAATACAAGCCTTGATCAGATGCCTCAATATCAAAAGTGGACTATTTATTACTGCGCTTGCAATTGTTTAAGATAAAATCTAATTTGGGAAAGAGAAGAAATGAGCACTGAACCACCAACATATTGCAAGTGAACTCTTTATTTACTGTGTTTGCTGTTAAGATAAAATTGATTTGGGAAAGAAACTTTTTCCATTTTTATGGATGTTTATTTTGTTTACCGGCAGTTGCCTTGGTGATATTATCTTGTGTAGATTGCAGTAGTCATTGTATCACCACCCCTCTGTTCACTGTTTTATTGGTATTCCCTCCATTATCGCGGGTGGGACTAGATGACCCTTGGGGCTCCCTTGCCTTCTCTTCGTTCATGTATATTCAGGGCTGCCATATGCCCGGATTTTCCAGGTCATTACCGGGATTTCTGGGGAGCGCTTTGGAGAAGTCAATGTAAGAATCGGGTTTTTTGGGGGGAGGGGTGTTCCTTTAAAAAGCTCAAGAACTTTCGGGGTGTCAAACCCAATAAAAATACCTAAGAAGGAAAGAAAGAAACGCGCAAGTGATGATTGATAGGGGGTGCGTGTGCTAAGTGTGCTTGTTTGGGGGGCGTCTGGCGATTCTTGCAGGAGGTCTTTTCGCCCGCCGATCTTTGCGCAGCGCGCCGCGGCCACTCCTCCTCCTCCTCCTCCTGCTCCTCCTCCTCCTCTTCCTCGGCCGCCGCCAGAGGCTCCTGGGGCGCCGCCGCTCCGTCCTGGCCGAGGCATGGCGGGCTCCGGGCGGAGAAGCCTCCTGCTGCTGCTGCTCCTGCAGCTGCTGGCGGGGCCGGGCGGCGCGGGTAAGCGGGGCCCCGGCGGGCCGGCGGAGGGAGGCTGGCGGGGAGGCGGAGGACGGGGGCCGGCAGGGGCTGGGCTCAGTCCGCCGGACCTCGGCTTGGCCATCTTCCTCGCCGAGCGATCCATCCACCGGACGGGCGGGACCGGGGAATCCCTGCCGCCTCCCAGGTGCCGCCGGACCCGGGGCTCTTTCGGGTGCAGACCGCTTTCCGCGCCCCCCCCCCCGGGATACAGTGGTGCCCAGTCGTGCCCTCGCGGGGGGGGGTGAGTTCAGAGCCCGTGGTAATGATAAAAACGGATAAAGTAACTTTTATGTAAATGCGTGTTTCTGTTTCGCGGGATCGTACTGGAATAAGTGGGCACCGTAATCGGGGCTGAAAAGCCTCATCCTATATTTGTCCGCTGGGAAGGAAGCCATCCTGGCTTTCCAAAGGATTGAATCCCAGGTAAGGGTATTTCTCTTTATGTCTACTCAGAAGAAAACCGCGTTGAGATCAAATGCTCCTTGCTCCCAAGTAAGTGGCTAGAGTAAGCAATGGATTGGCAACATTCATATCCCTTGGAATTAGGACAAAAATGCAGAGATCTTTGTTGGTCCAATTATATTTTTAAAAGGTCAATATGCACATAACTGCCGTAAATTGGTTGCTAATTTGTGAGAGAGAAGGAAGAGCATTTTGTACAGTTTCATATAATTCAAGCAATCCTCATGGGTCATTTTGCTCTGAATTATGATAAAGTAGGATTTTAGCAGGGGAGTATTTGACAAAGGTCCGTATAGTTAAAGCCGTGGTTTCCCCAGTAGTGATGTATGGAAGTGAGAGCTGGACCATAAAGAAGGCTGATCGCCAAAGAATGGATGCTTTTGAATTATGGTGCTGGAGGAGACTCTTGAGAGTCCCATGGACTGCAAGAAGATCAAATGTATCCATTCTTCAGGAAATCAGCCCTGAGTGCTCACTGGAAGGACAGATCCTGAAGCTGAGACTCCAAGACTTTGGCCACCTCATGAGAAGAGAAGACTCCTTGGAAAAGACCCTGATGTTGGGAAAGATTGAGGGTACAAGGAGAAGGGGACGACAGAGGACGAGATGGCTGGACAGTGTTCTCAAAGCTACCAACATGAGTCTGACCAAATTGCGGGAGGCAGTGGAAGACAGGAGTGCCTGGCGTGCTCTGGTCCAGGGGGTCACGAAGAGTCGGACACGACTAAACGACTAAACAACAACAACATTTGACTTTTCCCTATCCATAACTACCCCCACCCTCATTTTGGGCAGGGCAGTTGCCCTGCAAAGACTTGTCAATCTGACTTTTCTAGGCTAACTTTTACAGTGGGCTGTCCAGAAAAGATGCAGAAGTCTGTTTTTTGTCTTTACAAAGGGATGATGTTGGATACTGGAATTTAAAACTAATAGTTGAAGGTGGTTGTTTTGGTTGGGGATGAGAATCCTGCAGGCATTTAAGTGGATACAGGCTTGGGACATGTTATATGCTGAATGTTTCCTTGCTTTGGAGAGATTTCTGATGATTTAAGGCTTATTTGAAGGACAATTGAGGGCTTTGAACATTGGCATTGTAATCCTAGGGAGACAATGTGGAAGCAGATTTGCAATTCTGTTCTGCAGAAAAAACTGATGATGCTGTGACTACACTTCATTCTGGTTTTTATTCATACATAATCCCTCTTACCTATTTTATTAATGTATGTTTATATATTGAACATTCTCTGCTCTGGTACATATTTGTGTCCCTTCCTTTACCTTGTTAAACACAATCAAGCAAATTTGTTCTTATAAGCATATTGCTTTTTGCCCATCTTACACAATCATAATGGTAGAGTTGCCATATTTTCTTGCTTCCTTATACACATTTTGCTGCTTCCTATACATTTATGTGGGGCGTGGGAATCTTCTTCAGGAGGTACACAGAATGGATCTCTAAATAACTACTCTTCCAGAGATAAGTAGAACAGAAGTTAGTTTAGAAATGCACAATAAAGCAAAACAAAAATGTATCCCAAAACTGAAAGCATTAGGATTACAGTGGAAAGACTGGCTATAGAATCCTGTAGACTCCAGCTTGGTAAAAATTTTGTTTTATTGAATGTATTTGAACTGCCATGTATTCTTGCCAAGTAGATGGGAAAGGCATTTAATAAATAAAAAGAAAAATGAAGTATGCATTTTGAGTCATAATAGCTAATTTGCGGAAATGCAGTATTTAAGCTTCCTTTCTGTGTGAGGTGGTATGAAAATACTGTCTCAAAACTTTTGTTCAGTTTTAATGCTTGGTGTGATGTGAAGAAGAAAAATATTGAGAACATCAAGTTGAGCATTTTAACATTTTAATTTAAAAAATGCAAAGATGGGAGACTGAATATTGCAATGGAAGAAATGCAGTGATGCTTCTAGTCAAACTTCTGTTTCATGACATCAGTTACAACAATAGTATAAATCTGGTTGTTTGCCTTTGTCCTTCTGTTCCATATGAATCGGGAGAGACAGTTGAGCTAGACTGGTGCTTGGAGATGCAGATGGGCTGGATGTGCACCAGTAATGGAAGCCGAATCCTGAAAAGACGGGGTGCTCTGCCTTCCAGGCTCTTGAGTCTAGGAAGTGGGGAGACTGCCTGTTCTGGCTGGTTTTGCTCCCCTGGAAGGAGCAGGTCCATGGACTGGGGTTGCTTCTGGATTCATCATTGTTAGAGGCTGGGCGGGCCCATTTCAAGCTTTGTCTGGTTTGCCAGTAATGCCCCCCCCTTTTGATAGAGATGACCTGGCCACTATATTCATACTCTGCAGTAATCCAATCTGAAATTTACTACTGTGCTGTATATGGGCTGCTCTTGAAGAGAACCTAGAAACTTCCATTGGCCCAAAATGAAGCCGCCCTAAATGACTTAATATTTGAAAAAACACGCCTTTCCATAGAGACGTGACCCTCTTGGGTGTTAAGACCAGCAGATGGGACTTTCTCAGGAATACCTGTGTATAGGATTTCAACCTAATTCTGTAGCTATGAGGCAACAGGTGGGAGTTTTCTGCTTCTTGCTGAGCTGAGAGGTGGTGAGCTCCTATGGCCTGAATACTGGATTTAGGCCCCAATCCCTGTTAACCATGAGTACAACCTCAGCCATAGGTATTGTCAGACTCAGTCCCACAGTGCATTGGATAATGAACTAGTTTGCATGGTGTTTTCCACTCGATAAAAGTGATTTATCACATTTGGGGACAGGAAGGCTGTTAAAATGAGGTTGCAATCTCAGCAGAAGCCCAGATGAACTCAGTAGAACATACAGTTGTACATTGGTTCTCAAACTTAATCCATTCCGGAAGTCCGTTCCAAAACCAAGGCGTGCTTTCCCATAGAAAGTAATGCAAAATGAATTAATCTGTTCCAGACTTTTAAAAACAATCCCTAAAACAGCAATTTAGCATGAATTTAACATGGTCTTTTACGAGACCATTGATCCATAAAATGAAAGCAATAAACAATGTACTGTAGTCACACAATCAATCAGTAGCTGAACTGGGTTCTACACAGTCACAAAAACAAAACAAAAAAGCCGCAAAAATACAAAATAGCAAAAACAGACCTCAGTGTGGCACTCAAATCGGAAGCACGACACTCAAAACGGAGCACCTTTGGCTTCCAAAAAAAGTCCGCAAAACACTAACTTCTGGGTTTGCAGTGTTTGGGTTCCAAGTTGTTTGAGTACCAAGGTGTTTGAGAACCAAGGTACCACTGTACTAGAACATCACAGAGAACTCTGCTGGAAATTCCATTTGTAAGGAATTGCTTTAAACTGGCATCAGGTTGGTGTGTGTGCCAGTTAAGATTAAAAAGTAATGTGCACATAATCCTTGTTGCAAGACTGCAGAACTGCTTCCTATATAACTGGCTCTGAAATGCGGTTTACAAAGTCTTTGATTAAATCATAAGTGATTATGGTTCTCTACAGATGTTTATCCTCAAGCAAGAGTATTAAACGTTTTTGAGAAAGGAGATGCAGCTGCTAGTTTCAAATATGAAAGCTTTTCTCCTGTGGTTTTCCTTTGATTGTCTTACGCTCTACTTCTAATAATGCAAATTTTCCAGTAGGCTACAGAGAAATTAGAGCAAGAGGAGTGCTTATGTAACTCCCCAAATGAGAATGCTAATATGGATAGGTTGGCAATGATCACTGTGAAAGCCAGTGGAGCTGGCAATACAATTCTGTGTAACTGGCCTGGAAAATAGTAGTTTACAGTACAGTGCGGCTATAACAGATTATGTACCTGCACGCAGGCCTTGCTGCATTGGAGACTTGATTTTGCAACTCTCTAGGAGCCTCAGGGCTGTCCCTAATTTGCATATACATTTACATAAAATGTCAATTTGCATTCATAAACTTCACAAAATAGACAAACTATGTGTGGCTATAATAGGAATACCTTACAGCCATCTTCCTTTGCATCCTTCTTTCTTTTTTCATATTGTCTCCTTTGACCCCTTTCCCCCCATAACAATTGCCTTCTGGGCGCACTGATTAAAACTCAGCAGCTTGGTATAAAAATGTTCATATGTATGTATGTATGTCATTTTGGGGTTTAATCCCATGCACTGAATTCCCTATGAATTCCCTATGAATACATCTGAGTCAGCATGCACTGGATCAGTGTGTTTACTAAAATTTAGGCATGATTTCAGCACCTCTTAACAGATGGCTGGTGAAAGCTTGCCTGTATGACAGCCGACCGCAGCATTATTGCTATTGCCAGACAGCTTGCAAGGCCACAACTTGAATAATTGTCCTTACATTAATGTCTACAAAATGCCAACTGCTTTCCAAATAATTCAGAAGGGAACATTTCTCTGCTCTGTTAAGCTCTTAATCTGTGATTGCCACTGCACAGAGGGGAAGGAAAGCGTATTGAATAATATAGGAGGACTATGGATGAAAGATGCAGCGTGTCAGGGTAAATATGGAAACCATGGAAAGGGAGGAGGGGAAGTCACCAGAGAAACAATTTACATTTTAAGTTAAAACATGTTAAGATTTTGTGTGTGTGTGTGTGTGTGTGTGTGTGAGAGAGAGAGAGAGAGAGAGAGAGAGGAATTAATAAGATTTTTTTAATTTAAAGAAGGCATAAATATACAACCCAGTTGCATTCCTTGTAACAACCAGGTACAATTTATATTTCCCACTGGTTCATTGCTAAGCTTGCAAGATGATGTTGTTGTTATTTTATCATTTATACCCTGCCCATCTGGTTGGGCCACCCCAGCTACTCTGGAAGGCCTCTAATGCATATAGAAACACAATAAAACATCAGCATAAAAAAATTCCCAATCTAGGGCTGCATTCAGATGTCTTCTAAAAGTTGTGTAATTCTTTATCTCCTTGGCATCTGAGGCAGCCTCTGCTGATGTTTACCTATAAATTCTGTTTTCAGCATCAAAGTTTTATAGCTTTTTGAACACTGTGGTAAATTTAGGATTTGAGCCAAATTTAGCAGAATATTGTGGTGTCAGCACTCACATTTTCTGCATCTACTACTGCTGTTGGCTTTCTCAAATTGCTCCAGGTTGCATAACGTGATTTTTCAGACGGGGTGGTGGCAGTGGTGAAGAAGCTAATATTTCATGGAAACTATCAGATTTATATACAGTGTTACCTTGAAAGTTGAACGGAATCCGTTCCGGAAGTCCATTCGACTTCAAAAACGTTCAGAAACCAAAGCTCCTGCAGCCGAGCGGAAGCCACGTCAGACGTTCGGGTTCCAAAGAACGTTCGCAAACCAGAACACTCACTTCTGGGTTTGCAGCTTTCGGGAGATAATACGTCCGAGTACCAAGGCGTTTGGGATCCAAGGTACGACTATACAAACAATAGCGTGGATTTCTCTGTTTTCTCTCAGTTTTTCCAGGTGTATTTCAATAAATGGTGTGTATCATAGACAAAAATTGATAATGTGTGAAATTCAAATGGTTGAAGTGAGAGTAAAATATTTTCATGACAGAACAGCTGTTATTTACAGGGGTAACTGGTCCGCATTACACTTGAACCAATGTTAGCATTAATCAAAGTCAGCTGTATCAAGTCCACTTCTAACTATGATTGCGAATTTTTCTTTGGCGCTAACTGTGGTTAGCAAAAACACTACTGCCTCCATAAGGCTGACCATAGCTACATCCAAAACCGAAAGAGAGAGCGAATGTCCATGCAAACTGGGAGGTGTCAACCCACACCTCCAAACTATAGTTAGCAAAGTGTTACTTTTCCTTGCAGTGTGATTTACATGGAGGAGAATGAAACAGCCCACAGGATGGTTAACAGGGTATGTGGGGTCATAATCTGTGGCCACAAATGCAATACACTTCCCAAGCTGTAAATACCCTTCTTACGGAACTCCCACGTAAATGGGAGATTGCCTGTACTTGCCCTTCTCATCCACTGAATTGTTGCGCCTTCTCTGGAGAAGGAAAAACTTAAACACGATGCAGAGTTCCCAAAAAATAGACCAGAGGCAATTGTATTTCACCCAGCAGATCTTGACTGCTACTGAAGGCAGATGAGCATAATGGTCACAAATCCAATACATTCAGGATTGGCACATTCCATAAACAATCCAGTTGCAGCACTTACAAAAACTAACAAGACTAAACCATAACGCTAAGCATGCTATGTACAGAGCACCACACCAGAAGGAAGAGAGATAGAAAGTAAGAAAGACCTTAACAGAAAGAGATAAGAGAACCAGTTTAAGTCAGCTGTACTTAGCTTCTCTGAAGGTATAACACAAACATCATGAAGCTACTTTCACACAGAGAAGCTTCCAGAAACCTATTGAATGAATTTGAATAGGAAAGATCTCTACACATTAGATCAATACTTTCTGCACCAAGAAATGCAAACCGACATGACTATCATGCCCATTTTTACCTTACTTGTATTAAGTCATAAGTCAGATTTGAAAAAGCATAAATTGTTGCTTCTTCTTTCCTCCTATACAGGCAATTCCCCGTTTACACGGGTTGAGTTCCATGTCATCGTGTGTGTCAGTGGAGCGGGTGTAAGCCTACCCCGTTCCACCCCTTTCCAGGGCCAAAAACGGCGCGCATGTCCGTGGTCACGTGCCAATCGAGCACGTGCAAAATGGTTGCCATCTGTATACAAAGTAGGAGAATTGTAATGTTTGTGTTACCTCTTTTCCATCTGTACAGGTATGTCTGAACCTTCCTTTATTGCTAAAAGTGAAGACCGTCTGTTTAAATACTTATTTGAAGATTATGAAAGATGGGTTCGCCCAGTAGAGCGTCTGAACGACACAATCAAAGTGAAGTTTGGCCTTGCAATTTCCCAGTTAGTGGATGTGGTACGTTGGAAACTTCTACTGTTTGCTCTTTAAATAGGCATAGCAGCGTAAAGTAGTTGCTTGTCAGAAGCGCATCGTCTGAACAGCATCCCTGGCTTTTTCACAGAGCCTCTTCTCCTCATAAAGAGGATGCCATAACTCCACACAGGGTGTTGGGGTTGCAAAAGTTGTACGTGTGTTATTGGTCACTTGCTGTTGAGAGGATAGGAGGAAGGAACCATGCATTCATATGCTATCTGTTCACACAGGCCTGGTTTGCATGTTATAAAAAGCCAGAGTTTGCTTTAAAGCATAGTTTAATCATGAATATGCCTTTTGCTTATTGTGTCCTCTTGTAGCTCATACAAGCCATACTATGCCTTGTTGTGTTGTCTAAATCCAGTCAATGGTTTATTTGTTTCAAATAAACAATGAGCTGTAAGCTACAAATAAACCAGCATTCATTCTCAGGTTATTTCTGACTTACCGCTTGGTAAGCCTGGGCTTGGAAGACATGTCAAGCAATAGCATGGCTTCTTTGAGCTGCGCAGGAGAGGAGCAGCTGTGCAGGAGCCTGTCTGCAAGTGAGAGGCATGGTCACAATCCAGCCCTGGTTGAAGAGGAGCTTGCTTCTTCTGTCATGTATCTGAGGCCTCTGTGTGTAGACACAAGTGGGAGAGTTCCGGCACCTCTTTTTTAAAAAGAAAAATAGCACTGTATGAGATGATTCTCAAACAGTTATCTTCAAAGGAACTGCTAACTTGATTTCTTGTAGCTGCCAGACTTTCTTTTGCACAAAAATGGAATAACTTAAATGATATGTCTCTCGAGTTGTGGTATAAAAACTTACTGAACCTCACAACTGCTGAAAAGATAGCCCATGAGATTCATGTGATGCAAGGGTAAGAACCAGTAGAACAATTGGGACTTTTATCTTATGTTTGACCTGCACGACTTCTTACCTGCACCTAAAAAAAAATTCCTGTCCTAAATAATATGTTAGTTTAATGAACCTATGTAGAATTGTAATTATTATGTAAGTATTTCTCTGATGACTTTCCACACTCTTGTGTTGAAAAATTAAAAAAAGTTTTTGAAAAGGAAAGAAAAACTTTCCAGCCAATAATAAATAGATTAAAGTTCCTCCAATGCCCCAGAGCAACCACAACATAGCGTTAGTCTGGGGCATTTTGGGAAATTCAGGTGTCAGCCTGGAGCCTGCCCTGGTGAGACCTGTAGAATATGTGCCATATATTAATTGACCGCTGTCTGGAAGTGAGAGAAGTGTACTGTCATTCATATAAAATGCTTTTTTCTCTCAATAGGATGAGAAAAATCAACTGATGACAACAAATGTTTGGTTGAAGCAGGTGAGTAGTATATTAGGAAAAAGTTTGGACTGTAACCATGATGTTGGGAGGGATGTTGATTTATACCGTTTGGTTGCAACTGAGGTGTATTATTCAGTGTAAACTCAAATAACCAGGTTGCTACAGCGGTGATGAAATCCTATGCACACTATTCTGGGAATAAATCCCGTTGAATTCAGTGGTGCTTATTTCTGAATAGACCAGTATATAATTGCACTGTAAAGTAAATAAATTAGTTTATCAATTAATACTATCTTTACTCTCTTTGTAGGAATGGATTGATGTAAAACTGAAGTGGGACCCTAAAGATTATGCTGGAATAACATCTATCCGTGTCCCTTCAGATTCTATATGGATCCCAGATATTGTTTTGTATGACAAGTAAGTATTTAATGTTTTTTAACACAATTATTACCGTTGCAAAAATTAAAGAGAGAAATAATTTGAATAAGTTGTATTTTGAAATTGCTAGAGTTGAGAGCATCTTTTTTTCTGAAATGATATATTTGGCACGATAGCATGGCATTCATGCAGAATTTTCAAATGAGAGTAATAGTTTCAAACCATGAAATATATTATGTTTGCTGGAGAGATGTATTTTCTTCAGTTATGTGTGCTGTGTGGTGAAAGAGACATTCCACAGAACACTACCTGAGTGATTTGCATCTCACTAAATGGCAGCCTCATGGTCTTTGTTAGATAAAAGAAGTAAAAAGTAAAAGGGACCCTTTAGCCATTCATTTTGTAAGAGCAAAAGTGGAGTGTTATAAGAGATAGTGAAATGCAAGCAGAACAGTAGTTATAATAATAATAATAATATATTATTTATACCCCGCCCATCTGGCTGGGTCCCCCAGCCACTCTGGGCGGCTTCCAACAAAACACTAAAATACAATAACCTATTAAACATTAAAAGCTTCCCTAAAGAGGGCTGCCTTTAGATGTCTTCTAAAAGTTTGATAGTTATTTTTCTCTTTGACAACTGGTGGGAGGGCGTTCCACAGGGCGGGTGCCACTGCCAAGAAGGCCCTCTGCCTGGTTCCCTGTAACTTGGCTTCTTGCAGTGAGGGAACCGCTAGAAGGCCCTCGGCGCTGGACCTCAGTGTCCGGGCAGAACGATGGAGGTGGAGACGCTCCTTCAGATATACTGGACCGAGGACCGAGGGCTTTCAAGGTCAGCACCAACACTTTGAATTGTGCTCGGATGTGTACTGGGAGCCAGTGTAGGTCTTTCAAGACTGGTGTTATATGGTCTTGGCGGCTGCTCCCAGTCACCAGTCTAGCTGCCGCATTCTGGATTAGTTGTACTTTCCGGGTCACCTTCAAAGGTAGCCCCACATAGAGCGCATTGCAGTAGTCCAAGCGAGAGATAACCAGAGCATGCACCACTCTGGCGAGACAGTCCACGGGCAGATAGGGTCTCAGCCTACGTACCAGGTGGAGCTGGTAGGCAGCCGCCCTGGACACAGAATTGACCTGTGCCTCCATGGACAGCTGTGAGTCTAGAGTGACTCCCAGGCTGCTCACCTGGTCCTTCAGGGACACAGTTACCCCATTCAGGGCCAGGGAGTCTTCCACACCTGCCCGCCTCCTTCCCCCCAAAACAGTACTTCTGTCTTGTCAGGATTCAACCTCAATCTGTTAGCCGCAATCCATCCTTCAACCGCCTCCAGACACTCACACAGGACCTTCACCTCCTTCACTGGTTCCGATTTGAAAGAGAGGTAGAGCTGGGTATCATCCGCATATACTGATGAATACCCAGCCCAAACCTCCTGATGATCTCTCCCAGCGGCTGCATGTAGATGTTGAAAAACATGGGGGAGAGGACAGAACCCTGAGGCACCCCACAAGTGAGAGCCCAGGGGTCTGAACACTCATTCCCCCCCCCCCACTTTCTGAACACAGCCCAAGAGGAAGGAGCGGAACCACCGTATAACAGTGCCCCCAGCTCCCAGCCCCTCTAGACGGTCCAGAAGGATGTTATGGTTAATGGTGTCAAAAGCTGCTGAGAGATCCAGCCGAACTAGGAAACAGCTCTCACCTTTGTCCCTAGCCCGCCGGAGATCATCGACCAGTGCGACCAAGGCAGTTTCAGTCCCAGGCCTGAATCCCGACTGGAAGGGATCCAAATGGTCCGCTTCTTCCAGGCGTGCCTGGAGTTGTTCAGCAACCACTCGCTCAATCACCTTGCCCAAGAATGGAAGATTTGAGACTGGGCAATAGTTGGCCATATTGGCAGCATCTAAAGATGGTTTTTTAAAAAGCGGTTTGATAACCGCCTCTTTCAGCGGGTCTGGGAAGGCTCCCTTACAGAGAGAAGCATTCATCACCCCGCGAAGCCCATCACCCAGCCCTTCTCGGCTAGCTTTTATAAGCCAGGATGGGCAAGGATCAAGGAGACAGGTGGTTGGTTTCACTCGTCCAAGCAGCCTGTCTACATCCTTGGAGGTAACAGATTGGAATTGATCCAACACAACTTGACTAGACAGGACTCTAGCACTCTCCCGCCCCGGCCCTGCTCCCACGGTGGAGTCTACCTCTTCCCGAATCTGAGCGACTTTATCTGCAAAAAACTTGCAGGAGATCATGTGGCCCGTACTGGGCCCTGATGTAGCAGGTGGTTCCGCTAAATTGCAAACCACCTGAAAAAGTCTCCTGCTGCTGTTTTCTGCAGATGCAATAGAGGCGGTGAAGAAAGTCTTCTTCGCCGTCGCTATCGCCACTTGGTAGGCTCGACATTGAGCTCTAACCTGTGTCTGGTCAGCTTCAGAATCAGTTATCTGCCACCGGCGCTCTAGCCATCTCAACGATTGTTTCATTGCGCTCAGATCTGTGGGAAACCACGGGGCTGTCCGGGCTCCATGCAATTGGAGAGGGCACTTCAGACCAAACAATCAATAGCCCTGGTTAACTCCACATTCCAGCGTGCCACCAGGGAATCAGCTGAAAGGCCATCAACATGGGATAAAACATCCCCTACCACTCCCTGGAAACCATTTGGATCCATTAAGTGGCGGGGGCGGACCATCCAAATCGGTCCCCCCTCCCTGCAGAGGGGAAGGGTCGCAGAGAAGTCCAGTTGCACCAGGAAGTGATCTGACCATGACACTTCTTTTGATTCGCTTTTACTTAGTGTCAGATCACCAACATCCATAGAGGTGAACACCAGGTCTAAGGCATGTCCGCGGCTATGACTTGGGCCAGACTTATTCAGGGTCAGCCCCATGGAGGCCCTGCTTTCCACGAAGTCCCGAGCGGCCCCTTGTAAGGTCGTGTCGGCATGGATGTTAAAATCCCCTAGGACAACCAAGCTAGGTGTCTCCAGGAGAACATCCGCCGCAACCTGAAGCAGCTCGGGCAGGGAATCCTTGGCGCAGCGGGGAGGTCGGTACACCAAAAGGAATCCTGTACTGCCCCTATAGCCCAACTTCCAGAACATGCACTCAGAGAACTGGGTCTTCCCAATAGGACGCCTGGTGGAAACTAATGACTTCCTAAAAATCACTGCAAACCCCCCCCCCGCCCACATGACCTGGGTTGTTTTGCGTAAGAGAAACCTGGTGGACAAGCAGCGGCAAGGACAGGCCCATCTGCTTCATCCAACCAAGTCTCTGTCACACATGCCAGGTCAAGTCCTCCATCCATGATCAAGTCATGGATGGCAGTGGTCTTGTGAATCCTTGACCTGGCATTGCACAGCAGCACCTTCAGGTCATGTGGGTATCCCTTGCTGATTCCAGTATCTGTCTGGTCAGGACCAGACCCGGAGTCCTCAGACAACAACTAAACCTGCCTCCTCGGTAATGACATGGTCTGGTCTTAGCATAACTCCTCCTACCCATGATCACTGAGATCATAGAATCATAGAATCATAGAGTTGGAAGAGACCACAAGGGCCATCGAGTCCAACCCCCTGCCAAGCAGGAAACACCATCAGAGCACTCCTGACATATGGTTGTCAAGCCTCTGCTTAAAGACCTCCAAAGAAGGCGACTCCACCACACTCCTTGGCAGCAAATTCCACTGTCAAACAGCTCTTACTGTCAAGAAGTTCTTCCTAATGTTTAGGTGGAATCTTCTTTCTTGTAGTTTGGATCCATTGCTCCGTGTCTGCTTCTCTGGAGCAGCAGAAAACAACCTTTCTCCCTCCTCTATGTGACATCCTTTTATATATTTGAACATGGCTATCATATCACCCCTTAACCTCCTCTTCTCCAGGCTAAACATGCCCAGCTCCCTTAGCTGTTCCTCATAAGGCATCGTTTCCAGGCCTTTGACCATTTTGGTTGCCCTCCTCTGGACACGTTCCAGTTTGTCAGTGTCCTTCTTGAACTGTGGTGCCCAGAACTGGACACAGTACTCCAGGTGAGGTCTGACCAGAGCAGAATACAGTGGCACTATTACTTCCCTTGATCTAGATGCTATACTCCTATTGATGCAGCCCAGAATTGCATTGGCTTTTTAGCTGCCGCGTCACACTGTTGGCTCATGTCAAGTTTGTGGTCAACCAAGACTCCTAGATCCTTTTCACATGTACTGCTCTCAAGCCAGGTGTCACCCATCTTGTATTTGTGCCTCTCATTTTTTTGCCCAAGTGCAATACTTTACATTTCTCCCTGTTAAAATTCACCTTGTTTGTTTTTGCCCAGTTCTCTAATCTGTCAAGGTCGTTTTGAAGTGTGATCCTGTCCTCTGGGGTGTTAGCCCCCCCTCGCAGTTTGGTGTCATCTGCAAATTTGATCAGGATGCCCTTGAGTCCATCATCCAAGTCGTTGATAAAGATGTTGAATAAGACCGGGCCCAAGACAGAACCCTGTGGCACCCCACTAGTCACTCTTCTCCAGGATGAAGAGGAACCATTGATGAGCACCCTTTGGGTTCGGTCAGTCAGCCAGTTACAAATCCACTGAGTGGTAGCATAGTCAAGACCGCATTTTACCAGCTTCTTTACAAGAATATCATGGGGCACCTTGTCAAATGCCTTGCTGAAATCAAGGTAGGCTACATCCACTGCGTTCCCTTCATCTACCAGGCTTCTAATTCTGTCAAAAAACAAGATCAGGTTAGTCTGACATGACTTATTTTTCAGAAATCCATGCTGACTATTGGTGATCACAGCATTCCTTTCTAGGTGCTCACAGACTGTTTGCTTAATGATCTGCTCCAGAATCTTCCCTGATATTGATGTCAGACTGACTGGGCGGTAATTATTTGGGTCCTCTCTTTTCCCCTTTTTGAAAATAGGGACAACATTTGCCCTCCTCCAGTCTGCCGGGACTTCGCCTGTTCTCCAGGAATTCTCAAAGATGACTGCCAGTGGTTCTGAGATCACATCTGCCAGTTCTTTTATTACTCTTGGATGCAGTTCATCTGGCCCTGGAGACTTGAATACATCTAAACAAGCCAAGTATTCTTGTACTATCTCCTTAGTTATTCTGGGCTGTGTTTCCTTTGCTGAATCATTTGCTCCAAATTCTTCAGGTCGGGCATTGTTTTCTTTATCAGAGAAGACTGAGGCAAAGAAGGCATTGAGGAGTTCAGCCCTTTCTGTGTCCCCTGTTTGCATTTCACCATCTTCTCCTCTGAGTGACCCCACTGTTTCTTTGTTCTTCCTTTTGCTACGAACATACCCATAAAAGCCTTTTTGTTGCTTTTAACCTCTCTAGCAAGCCTGAGTTCATTCTGTGCTTTAGCTTTTCTGACTTTGTGTCTACACGTGCTGGCTATTTGTTTGAATTCCTCTTTGGTGGTTTCCCCCCTTTTCCATTTTTTGTACACATCCTTTTTTATTCTTAACTCAGTTAAAAGTTCTTTAGATAGCCACCCTGGCTTCTTTAGGCACCTTCCATGTTTCCGTCTCATTGGTATTGCCTGAAGTTGTGCTTTTACTATCTCCCTCTTAACACACTCCCAGCCATCATGAACTCCCTTTCCTTTTAGTATTACTGTCCATGGGATCTCACCCAGCACTTCCCTAAGTTTTATGAAGTCGGCTTTCTTAAAGTCAAGAAATTGAGTCCTAGTATGCTTGGCTGCTCCTTTCCGCTGTATAGTAAACATCAGAAGAGCATGATCACTCGCGCCTAATGATTCTTCCACTTCTACCCCACTAACCAGGTCATCAACATTGGTTAGGACCAGATCTAAAATGGCTGTTCCTCTTGTTGCTTCTCCCACTTTCTGGACAATGAAGTTGTCTGCAAGGCCAGTGAGGAATCTGTTTGACCTTATGCTCTTGGCTGAGTTTGACATCCAACCAATATCCGGGTAATTGAAGTCCCTCATTACTACTATCTCCCTTCCTTTTGCATGCTTGGCCATCTGTTCCAGGAAGGCATCATCTATGTCCTCCGTTTGGCTTGGGGATCTATAGTAAACTCCCACAATGAGGTCACTGTTATTCTTCTCTCCTTAATTTTGACCCAAATGCTCTCACTTTGGCTTTGAGGTTCTAAATCTTGGATTTCTTCACAGGTATACACATCCCTGACATATAACGCCACTCCTCCTCCTTTCTTGTCTGGTCTGTTTCTCTGAAATAGATTGTATCCCCCCATTATTACATTCCAATCATGGGACTTATCCCACCAGGTTTCAGTGATGCCTATTATGTCATATTTAGTTTGCTGTACCAAGAGCTCAAGCTCATCTGGTTTATTTCCCATGCTTTGCGCATTAGTGTACAGACATTGAAGTCCATTAATCATTCCCACAAGTCTCTTATATAAGGATTTTTCCTCCCACCACTAGGTCTGCGTGCTGTTTGCTCCATTAGGTCTATGACATTTGGATGATCATCTTCATCAATTGATAGACTCCTACCTTCAGGAGCACTGTCTCCCTGCCCCACATTAGTCAGTTTAAAGCCCTCCTGATGAGGTTTCTGAGATTTTTGGCAAAAACATTTCTCCCAACCGTTGTGAGGTGCAGCCCATCGCTTGCCAGAAGTCCATCTTCAAGAAACCGCAGTCCATGATCTAAGAATCCAAACCATTCCTGTTTACACCATTTGCGAAGCCAGCTGTTCACTTCCACTATTTTCCCCTCTCTCCCTGGGCCACGTCATTCAACTGGGAGGACAGATGAGATGACAATTTGTGCATTTAATTGCTTCAATTTCCTGCCCAGAGCCTCGTAGTCTCTTTTGATCTTCTGGAGGCTATTGCTTGCAGTGTCATTGGTTCCCACATGAACCAAGAGGAAGGGGTATTTGTCAGTGGGTTTTATGATTCCTTGCAGTCGTTCAGTTACATCTTGGATCTTAGCCCCGGGGGGACAGCACACTTCCCGAGACATCTTGTCAGGCCCACAGATCACTGCTTCTGTTCCCCTCAGTAGGGAATCCCCTGTCACCACTACACGCCTCCTCTTAGGTTTGGTCGGGGTTCTTCCATGAGCTGTCCGTTCCAAGGTCGCCTGCACATTCCCTGAGGACTGACTTTGCTGCTCGTCTTCATATACCTGATCGACTGTAATGAGGGAGAGATCCTCAAATGGAGTCTGCTCTTCGTCTTCCATGCTAGGGGAGAGGACCTCAAAGCGATTGTGTATTTCTAAACAATCAGAGTGAACCCTGGGCCTCCTACTACTTTGAGTCACGTTTCTCCATATATGTGGCTCCTGTGTTGGTGAACTAGCCTCCTTCTCAGGGGAGTCCCCTGTCTCCTCCTTGGTGGAGACGGTGTGCTCTGTTGCTTCCAAGAAGAGCTCCAGCTCTCTAATTCTTTGGAGCGTAGCTACACGTTCCTCGAGTTGCTGGACTTTGTCTTTTAAGAGGGCAGTCAACATGCAATTGCTGCAGGTAAAGCTGCCTGTAACCTTTGGCAAGATGGCAAACATTGCGCAGGAACCGCAGGCGACTGCAGCTGTTCCCTCCCCCTCCATCTTGAGAACGTGTCGTTGGGGGTGGCTACAGCGGTCCTCCATCATAAAAAGCGTGAAGACAGGACAAATAACTCCCCCGCCAAAAAAAAACCTAGGTCTCCCCCAACAAACGTTTGAGACTAGCTCCCCTAAATCTAAAAGATGGATCAAACTGCGAGCGCCGCTAGGCACGCGCCACTGCCCTGCAAGCTCTGAGAAGCTCCTCCCACAGCTAATCACCTGCCTCAACAGAAACCCTGCCCCCTCTGACCTTTGCACAGGGAGAGCAGCTAATCAGCCACAAAGAAACACACACACACAAGAAAACCCTTTTTGTTCCTCCTTCAGCTGCTGCCCTGCAAGCTCTGATAAGCTCCTCCCACAGCTAATCACCTGCCTCAACCCAGTGCAGATCGGTTGTCCCAGTGCATCCCCCCCCCGTGGGACCCACTCCCTGGCAGCCCTGACCCCTCCCCTTAAGAACAAAAAAACCCCTTAAAAAACCCCAAACAAACCACAATAAAACAATACAAACAAAAAACTGTAAAAATTACAAATACATCAAAATCAAACAAATTCCCAAGCCCAACCAAACATCCATCCCCCCCACCCCCACATACAAAAAATTCAAAAAGAAAAAAGAAAATTTTAAAACATTTAAAAAAGAACTCTGCACCCCTCCGAGTCCTCCTGGACAGCAGCGGCAGTAGCAGCAAGGGTCCTTGTGAGGCCTGTCAGGCCCCGCCCTGGGCCAGGTGGTGAGTGGCAGGAGCGGAGCCCTCAGGCACTTACTACAGGTTTAAGCTGAAAAAGGAGTCACTCCTTGAAATAGGTGTCTTCAGAAAGTTTTGGAGCTCAGCTTTCCTCTGTGTGCTGGAAATGCTGCCACATATAAACTGCAGAGCTTTGCGTGCGACCTTAGCAGCCATAGCATATGGGGCCCTCCAAAGTAGTCTCAGGAGTGATCAGGCCGCTTAGAGTCCTAGAACTAACTCTTACATGAATTTGCAGGAAAGAATAAAAGACCTTTATTATGGATCTTGACATCCATAACCTTCAGCATAACTTGGTATAAATCAATTAAATATATTACAAACAAAGAATGGGTGAAATCGTTCTTCAAACAAATCTCTAGCTTGCAGAAAGCCCATTTAGCAGACCACTTTTAATACAGCAAATGCCTTGCTTGTTGATTTCAAACCAAATATAAGAACCATTCCTTCTTTGCAGTCTCTGAATGTGTATGGGTTCTTGAGCTAGAGTTTTGGGTGACTCCCTGTCTCCATTCCCCGTTTGCCCACATCAAAGGGTATTTCTCCTGCCTTTCCCGTCAGTTCTCTTCCCAGCACAAGAGCAACGGCTTCAAGGTAACGATAGTCTTGCTGGATTGTTAGTGTGCATTGTTTGTTGTTTTCAAACAAAATACAAAAAACCATTTATTTTGACCTCATTCTGTACTGGATGCCACTGTTAAGAGCGTCACATAAACATCTGAAAATAACCAAGTAAAATGTTTGAGGAAAATAACTTCAGCGTGTTACATTTTTAAATAACTTTTCATTGAACATTTTTTCAGTGCAGATGGTCGTTTTGAAGGAACATCTACAAAAACAGTAGTGAAACATGATGGCACAATTGCTTGGACTCCTCCAGCAAATTACAAAAGTTCCTGTACCATAGATGTCACTTACTTTCCATTTGACCGCCAGAACTGCTCCATGAAGTTTGGATCCTGGACGTATGATGGCTCACAAGTTGACATAATTCTAGTGGATGATGAAGTAGACAAGAGAGATTTCTTTGATAATGGAGAATGGGAAATAGTAATGGCAACAGGAATCAGAGGGAACAGAACTGATGGGTGTTGCTGGTATCCATTTATTACCTACTCATTTATAATTAGACGCTTGCCTCTCTTTTACACACTGTTCCTTATTATTCCCTGCATAGGGTTGTCCTTCTTAACCGTCCTTGTCTTTTACCTTCCGTCTTATGAAGGTGAGAAAATTTCTTTGTGCACATCAGTTCTGGTTTCCTTAACGGTCTTTCTGCTTGTCATTGAAGAGATCATACCGTCATCTTCCAAAGTTATACCTCTTATCGGCGAGTACTTGGTATTCACGATGATATTTGTTACATTATCCATTGTAATAACTGTCTTTGCTATTAACGTTCACCATCGGTCCTCGTCTACGCACGATGCAATGGCACCTTGGGTCCGCAGGATATTCCTTCACAAACTTCCAAAACTGCTTTGTATGAGAAGCCACGTCGACAGGTATTTCACTCAGGAAGGGGATGCCAACAATGCGGATGGTTCTGAGGCATCTCGGATTACCCTGGAAGCCGCCCTAAATTCTATCCGATATATTACAAGGCACATTGTCAAGGAGAACGAAGTACGTGAGGTGTGTGTATTAGTTAACGTTGCAGTCAACTCTTGAGGCTGGCAGCCTGGAACAGCAGCATGTGCAGTTGTGGAGTTAATCATAAGTAAAATCCTTGCCTGCTCATGTCAAATATATCCTGCACTGTAGATATCTCATATTTTCAGACAGCATGATCTCTAATAGAAGTAACTAGGCAACTTTTGCATGAGAATAATTTCAAAGGTGAAAATGGACACTTTCAGAGATAATGCAGAAATCCTTATTTAAAATGTTATGCCTTTGTGGTGCAACAAATAGGCTCCCTGCCCCATTTTAAATCATATGGGCTACTCCTTAGGAACAACCATTTCATTATGATATAAAGGGAGCCACAATAAGTTATGTTTGGGGCAATTTAATTTTGCACCTAGCCCGATAAGAGAGACAGTAGGGTTTGTGCCACTATTATTACTCTTTAGTTGTAGTGTGTATACAAATATTCTGGAGTGTATTTCGGAAATGGTACTGATTTTCTTTCTTCTCTCTCTAGGTTGTTGAAGACTGGAAATTTATAGCTCAGGTGCTTGATCGTGTGTTCTTATGGACGTTCCTTCTGGTTTCAATTATTGGATCACTGGCTCTATTTATTCCTGTAATCCACAAGTGGGCAAACATAATAGTCCCAGTCCATATTGGAAGCACCAACAAATAAGTGTGTGATGAGGACAAAATTGTACCAGTCTTTCTAGAAATATTAATCTTAGAGGTAAATAGTAGTGAAATTATCTGGCACATTTTAATCTACAGTTCTGAAATCTTGGAAGGTGTGGGTTGGAGTTCATGCTTATGTTTAAGCATGGACCTCTTAGGACGTATGCATTTCCCCCCCTTAAGTGTTAGTTCATTGCTTTCCTATTAGAGCTCACTGGTATGCCATTGCTGCCTTGATGTGCCCTAAAACCACCTGTGGAATAAGTGAGGGGCAATGTAGAGTAAAGGACACTCCAAATGTAAATACTAATAATAATCACTTTTAAGACCTGCTACCTGCCATCTGCCAGCATTGGAAGGCTACTTCATCAAGCGGAACGAGATCCAACTGCTCAGCCCTTCCCCCTTGCCTAAGAAGAGTTGGGAGGGAGCTGCTGCCAGGTGTATCACCAGGGAGGAACAAGGACAAGGAGAGGAAGTTCTCTCTGAACAATCCTGATCCCACCCCATATGGGTGCCATGTTCTCTTCCGCTCCTGTATTGTGTTTTGTAAGCCACATTGAGAGAGGCAGGATATATGAATAATGCAAAACATTTTAAGCCTTAGTAATCCCGTACAAGGCTTCGGTAAGACAGGACACTATTATAATCCTCAAACGGGGGCTGAGAGTGGGTGGCTTAAAGTAATCTAGCGAGTTTGTGATCTGAAACTGGCCTGTTCGTAGCTCTGTATTGTGGTTTCGTGCTTTCACCTAGCTCCAACATACCTTTCTGCAGTGCTTCTGTTGGCCTATGATCCTTTATCTGCCAGGTCTCCACCACAGCTAATATTCTCTAGAGTCTCTTCTAATGTCCACTGCTTGTTTGGACACATAGCACAACACGGCAGGGTCCCAAGATGTAGGCCTAGGAAACCTTCATCCCCTGAAGAGCCAAAGGAATTTATTTTGCAACAGATTCTGAATATGAAATTGGGGGGGGGGGATGCTAGCATATATTTACTTTTGTGTAAGTATTTGGGACGGGATGGGTGGAAAAGAGAATGAAGCGCCTGAGAGCCACAAGGTCTCAGTCTGATTTAGCGTGAGGCTTCTGTTATTTTCAGTTCTACAACACACACGGAAATGTTCAAGTATAAACAAGTTAATGTTTCATCGGTAGATTGCCTTAGAAGACTGGGAAATGTTGGGCTACCTAACAAAACGCATTTCTCCCCTTGGTCTCAATTTTTAATACTTTGGGGGGGGGGCGGCTGTAGACTTGGATGTGGAAAATGAATATAAGAGCTAATGGATCAGCAGCTATTTCTGCAATCATGAGGTGTTTTTTATTACAGAAGGTGACTTAGAATCATAAGTTGTAAAGTTGGAAGGGACCCCATGGGTCATCTAGTCCAACCCCTGCAATGCAGGAATCTTAGCTAAAGACTTATCTGTGATATGGTGGCTAACAAGTTATTTTCCTACATGCACGGGTTCACTCCACTGTTCTTATGGAGAAAAACATGTTGTGTAAACGGGTCTTAAATTTAACATACTAACAAATATCAAATACTGAAATTAAAAAGTCTCTGAACATTTGCATGTTATGTCAAAAAAAGAAGACTGTAATGCTGTTTAAAATCACTTTAGCGATACAGTATAAAGTAGGAAAACCATATCAACCATGGGCTGCAGTCTGTTAAAAATTCACATTTGTGTTTGGCATAAGATAGTGGTCCTTGATGGTTTTGTCTTCTGAGCAGAGGAGGGTTATTAAAGTATCTGGATGAGTCCAGTTTTTAAAGTGTTTTTAAAGAGAATTTCCAAGTTTGCCAGCTACGCTAATGCATTTTGGGAGAAATCTTATACTAATGATAATAAACTAAATATTGCATTTGGTACTCATTGACATCTGAGGACATGGGTGACGCTGTGGTCCAAACCACTGAGCATCTTGGGCTTGCTGATCAGAAGGTTGGCAGTTCGAATCCCTGCAACGGGGTGAGCTCCAGTTGTTCGGTCCCTGCTCCTGCCAACCTAGCAGTTCGAAAGCACGTAAAAGTGCAAGTAGATAAATAGGTAGTGCTCTGGTGTGAAGGTAAACGGCGTTTCTGTGCTCTGCTCTGGTTTTGCCAAAAGCTGCTTAGTCATGCTGGCCACGTGACCTGGAAAAACTGTCTGCGGACAAACACTGGCTCCCTTGGCCAGTAAAGCGAGATGAGCATTGCAACCCCAGAGTCGTTCGCAACTGGACTTCAACGGCCAGGGTCCTTTACCTTTAGTAACATCTGAAACATGTTTATATCTGACTTAAAATCTCTGTTGTATAATGCATTTTTACTATGCAATGAAGGGTTAATTAAGCATTCTTAATTTATTAAGAACCCTACACAGCATATGCTTTTATACACGCTCATTCCTTTGTCACCCTTTGCTTCTCTCATAGTAATTTGTTTGCTTTTTATGTAAACAGTTGATATTATTTGTTCTTAGCAGGGAGTTCATTTCATGTTGCAGAGGGACACAGGTGGTGCTGTGGTCTAAACCGCTGAGCCTCTTGGGCTTGCTAATCGGAAGGTCAGCGGTTTGAATCCCTGAGACGGGGTGAGCTCCCATTGCTCTGTCCCAGCTCCTGCCAACCTAGCGGTTCAAAAGCATACCAGTGCAAGTAGATAAATGGGTGCTGCTGTGGTGGGAAGATAAACAGCGTTTCCGTGCGCTCTGGCTTCAGTCACGGTGTCCCATTGCGCCAAAAGTGGTTTAGTCATGCTGGCCACATGACACCATCTCCCTCTGCCTGAAGCGAGATGAGCGCCGCACCCCATTGTCACCTTTGACTGGACTTAACTGTCCAGGGGTCCTTATCTTTTACCTATTTACCATTTCATATTCCTTTTCATTTCATGCTCAGCCTCTTTGAGTCAGGAAGTTCAAAGCTGCACCCAGCTTTCATATTGTTTAGTCTGTTATCAACAGGTTGGGCACTGATTTCCTTTTGGGTGAAGACAGAGACAAAGTGGATATTGAGCAGTCCCACCTTCTCTCTATGACCCAGTAGCATTTATCCATCTTCTCCATGCAGAGGGCCTACCGCTTGCTTGTTCCTCTTGCTTTGAATGTAGCCGAAGAAACCTTTCCAAATTATTTTTAACTTGCAAGCCTGAGCTCATTCTAAGCCAGGCATCCCCAAACTTGGCCCTGCAGATGTTTTGGAGCTACAACTCCCATCATCCCTAGCTAACAGGACAAGTGGTCAGGGATGATGGGAATTGTAGTCCCAAAACATCTGGAGGACTGAGTTTGGGGATGCCTGTTCTAAGCTTTAGTCCACCTGACCTTCTCGCTGCAAGATCTTCCTTCACAATTTCCCCTTTCTTCCATTTCTTATACTTCCCCTTCTCATCTCATCTGTAAGCTGAGCCACACTGGTTTCATTAGATGCCTCCCACTTTTCTTTCTTGTTGGAATTGTCTGCCTTTTGGCCTTCAGTATTTCACCTTTCAGAAACTCCCGTCCATCTTGGACTCCCTTCTCCTTGAGTATTTCTGACCATGGGATCACACCCAGTATCTCCTTGAGCTTTTTGAAATGGACCTTCTTAAAGTCTAGAGTACATGTCTGACTACACTCAGCTTTCCCTGCCTCTGTATCATGACACCCAAGAGGACATGATCATTTCCTTCCAAGATTCCCAGTACTTCCATTTCTTCAATCAGTTCCTCCCTGTTGGTCCAAGACAGATGATCCCCTTGTTGCTTTTTCAACCTTCTGAGAAATGAAATTGTCAGTGAGGCAAAGGAGGAATTTGTGGGATCTTACATTCTGGGCAGAGTTTGAGTTTCAACAGATATTGGGGAAGTTGACAACTCTATCTCTCATTTTGAATGTTTGGTAATCTGTTCCAGAAGGCACCCAAGTCTTCAGTCCGGCTTAGAGATCTGTCACAGACATCCACAGTAACATCACTGTAGTTTCTCTCTCCTATGATTTTTACCTATATACTCTCAATCTGCCTTCCATGCCCCAGGGCATGAATTTCTTCACAAGTGCACACATCCTTTACATATAATGCTACTCCTCCCTTCCTGTTTGGTCTATTCCTTTTGAACAGGTTATATCCCTCAACTTCTACATTCCAGTCATGAATCTCATCCCACCAGGTTTCAGTAAAGCCTATTAGGTCATATTTGCCATCCTTCATTAAGAACTCAGATTTGTCTTGTTTCTCATACTCTGTTCATTAATATAGAGTCAACTGAAACCATGAGTCATTCCCTCCAGCAGCTTCCATCTTGTAGTTTCCTGCCCCTTAGCAGGTTTCTGGAGCATCACCAAGTTTCCTTTGCATCAATGATGCCATTATCCCCAGTACCAGGTATACCCCCGTCATCTGTAATACAGGCGTCGTCCCCCCCCCTTACGCAGGGGTGTTCCTGGCCCCCGTGCACATAAACAAAAATCACTCAAGTGGGGAGCACCCTTTAAATGCCCTCTCTGCCGCTCTGTCTCCAATCCATATCAAAAACACTGTATCCAAACATATTCACAACTAGAATTGAAGCTCTTGGGCTGCTAGGAGGCTGGAGGACTGGAGAGAAAGAGGCTGCTGCTGCTGCGCTACCCCACACACCAGCTGTTAGGTGGGGAGGCTGAGCAGCATAAACAAAGCCCTGCTGTGCCTCCTGTCTCCTTGGGGCTTCCTCCTCCCTCACTGATGTCCTCTTCGGGCACCAGGAAGTGTCTCTTTGAGAGTCATGAGGATTCGCCAGCTCATTCCCACCATTTCTGGGTTTGAATCAAATTACCGTATTTTTCGCCCTTTAGGACGCACTTTTTCCCCTCCAAAAAATGAAGGGGAAACGTGTGTGTGCCCTATGGGGCGAATGCAGGCTTTCGCTGAAGCCTGGAGAGTGAGAGAGGTCTCCCCTCTGACCCCTCTTGCTCTCCATGCTTCAGGAAGCTATCTGCAAGCCTTGGGAGCCCGCGGGAGTTCCCGCTGGGCTCCCAAGGCTTGCGGACAGCAGCCTGCAGCCCGAAACCTGGGGAGTGCTCCGCAGTGCACCCCAGGCTTTGGGCATATGTCCGCAAGCCTTGGGAGTTCCCGCCGGGCTCCCAAGGCTTGCGGATAGCAGCCTGTTCTGGGGGCTGGGGTCGGGGGAAGCTCGGGCTTCCCCAGCCCCAGCCCCGCGCCTGGGGGGGAAATATTTTTTTTTCTTTACTCCCCCCCCAAACTAGGTGCGCCATATGGGACCATGCGCCCTATAGGGCGAAAAATACGGTACTTACTTATTTCCTGGTGCCATACATGTGCAATTGTGCATGGGTTGATTGTGTGTAACTGGGGGGCGCCTGTATGGTCTCCCTGATGAGGTTTGTGAGTCACATTCCTGCCAAGCACTGTGAGGTGCAGCCCATCTCTTGCCACAAGTCCCTCCTCAAGGAAATGGAGACCATGGTCTAAGAAGCCAAACCTTTATTGACGCTACCACCTGTGCAGTCAGTGGTATACCGCCAGTATTTTCCTCTCCATTCTTGGGCCACGACATTCAGCAGGAAGGAGTGATGAAAAGACCACCTGTGTCCCAAGGCATTTTACATTATTATAACAGTAGGTCCCATTTGATATGCTCCTGTTGTTTTCCTTTTGCCTTTTGGGCTTCTCTAGATTATCAGTTTATATTGCAGTAATTGTATGATTTTTATTTATTTGCTTCAGTGGGTCCCAGTGTCACTAACCCATGCCTAATCATCTTCCTTTTAATATTCTTAAAACAAGACCCCCCCCCCAAATTCCTGGTTTTAATCATTGAAAATTATGAGGCCAGTTAGAAATTAAGAATAACTGTTGTATTCTTAATTTTGTTCAGCTTCTTAGTCCAAGCTCTTTATTGTGGATTTGTAAAGACTGGACTGCTCCTTCAGTGCTGATGAATGCAATTCCTCATATTCCTTAAGGGAGCAAATAAGCTCGTGACTCTTCCACTGTGGCAAAGCCCCCCCCCCGCCATTCATTCTATGCCACTCCCACAAAATGGGGCTAATACAGCATAAAGCCAAAATCTGGGATTTCAAAAAAATGGCTTTGAAAGACCCTGAGTACTTTCATTATTGGTGAATGAAGTTTATTTTATAGTATATGAAGTAAAATGTACATGCAATGAGTCTATTCCTTCTGTTCTCTTTACAGCACTCTATTCAGTAGATACATAACCGAATTACATTTTGTTAGAGGCGCTCCAAAGCAAGCCAGGGGGACACAGACCCAGTCTTGGTTCCACTGGTGATTTCCAAAGGTGGCTTGGATCAGAATGTCGTTTGCAGTTGGGATGACATCTATAGTTACTTTTTGCCAAAATCCATCAAAACAGTTCTCTGCTCTGTGCAGACAGTCCAAATCCTACCTGCAAACTGCAGATCTGTTCCCTCTAATACTAGCCGCTACTGTACTTGGGACTTGTGCACACTTCCACTTGTCTCGTGTCCAGAAAGCATGCGCTCAAGCAGTTTTGCATTTGCCCCGCTGCTTTCCCCTGGGAAACCCCACCGTTTCCCGCTGAATTGGGACAAACGGAAATTTGTGGAAAACCAAACTACAGTGGTACCTCGGTTTATGAACTTCATGTGTTCCGGAAGTCCGTTCTTAAACCGAAACCGTTCTTAAACCGAGGTGCACTTTCCCTAATGAGGCCTCCCGCCACCGGTGCCCTACCACCGTTCGGCTTCCATTCTTAGACTGAGGTAAAGTTCGCAAACCGGGACACTACTTCTGGTTTTGCGGAGTTCGTAAACTGAATAGTTCATAAACAGGGCTGTTCTTAAACCGAGGTACCACTGTATCTTCTTTTTTTCCAGTTCAGCAGTAAAGCACAAATGTTTTCCCAGGGAAAAGCAAGGCAAACAGAGATGTGGAAGAGGTCTTGCTGTGTCTGCAATGTTTTAGGTCTGGTAACGGAAAAGCCTTTCAGGTGCTAGCTGACTAATCCACCATCTTGCCTAAACAATAATCCCTCTTTGCACCCATCTTATGCTACATAGCAGGATTTGTATGCAGTTATTTGCCAGATGAATGTAAAAACAGCAACAGCCAAGAACAGGTGAATTGCCTTGTTCCATCTTGTACAGCTAGGCTTCCCCGCGAAGATCACAGGCAAGGCATCATGGAGATGGCTGCCCCCCGTTCTGGTCAGCAAAGGGATGCTGCCCCTGAATAGTAAGACCCTCATTTTATCAATGGCTAACAGCTCTTCTGAGTGTCCTCAGTTTGCTTGATATGGCTCTTTTCATTTTGCAATGCCTGAACTCAACGGTGTGGGAGTAAGAAAAGCAAGTCCGACTGAAAGTGCACATAGGTTTGGTTCTGTTTCTCATCTATAATGACCTCTTTTCTGATGAGTCCCTCTAAGGAAGAGAATAACTTCCTTTCCTTGACACTTCAATGGCTAATGAGCTTGTTTCTAGGCCCAAGCGAAAGTGGGTTGCCTAAGTCGTGTGTCATTCATGGCTTGCCATGTTCCAACTGGTCAAATGACCTGAAGTTGTGAATGCCTGACTTGGGAAATGAAAGGAGTTTCGGTAGGTTTAAAAAGAAACAAACAAGATACTTGCTTTTCCTCATTTGCTGGCGAGCTCAGAAGCCATGAGGACTATATCTTAGTTAGCGAATAACTTCAGCCTTGTAGGACCTCATGTCCTGTGCTTCAAGTTCTGGTTTCTCCTGCCACGAGAGATGCAGTGAAGAAAGGCAGCTGCCGGGTGTTTTGCTATTTTTATTGGCTTCCCTATAGATGTGTGTATCACATCCTATGGCCAGGACTTCCATAAATTAGCTGTGTGTGTGTGTGAAGAAATCCTTCCTTTTTGAGTTGAGGAATTGATTTCATAGTGACCCAGTGTCCTAGTGTATTTAGAGAGGAGGACTTCACTCTTGACACACCATCAGTGATATGGCTAGAGTTGTGACAGTGAGTGATCCACATTGTTAAAGCTATTGCAATATCTTTGGTTGGCTTAGGGCAGTAGAACAAACTTTTTCAAACTTTAAATGGAAGGTGGCTGAATCTAGCCTAATGTTTAAGTATCTTTACTCCACTACTGAAAGACATAGGAATAATTACTTTAACATAAAGAGAGAGCAGGTAAGACGTTTGGACAGCAAACAGGAAATAGATTTTTTTACAAGGGAATATCACCTATACTTCATCTCCAACCATTAGCGGTTGCAAGAATAGTCCTGCTGTCCCCAGAATGCACACAAGAATAAATACCCACAGGAAAATGCGATCAATGACCATGGCGACGTATTTCCAGTCATCTTGAGTCTGGAAAATAAAAATATTTTTTTATCAATTCAGGTACAACTTTTATAAACCTATTGTGGTAGTATGAAAGTTCAATACAGTATTTGTGATTTGATATAACAAAATCCACCATGTGAATTTGCTCCACGGCTGGACTGGTATTGCAGTGTTTCCTCACCAGGACCATCAGCCTGAAAAGGTTCAGAAAAGAGCAGCCAAAAGCATCGAGAGGCTGGAGCAGCCGCCTTATGGGAAAAGGCAGCGTGGGGGACTGGGAGGAAAAGCTGAGCAAGAGGCAACATGATAGAAGTGTTTCAAGTATGTGTGACATGGAGGAAGGGGGCAGGAAATGTCTCTCCCTCACAACACTCGAACCTGACATCTAACAAAGCTGAATGTTGGAAGATTCAGGACAGAGAAGAAGTTCAACTATGAACTTCTGCTCCCGCAAGAGGCAGTGAAGGCTTTAAAGGAAGATTGGACAAATTCATGGGGGAGAGGGCTATGGATGGCTGCTAGCCAGGATGGCTGTGCTCTGCCTGTTCTGGATCCCAGTTGCTGGAACCCACAGGAGGGGAAAGGGCTCTTGGGCCCGGGTCCTGCTTGCAGGTTTCCAGCAGCGTCTGGCCAGCCACTGTGAGAACAGGATAGTGGACTAGATGGGCTTGATCCAGCAAGCTCTTCCTATGTTCTTACTGTACGTAATACACAGTAAGTAGTATTACTACTACTACAATGAGTAAGTAGTAAGTAGTGTGTCATCCAAGTCAGTACATCTTGTGACAGTGAACTCCATGTGTGTGGTGGACTGAGTTGCAAGTGATAAGGGAGCCCAGAATCTGAAATGGTGAGGACGGAGGAAATAGTACTGGGCTAGGTGAACGAATAGTTTGACCTGGTACAAGATAGCTTCCTGTGGTTCCTCACCCCTGCAGTCTGATGTTTTGTTCCCTGGGTACACAGGTTTATTGCCCTGCTCTGCACCATGACTTGGGAACCTTTCACCTGACAGATGCTAATGGACTATGACTCCCATCATCCCTGACCACTGGTCCTGCTAGCTAGGGATGATGGCGGTTGTAGTCCAACAACATCTGAGGACCCAAGGTTGAGAAAGGCTGATATGGAGGGTCAAAGGTTCCCTAGCCCCGATTTAAAGTGTGGTGCATGTAGCTTGAATAATTAATAAAGTTTGCCCATACCTCCTTGGCTTCATTTTGCATTCTCATATTTTCTGCAATGTATTTAATGCTCTCGATCGCATCTCTCATTTCTGGCGATACTACCAAAGACGAAAGCAGAGCATCTACAGATTCAGAACTGGAGCTCTGGGTCAGGTTGCTGTTCACCTTGACATATTTTATATGTTGGTGTTGGTAGCAAACACAGGTCGTTTCTTGGCACGGGAGGCTGTCTTTGTAGCACCTGGTCTCTGTGCCGCCAAAGCAGTCCAAGGGAGAGAGCTCCGTGTTGTAAGACGGCTTTGAGTCCTGGCCACCGTCATCTGATTCACTGGTGGGCCTGGTCATGAACATGATCCTGGGGAGAAAGTTCAGGAAGATGGTTTTCACCCACTCAGGCATGGTGTGCGTCCTTGGTGTCCTGTAGTGTACATTGAGCACAAACACCGTGATGACTATGGAGAGAGTGACAAATATCATGGTGAAGAGGAGGTACTCCCCAATCAGTGGAATCACTAGAGAGGTTGAAGGAATGGTCTCTGTTATCACCAGTAGGAAAACAGTCAAGGACAAAAGGACTGAGATGCACAGCGTCACTTTCTCACCACAGTCGGAAGGCAGATAAAACACCAACACGGTTAAGAAGGAGATCAAGAGGCATGGGATGATCATATTGATGGTGTAAAATAAGGGCAGCCGCCTGATATAAAGGGAATAGGTGATATCTGTGTACACGGCTTCACAGCAGTTGTACTTGATGTCATGTTTGTAGCCTGGTGCCTTAATGATGGCCCACTCTCCACTCTCCCAATAGTCCTTGAGGTTCATAGTGGAGCCAACGAGAACTAAGTCAATCTCGGCTTTGTCGTAGGACCAGGAGCCAAACTTCATGGTGCAGTTCTGGTAGTCAAATGGAAAGTATGTCACGTCTATTTTACACGAGCTCTTAAAAATAGCTGGGGGCATCCAAGTCACATTCCCGGTATAATTCAACAATGCTTTGGTTTTGTCGTCCACCTGGAAGTCTCCAACAGCACTAGGGAGTGGGGGAAACAACAGACCCAAAAGTTGTGTTCTCCACATTGTCACATCACTTTGTGAATTCCTTTTTTTAAAATGCCCTCAAGAAAATTCAGCAGCATTTTCGTGTGAATTTCTCCTAATTTGCAAAGCAAATTTCCCCTAATATAATGCATTGTTGAGTGTTCTATTCACTAATGCATTTTAACACACACTTCACCCCAGCATGTGCATTTTTGCACCTCTCATTTGGCTGGAGAACTATATTGCAAAATTTGGATAATTTTTAATGCTGAAGGTTGGCTGTGTTTCAGCTCTCACCTTGTTTCAGAAATTATTAAACTGCATTGCATTTACCCCCCACCCTCTGGAACTGTGTTCCTCCCGTTGCATGCAGTGTCTTCAGACTCCTGTTGGAACTGAAGCAGGGGGCCAAAGGTTGCCTCCCTGCAGGCAGCATCCTTGATCCTGCAGCAATTTACCTTTTAAAAACACAATACAGTGAATCGCTTGAACATAATTAGCATCATATGTATCAGATGTTTGGGAAACGCTGCCCTGGAGGGATGGCTGTTCTGCTCGGGGTACGCACAGCCTCTTTCTTGATGCCTCCTAATGTATATTGATGGGATTCAATTAGTGCCCCAATGTAGCAATTACAGTCATACCTCGGGTTACAGATGTTTCAGGTTGCGGACCGCCGAAACCCGGAAGTACCGGAATGGGTTACTTCCGGGTTTTGGTGGTTGCGCACGCGCAGAAGCGCTAAATCGCGCTTTGCGCATGCACAGAATTGCAACCTGAATGTGCGCAGACGCCCCACTGCGGGTTGTAAACGTGCATCCCACATGGATCACGTTCGTAACCTGAGCGTCGACTGTATTGTTCTTTACTGTTATTGGAAGCTACCAGATTAGAAATGTAATGCTACCTCTGCCATACTCTGTTCCAAGTTCATTACACATTTCATTTCTTCAGTTCAGTAGAAGACACCATGTTAGAGAAACAATGGAAGGGAAAGGGGGGCATTGAGATTCATCTACAGGAATCCTAGAGTTGGAAGGGATCCCAATAGTCATGCAGTCAAGCCCCCTGCAATGCTGGAGTTACAAACTAAAGCAACCATGACAGACGACCATCCAACCTCTCTATGTCTGGACTGCTTAGGTTGTGCCAGTCCATAACACAGACACACTACTGAGACAAGAAAGTCTGATGTGGGTTGGATTTGTCCAATATAAGAAGAAAAGACTAGCAAGGGAGTGGATTCAGATGATCACTTTGCCGCTTCTGATTTTGACTTTTGCAAGCAGCTTGTAGTGAAGCCCTTCTAGTGGCCCTTGTGTGATTGCGACTTAGTTGAGTCAGATATCCTGTGCTATGGTCCCTGGAAAGTCTGATGATCCCTGAGATTTGTGAAATGGCAAGAAATTGCAAAAGGGGTGGTGGTGCACAAAATTACTTCATGAAGGAGAAAAGGTAATACCAAGGCTTGGTCTGGAAACCTTGCCTGGTGAGGAATGGTTGAGAGAGTTGGGAACGTTTAGCCTGGAGAAGATGAGAATGAGAGGGATATGATAGCCATCTTCAAACATCTAAAAGGCTGTTGCATAGAAGAGGGAGCAAGCTTGTTTTCTGCTGCTCTGGAGGTTAGGAACCAGACCAATTGATTCAACTGACAAGAGACTCCAACTAAACATTAGGAAGAACTTTGGGAGGTTGAGGGCTGTTCCACAGTGGAGCAAATTCCCTTGGAAGGTGGTGGGCTCTCCTTCCTTGGAGGTGTATAAGCAGAGGTCACATGGCCATCTGTCCTGGATGCTTGAGTTGAGATTCCTGTACTGCAAGCGGTTGGACTAAATGACTCTTGGGGTCCCTTCCAACTCTATGGTTCTATGTTTAAGGATGCATTTACTCTTTTGAGAAATAGCATGAGCAGGTTATATGGGGATTCCTTCCTGTCCAAATGGGCATTTAACAGGGAGAGTGCTGTGCCTTGGGATAAGAACCCGTGTTTTGCTTGTGGATGCTCTTGGGTCTCTAGTTATGTGGGTCTTGGGTAACGAGCCACTCCTAGTCAGAGTACTGGGCTGGACAAGAGCCCAATGATGTTACTCTGTCTAAACCAGTGCCAGATGTTCAGTGTAAACCAGAGACTGGGAATCTGTGGTTCTCTAGATCAGGCATCGGCAAACTCTGGCTCTTCAGATGTTTTGGAACTACAACTCCCATGATCCTAGCTAACAGGACCAGTGGTCAGGGATGATGGGAATTGTAGTCTCAAAAAATATCTGGAGGGCCGGAGTTTGCCTATGCCTGCTCTAGATGATGATGGACTACAACTTCATCCACCCAGTGGCCATGCTGGTGGGACACAGCTTCCATACCATGGATTTTACTACACCTTTGGAAAGGGAAAGATGCTAAAACATAAAGTAATCTTTTAAGAATAGACCAGACTGTATAATCTTACTTGTTATATAGCACAATATCTGGCTTCCAGATCTTCTGCGATGGCACTCGAATAAACTGAACACCTCCATACTTCTCTGGATTCCATTTCAGCTTGTAATCGTTCCACATCTAATCAATGAAGAAGAAGAGAAATCAAGTGGTATTTTAGAATTTTCCCACAACTTCCTATTATAGCTTATTCATTCATTCATTCATTTTATTCATTCATTCATTTAGTGTGTTTATGTGTCTCAATACAACTTACAAAATAAAACCAGAAGGGAAAAAAAAGAAATGGGAAAATCAAATGTAAAAACAACACTAAAATTAGACCCAAAGTGCTCATCCATCTATCTATCTGTCTGTCTGTCTACGATGCTGGGAACCATAGTTTATTCCTTGCAGAGCTATGATTCCCAACACCCTTATCAAACTACAGTTCTCAGGATGCTTTGGGGGAAGCCATGTTCTTTAAATGTGGTGTGGATGTGAGCTTTCTCTCTCTTTTTTTTAATATGATATTTATTGAAATTTCAGAAAAAAGAATTACACAAAAACAAGAAGTAAAAATACAAAAAAAGTACAAAATACAAAATACAGAATAAAAGAATAAAAAACACTTAAAAAGAAAAAAAGAAAAATAGATCAATCTTTCCATAGCTTAGATTCATATCCTTGTTTCCCTGACCTCCTCATACCTCCCTTTTTTGTATTCCAGTTCAATTAGTTAAGTCAGCAATTTCTTTCCCTCTTTGTTTCCTCATAATCCTTTAACTTAATATACTGTAACTTTAAATTTTCATCTGTTATCAATCCTTTTTCACATACACCTTTATGGCATTACTGCTTAAACCACCTAGCTTCATTCCAACATCATTCTAACATTCATTAATTTTGCAATATTTCTGTAAATAGTCTTTAAATTTCTTCCAATCTTCTTCCACCGACTCTTCTCCCTGGTCTCGGATTCTGCCAGTCATTTCCACCAATTCCATGTAGTCCATCACCTTCATCTGCCATTCTTCCAGAGTGGGTAGATCTTGTGTCTTCCAATACTTTGCAATAAGTATTCTTGCTGCTGTTGTAGCATACATAAAGAAAGTTCTATCCTTCTTTAACACCAGTTGGCCGACTATGCCCAGGAGAAAGGCCTCTGGTTTCTTCAAGAAGGTATATTTAAATACCTTTTTCAATTCATTATATATCATCTCCCAGAAAGCCTTAATCCTTGGGCACGTCCACCAGTGGTGAAAGAATGTACCTTCAGTTTCTTTACATTTCCAACATTTATTATCGGGCAAATGATAGATTTTTGCAAGCTTGACTGGGGTCATGTACCAGGATTTCGCTTAAATGTCTGGGAAAATCTGGATGCAACCCATGTCAGAAGTGTAGATTTTGGTGAATTTCCTTAAAAGTAGATCTTGGGAGGGGGGAAAAAGCTCAATGTCTTGTGTCTGGATTTTCACTTTTTGAAATATGGCACCCCTAGATGATGTTATAAAACGGGGGGGGTGTCTATAGTTTAGGATTTGCTCTCCATTTTCTGTTTTCTCAAAGGGGAGGGCACCCAATGAGACAGATCTCTGAATTCCTCACACCATTTCTGTGGGATTTCTTCATTCCCCAGGATGCTGTTATGATTTATTTAATGCCAACAAGACAGACAACCACTAGGTGGCAGCAGAGCATAAAAGGTGTTTCCTGTTTCTGACTCTGGCTGCAGCCTTCGGGGTTTCCTTCTTCAATGGGTTCCTTGAACACACAGGTGTATCATCATCATGTATGTATGTATGTATGTATGTATGTCTGGATGTACTGCACTTCCTATCTCTTCCCCTTCCCCAGCTATCCCCCCAATATAGGACACTAAACTACAATTTTCCGCACCCTTAACACTACAGTTCCCAGGTTTCTTTGGGGGAAGCTATGTGCTTTCAATGGTATGTGTTCAATCTACATATATAACTGAAAATACTTCCAATGCTTTTTGGTTGTTTTTTTTACAAAAATCCTAAAGCGTTCCTTCTGTGGTAGGGGCGGGGTTTTTTTTTGGGGGGGGGGAGGTGTTACTTACATGTCTCAGCCATAAATTAGTCTCCATAATCTGGTTCACTTCGTCCTGGGAAAAGAAAAGTCATAGCTGGGTTTGAAACCCCTCATCCAAGTTACATTCCCGGTGTAATTCAACAATGCTTTGGTTTTGTCGTCCGCCTGGAAGTCTCTGGGGATGGAGAGGGGCTCAGCCGTTTTTCTTGAGCTGGCTGGAGGGTTGCTCTGCAACCCGGGGGGGAATGGCACAGATGGGTTCCTTCACTTTTAGGTCAGTTATTACTATGACCATTATTAATAATAATCCACTCTTCAACTCCAAGGCAGGTTGAAACATTAAAACGCAACATTAAAAACATTTTTTTTAAAAAAACTTACAGCCATAAAAATAAGGTGGATCCTAAAAACACAGACCTCAAGTGTCAAAAGCAAGGGAAGGCACCAGGCGACCCTCTGTGGGGCATACACAGCTTAGGGGCCACCACGGAGAAGACCCTCCACTCCCCCAAAATAACCCTGAGAGGGAAGGAACTACCAGGAGGGCCCCCTCTGCTGATCCCAGTACCTGAGGGTTTAAAGGGAAGGAAGAGGCTTCCAGGTATTTGGGGCCTGAGTTCTTTAGGGCTTTGAGCACCAGAGTGAGTACCTTGGAAAGGGCTCGAAAATGAACTGGCATCCAGTGCAGTTGTTTCAAAATAGGTTATATCATATGATCTGAGTAGAACCCCAGCCAAGTCTTCCCCCTCCTGCCCCTGTTCACAGCTTCTGTACTACCCCTCCCCCCAAAAAAAGAACGCTGGGCCAGTGGAAAGTGGCTGGGCTCTCCCCTGAACCCGTTTTGCAGTTCACATCCCATCCATTCACCAGAATTTTCGACTTCCCGTGTTGAATGGCAACCTGACACAAACAGATTATTTCAGCAACTGAACTGGGACAAAAAATACAGTCTCTGGTCCAGCTTTTGCCAACCCAGCGCCCTCTGGGTGGTTTATTTATTTAATTGGTTACTGCCTCTTCCCATTTCACCCCACAACGTCCCTGTGAAGTAGGTGAGACTGAGATACGGTGACTGGCCCAAAGTCACCCGGTGAGCTTCATGGCCAAGATGGGATTTGGACCCGGGTCTTCCAGGTTCCAGGACTCTAACCACTATACCACACTGGCTCCCAGTCTGCCCGTCAGCTGTAAAAGTCTGAAAACAACCGGAAGGCATCAAGGCTTCTCTCGCAGCCTACTCACCACCTTTACGAGTTGCGATAGGGACACCTCGAACGAAATCATGACCGGGTCAGACACATTCTCCACAGGCCTGATGATGTTGTTGTAATTGGCAAATAGCTCATTGTAGAGTCGGTGTTCAGCTTCGAAACAATGGCAACCTAAAAGAGGGCAGGGTTGGAGCACATACAAACCTCACGACATTTGGCCTGGATTTCTGAAACATTCTTGGCTTGGTCAGAGTAGGGCTGCCATACGTCTGGAATTGCTAGGACAGAGCTGGGATTCACCCATCGAAAATGGCATCTGGGCGGAATTTTCAAAAGTCGGTTTAAAATGTCCAGGGAAACCCAGGTATATGGCAGCCCATATTGGAAGTGTTGATTTTGGGGCAAATTTCCTAAAAAAATAGCTTCAAAACTTTTCAATTTTTGAAATATGGCAACCCTAGCAGAGTCCTTCCCATAATCTACTACAGAACCTTAAGAATATAAGAACCTGTGAAGAGCCATGGGACCCTCTCCAGTCCAGCACCCTGTCCTCATGGTGGCCAACCAGATTCCAAGCAGAAATCAGGAGCAAGAGCCCTCACTCTCCTGCAGCTTCCAGAAACGCATTTGGTGGCAGGACAGAGCATCCTTGCAACTGAAAGTGCTGGGGATTGGAGCTGGAACATTCTGGATGCAAAGTGCTTCCTTTACCCCTGTCCCTTCCTCTGTCCAAGAAGGGGACAGAACAAAGGGACAGAACTGACATCATCACCATCATTATTAATTGAATTTGCTAGTCTCTGTATCTTGCCCGGGGCAAATTGCAAGCAACTAACCACACAGGCAACCTCCATAGATATAAAACCAAGGGGGAAAAGAAATACATTGAAAACTTCCGACCCACTTCTCAAAGGTCCCAGATAGTGAAAGCCCAAAGGCTTGGTTGTGGAGGAAATGGTCCGTGGTGGAGCGGTCTACCTCTGAAGGTGCTGAGCTCTCTTGCATTGAAGGTTTTTAAACAGAGGTTGGGTGTCTGTCTGCCAGGGATTCTCTAGCCCTAATTTCTGCATTGCAGGGGGTTGGACTAGATGACCCTTGGCATCACCTTCCAACTCCACAATTCTATGATTTCCGGTGAAAAATTAAATAACAAGCCATGACCCTTCTGCAACTGCCCTCATTAGTGTGCCTCCTCCTCCACCAACAAACTCCATGGACACAGAAGACAGGCAGCTAACCAGAGAAAGTAGCCTGGGATTTATTATTTAGATGGAGAGATACCCAATTTAATTTACTTGGTGCCCATGCAGTTACAGAAGAATGGCATTGGATGTGGTGGGTTTAAGCAGTATAATGCGTATATCTAGCCAGCAGTAGGGATGCAATGAGTTTGGAAACATTAAAGCTGAGTTTGTAGAGTTTCCCCTTTCCTTTCCTTTCCTTTCCTAAATTAAATCATGGAAAGTGCTGTTGATTTACTTGTTCCGAATATTGTCAACAGCTACTGACCTCACAAAAGCAACTTTGCTAAATTGCATTCTGTAAGCTAAAATGTGCCTTTTAGTGGGGATGTAATGAGAATCATTGGACACAGTCCGTGTTTGTCCAAGACTTGATGTTTCTTGGGGGGGTATTTTTATTTTATAAAGTGATTTATTTTATTTTATAAAGTGATTAAAGCATGCTAGAGTATGCCATGTCGAATTAACATTTGACACAATTCACAGAAATCCATTATAATTAACCACAACTAACTGCATTAATTCATACAGCATGAACAAAGTACAGCTGCGTATTCCTGCAGGGTCTCTTCCAACTACAATTCTAAGATTATAAAAATACAGTGGTTGCTTGTCAATACTGAAGATGCTCTACTACCAAAATTAATTCTAGATACATATTCTCAGCCACTAACTATTTAAAAACTCAGAACTACTGCTACTGTTTTAATTTTTTTTCTAAAATCTCTGCAGTTAAAACCATGCACCTGTGCATATGGGCACTGGCTTATTTATTTTAGTAGAGGAGACTCCTTCCTACAAAAAAAAAGTGTGAGTGAGCTAAGATCATGTTAGTATCCTGGGGTTTACAGTCATAAATGAAAGCAATTCATGGAGGAAGCTAAGAAATATCTGCAGCATCACCCCCTCAAAAGAAATATATATATACTTGCCCCCGCCGCCCGGAGTTCAAACGCTCTATACTGAATATTTTCTATTAAGGCTAAAACAAAAGATTGATCAAAATGCTCGTGGCATGTGTAAATCATGTTCTGATGGTAGAACTGATTAACACTGTTTTGTGGCCGGGGGCCGTGCGTGAGCATGCACAGATTGCTTCTGAGCACAGGGATGTGGCTGGTTTTCCTCTGCAACAGCCCCTTTGCCCCATGAACTGCTGTTCCAAAGTGCATGGGGGGGTCATGGATTTTGCATTATCTTCACACCACTGTTAAAATTTCTGCGATGTGTTCTAACCATTTCGTATTGCTTGCTATGATTTGTTAAAAATATTTTGAAACGTTTCTAGCCAAGGGCGCACCACTGATAGACATGGCAACAGAACCTCTTAAAACAAATTCCCCACATTTGAAACATGAGCAGAAACGCAGAGGAACATAATATGCTGTGCAAAGACGGTAGATCAAAGCAGACTTACAGAGGTACAACAATGTTTGCTACCATCTTGGATTAGAGAAAAACAGGGGCACGCTTTGTTTTGCTCTCTCTTCAAACCGACACAATTTAGGGGCTGCTCAAAATGCAATGCAGACTCTGGACTCGCATTTGCAAAGGTGGTTGTGCTCCTCTGAGCACGTGCAATTTGGTTGTGATTCTATGTTCAGTCAACCAAGTAACAAAGCACAATTTATTTATGGTTGGACAGACCTGTGGATTTAACAGGCCATCCTAGGAATGGGTGGGTTGCCTATAACCTACTTTGAAAGCCATCTATTTTTGCACATCTAATGTTTTGCTTCAAAATCTTGCCTTTGTGAAAATCTGCCACATATCCCCTCAATCAACAGCTACTCAACAGCAGAACAGAAATTTGAAAGCTCATACTACATTTGTTTGGAGAGTTTCACTCCTTGTATATATTCCAGGAGACAGGAAAACAGACATGTTCCCAACTGGTCAATAAAAACAGCATGAATTTTTATCCTCAGGTACATTTTACATATTGCAGATATGTAACATTCAGTGCTCCAAACGTTCAGGCTGTACAAGGTTTAAAATATTTCATTGGTTTGCTTGGGAAAGTGATATTTCCTTACAAAAAGAAGTAAATTACTAATTCTGAGTTAATTTATATATAACTTTAAGTCCTTCAGAGATAACCTCTTAAGTGAGACAACCTGGAACATTAGCATTTTAGATTGTTTATTAAAAAAAACCCCAGCCCTTATTTTCATGTATGATTTCCTTGGCATAAATATGAAGTTTTCATATGGCTTCTTTTGTTCTCTCGCCTCCCGCCTCTCCTGGTTGGCTTGTTCTCCTCTTGAGTTTTCCCTCTTTCCAGCACCCACCACTCTGCTAAAGATGACCCCACCCTCCCTGCTACCAAAACAAGCTTAAAGGCTGAGTTTGTCAGAGGTTAAGTCACTTCTCTCCCATATATTCTGCAGGGTGAGGATGTCACCATTTCTGGCCTTACCACATTGTCAGACTGGAACACACACAACACATTCCCCTGGGAAATTACAAGAAATGTATGGCCTTCCCAATCAACCATTTTGCTTCTTCAAAGGAGAGATAAAAAAAGAATAATCCAGCTGCACAACCCTCCAGAATGAAAAAGAATCTTACATTACGGATTCCCAAACCCAACTTCAGGTTCTATTGAAACCCATAAGTGTATTCTACCCTTTGCAATTACCCCACCCTCAATCCGTTCCCCTAGCCGTCCACAGTCACTCACCTTTAAGGAAAGGGAAAAGAGCCACCGGCAGGAGCAGCTCCAGCATCCTCTCCACTCGGCAACAGAGCCTGCCGGAGACAGAAGCAGCTGGGCAGCTTTGCACAGACTCCTTGCAAAATAAGACAGCCTGGATTCTGACAGATGCAGCCAGGAGCAGTGGGTTGCCAGCAGGGCCCTGAACCTACCGTTCCGTGCTTGGAAGCTCGCTCTATAACCACAGCCCTGCCCCTTTCCTGGCTGCCCACACCAAGATAGGGGAATTGTCAAGTCAAATAGGTGCAGCTACAGCAAGCATGAAAACCTCCTCATCCGCTGATGTGCTCATGCATAAGCAAAGCTGATAACCTGATAACCATAGTTAAGAGCTTTTGCACTTGGCCATGCAGGGAAGATCGGAACCTTACTCCAAATTTGATGCCAGGCTATTTCAGACAAGTCCAAGTTAATGAAAATGGGATAATTGAATTTGTGCATGGAACGGATATTGACAAGTCTTGAGTTTGCATGTCATTAAAAGCAGCACTTTGGAGCTGAGCTGGTAGTCAGGCACCATTAATGAATTAGCTAACACAGTTCTTAGATGTTTATGGATTTTTCTTAATGACCGCGACAGAAACGGAGGAGGTGTATGAGAGAGAGGAATCTAGGCTCTGTGCTTGTACGCTATGGCTTTAATGTACATTCAAAGCACTTTTTTCCTGCAAAGAATTCTGGGCACTGTAGTTTGTTAAGGATGGCTGCGAATTTGAACTCTGTAAGGGGTAAACTACAGTGCCCAGAATTCTCTGAGGGGAAGAAAGTGCTTTGAATGTTCTTTAAAATTATGGTCCGTACACTCCTCAGGAGTCACAGTTATTCCTAGATGTGCTGCAGGACCCATTTTGTTACTATGTAACTGTTGTTGTTTAGTCGTTTAGTCGTGTCCGACTCTTCGTGACCCCCTGGACCAGAGCACGCCAGGCACTCCTGTCTTCCACCGCCTCCCGCAGTTTGGTCAGAGTCGTGCTGGTAGCTTCGAGAACACTGCCCAACCATCTCGTCCTCTGTTGTCCCCTTCTTGCGCCCTCCATCTTTCCCAACATCAGGGTCTTTTCCAGGGAGTCTTCTCTTCTCATGAGGTGGCCAAAGTATTGGAGCCTCAGCTTCAGGATCTGTCCTTCCAGTGAGCACTCAGGGCTGATTTCCTGAAGAATGGATACATTTGATCTTCTTGCAGTCCATGGGACTCTCAAGAGTCTCCTCCAGCACCAGAATTCAAAAGAATCAATTCTTTGGCGATCAGCCTTCTTTATGGTCCAGGTCTCACTTCCATACACCACTACTGGGAAAACCATGGCTTTGCCAAGAAAACTCCATGGACTATGTAACTAATTTATTTAAATTGTTTCCATAATGCTTAATATTTTAGAAAATAATAACCTCAAATCGGTTTACAGATAAATTTAAAGCATCAAATAAAAAATAATCACAAAATATCAAAATGAAACATTACAGAGGAAGGTCAAATACAAAGTGCATTTAAATAAACATGATGAATAGGAAAACAAATATTCTCTTAAACATACAAATACATTATAGAAAAAATCAGGTGCAAAAATACAATAAAACCCCACAAAACAGCATAATTTACAACTGACCCAAAAAAACAAAAAAAAGAAGCTGCACTGATACCCATCTCCCCTCATACCCTCTCCCAAGTACATCTTCAGGATATAAGTCTCATTTTCCAGGGGTGCAGCCAGGATCTATGGGGGGGGGGCAGGACACCCACCTCTCGCCGTCCTCTGTCTGGCTCTGTCCAGCAGATTTGGAATGAAATGTCTCAACAACAGTTGTTTTAAATTAGTTTCTTTTGACCCCAAGAGCTCAGAAAAATCTGTCAAAATCTTTCTGCAATGTCTATTTTTAGTTAAGTACAGTGGTGCCCCGCAAGACGAATGCCTCGCAAGATGAAAAACTTGCTAGACGAAAGGGTTTTGTGTTTTTTGAGTCGTTCCGCAAGACGAATTTCCCTATGGGCTTGCTTCGCAAGACGAAACGTCTTGTGAGTTCTTGCGAGTTTGTTTCCTTTTTCTTAAAGCCGCTAAGCCGTTAATAGCCGCTAAGCCGCTAAGCCGCTAATAGCCGCTAAGCCGCTAAGCTGCTAATAGCCGTGCTTCGCAAGATGAAAAAACCGCAAGACGAAGAGACTCGCGGAACGGATTAATTTCGTCTTGCGAGGCACCACTGTATATTTATTTACTTGACTGGGGGACAGACACCCCCCCTCCCCTTGGCTACACCCGTGTCACTCTCACACAGTCCCACACCAGCCATGCAGTTCATGCAGCTGATCTCCAGCCAACCACTTATTACAAAGCAAATGTCTGGTCGACAAAAACCCATAGCAGAATTTAAGCAGAATTTACAACTGGCTCATTCATCCACTTACGTATTAGGGCAGTTAAAGCCCTACTATACATTTAAAGCACATGGCTTCCCCCAAAATAATGGTGCTGGGAAATGTAGCTTTGTGAGGGGCAAACTATGGTTCCCAGGATTCTTGGTAGGGTGGGAGTCATGGCTTCTAGGGTCTGAGGTCCCTTCGCCCTCCCCATAAAATATTCGAAGGGTCTGGGCCCTCACTTGATGGCCATTTCCATTAAATGGAGTGAGTCTGCTGCATTAGATGTGTGTGTGACCATAGTACTGTTATGAGTTTGGGGGAGGTTGGAGACTCACTCATGCGAGTTCTTGGGAAACAAAGGCCAAGGGACCACTTCAGGGCTCTGATTTGCTTCAAAGGGATGTGCTGGGTTGCAGTTAACCGCAGGAAAGTGAAGCAGCAGCAACAAGACCAAAGCCTGGGGTGGGCTTTTCAGGGAGCTGGAAGGGCAGAGAGGCTGGGAGAGCTGGGGACAGAGGCTTGACTTGTTCTGTGCTGGATCCAAAGCTGTCAAGGCAAGATAATGATGTAGGTTTGCGGGTGGGGAAAGCCTGTGTGATCCCTGAGCCTCTTTCTGGTTCTCGGGGTCCTCTATCCAGTAAGAGTTAAAAGCTGGTGGAAGATTACATTGCTAACTGAGCAACTGGAGGTTTTTTGTAAATAATTTATTATTATTATTATTATTATTATTATTATTATTACGAATAAAAAAGACAGTATCAAAACACCATGTTGGAGAACAACTTCTGAAAATTATACAGAATAAAAATAGAAATATAAAGCAAAAAGCTATTGAACAGAGGGTACTGACAAAGGACTAGCTGGACAATTGTAAGATAAAGGCTGTAGCTTGCAACTGAAATGACTCCATCAACACCCCTTTGTTTAGGCCAGGCTTCCTCAACCTCGGCCCTCCATGATCCCTAGCTAGCAGGACCAGTGGTCAGGGATGATGGGAATTGTAGTCTCAAAACATCTGGAGGGCCGAGGCTGAGGAAGCCTGGTCTAGGCAATGGTTGTGAATAGAATAGCAGAGCACCATGCTTAGCCTAATTAAAGATTCCTTGCCAGAGTTTCAATGCTGGTGTGTCTCCTCCCCTTCCCCTGGCTGGTACTTAGAATGTGGGGGGGGGGGGGTGAGCACACAAAGCCAGAGAGACAGAGCCATGCTGGATGACAAAGCTGGGACCATGGGAGAAGTATTTAAATAAATCACATATCCTAAGGACACCACCGTCTCTAAAAAGGTAAAGGTAAAGGTACCTGCCCGTACGGGCCAGTTGTGTTCGACTCTAGGGTTGTGCGCCCATCTCACTTAAGAGGCCGGGGGCCAGCGCTGTCCGAAGACACTTCCGGGTCACGTGGCCAGCGTGACGAAGCTGCTCTGGCGAGCCTGCACCAGCGCAGCACACGGAAACGCTGTTTACCTTCCCGCTAGAAAGTGGTACCTATTTATCTACTTGCACTTAGGAGTGCTTTCGAACTGCTAGGTGGGCAGGAGCTGGGACCGAACGACGGGAGCTCACTCCGCCGCGGGGATTCGAACCGCCAACCATGCAATCGGCAAGTCCTAGGCACTGAGGTTTTACCCACAGCGCCACCCGCGTCCCCTCACCACCGTCTCTACTGACCCTCATTCCAAGGAACCCAAGCCATGGGTAAATGCCTGGAACCCCTGGAAGATTGGAGTGGTGTGCAACAATTTTGGGGTGTTAATGCTGTGAGCACCTCCATCCTCTGCTTAGGTTGCAGCAAGAAGACCATGCATCTTCGAGGCACCACAGTCTTCGCTGACCTTGGAGGGAGGACGGGGCAATCATATCATGGTGATCAACATCACCAGCCCAGCTATGGAAGTTTGCTTCTTTCAGGAGTAGAACAGCAGTTAGAAGGCCTGTCACCTGCTGCTATCAATCCACTCCATGAACAAAGGTGCTTTCCTCCCAGTTGAACTATGGCGTTATGATACTGGCAGTTTTATTCTCAATTCCTTCCCTAAATGATTCCTAGCATGAAATTTGCCTCTTTCAAAGCTGCTGTGTCCTGGGTCTCATTTCTGGTCGGTTGCTGCCAGCTCAGACCCCATCAGCTCATACATGGGAAGTTAAGACCTTTTTGCCCCAATTTGCATCAACTTACACTTCCTTACAGTGAACGGCACCTGCCATTTCAATGTCCAGTTAGCCTGTTTGACGATATCCTTTTTTACATTTGAATAATTGTTGTCAACAAGATTGGCCAATTCACTGCTCATTCTTGAACAAATTAAAAAGCACTGGCTTTTGGGTGCCAGTGCTTCACCATACATCCCCAATCTTGAGAACTCTCCATTTCCCCTACTCTCTGCTTCCTGTTTTGGATCCAAAATAGGACTTAAAAAAAAAAAAATTAACAATTTCAATATATAAAAATATCAAAACATATCATATTCATTGTTTTCCCCCCTTTCCTCCCACCTCCCCATCAAACCCTCCCTTCCCCCATGGCTTCTCTCAGCTCCTCTCTCTGATTTCTCAACACATATTGTTCTCTGCATACTGTAAAATTGTATAAATGCTTACATTATCTGTCTACTATGTTAACCATCAATACATTTGTGCATGTTTATTCAAAACCTGCCATGGAGTCCAATTCATTTTGTTGTTTTTTTAAGTAATTTGTAAAAAGTTCCCATTCTTCTTTGAAGTCACAGTTGTCCTTATTTCGCAGTTTGTATGTCAATTTAGCCAGTTCTGCATAGTTCATCAATTTCTCTTGCCACTTTTGTCAGGGTTTCCTCATTCTTCCATCCTTGTGCTATCAAGACTCTTGCCGCTGTTGTGGCATACATAAATAGATTCTTTGTTTTCTTTGGCAGGTCTTGTCCTACAATCCCTAATAAAAATGCTTCTGTTTTTTTGCAAATGTCATTCTAAACATTTTCTTCAATTCATTATATATCATTTCCCAAAATTTTTAAACTTCTCTACATTCCCACCACATATGATAGAAGGTCCCTTCCTTTTCTTTACATTTCCAGCATATGTTTCACCAGGGTTTAGTACATTTTTGCTATCTGTACTGGTATTATATACATCATTTTCATATAGTTTTCTTTCAGAAGAGAACAGTCTGTAAATTTTAAATCTGTTTTCCACAGTTTTTCCCAATCCTCAAATTGTATGTTGTGTCCTATATCTTGTGCCCATTTGATCATGACCGGTTTTACTTCCTTGTCTTTTGTTTCCCATTCTAACAGGATACTTACTATATGCACCCTGCAGCAACTTCACTTTTCCTTCTATAACTTCCTTTTGAAATCTAGAAGTGGTATAACTAAATCCTTTCTTGCTATCTTATTTGTATATCTCATGTAATTGCCTGTAATGTAACCAACTCTGAAAATGATCTTTTATTTCCTCATACTCTTTTAATTTCCATTTTCCTTCTTCATCTTTTAATAAATCACTGTATGTAAGCCACTTCCCTTTTTCCCCAAGTGGTTTGAGCAGCAAAGCTTCAATTGGTGAGCGCCACCAAGGTGTCTTTTGTTCTATTAAATCTTTATATCTCTCCCAGACCCTCATTAATGATTTCCTAATTATATGATTGTAAAATCCTTTATGTACTTTTCCTTTCCTATACCATAAATATGCATGCCATCCAAATCTGTTATCGTGGCCTTCTAAGTCCAATGCTTCTTCCTTTTCCAGTTTTATCCAGTCCCTGATCCATACCAAACATGCAGCCTCATAATACAATTTAAGGTCTGGGAGGGCAAAACCGTCTCTTTCTTTTGTATCTGTAAGTATCTTATGAAGAAGAAGAAGAAGAAGAAGAAGAGGAGGAGGAGTAGGAGTTTGGATTTGATATCCTGCTTTATCACTACCCGAAGGAGTCTCAGAGCGGCTAACATTCTCCTTTCCCTTCCTCCCCCACAACAAACACTCTGTGAGGTGAGTGGGGCTGAGAGACTTCAAAGAAGTGTGACTGGCCCAAGGTCACCCAGCAGCTGCATGTGGAGGAGTGGAGACGCAAACCTGGTTGCCCAGATAACGAGTCTATCGCTCTTAATCACTACACCACGCTGGCTCTCTTATGTTTAATTCTTGTCCTCCCCCCCCCCCCCGATAAACTTGGAAATTTCCTTCTGCCATCTTTTGAGGCAATCATCTTTCACCATTACTGGGACTGTCTGAAAAAGGAAGAGCATTTTTGGCAAAACATTCATTTTTACCGCTGCTATTTTTGCTAGTAGGGATGTGAGGGCGACCTCGCTGTGACATCTGTTACCCCACTGATCTCCAGGGTTGATTCGGCTGATCTGGCTGGCTAGGCGGGTGTCCCCTTCCTCCCTCACCGCTCCATGTGCATCCCTCCCGAAGCTGCACGCTCGGTGGAAGAGGACAACCATCCCAGATAGAAGGAGTGTACCGTTCTTCGGTCAAAGGTATACGATAGCTGCACTCCCCTGCTAGAACCTCCAGACAAGCTCAAGGTCCATAATAGGACTTTCAACCCATTAGTGCTAAGCTTGCTCAGACACCTTTGGTGAGATTTTATCAAAAGTTTTTTGAAAAACACTTTATGTAAACCACTTAGAGGTTTTTTTATGATTAGGTATATGAGTTTGACTGGTATACACATTTTGTGTTCATTTGTTTGTTTAATCCAAATGCACAATGTCTACCAGTTCACCCTTGTCTACATGCTTGTTGCCACTTTCAAAAAGGTCTAAAACCTTAGTGAGACAGAACTTGTAGAACCCAGGCTGATTCTTACTGAACAAGACTTCTTGTTCTATCAAGGCTTTTGGATTCAAACTCCCCTCAGTGCCATTCAGCTCTGCTAAGAGTTTGTGGAGATGGTTCCAATGGTTAGAGATGGTGGGAGTTACAGTCTAACAGCATATGGAAGGCCTCAGATTCCTCATCCCTATTGTAGATGGTTACATTTTGTCTAATAGCCAGAGATGTCTCTTTAATGGGGGTTGTCTAGAGGATGTTTCAAGGGAACACTGATGGTTGGTGGCTACTAGCTAGCTGCTCCGGTGGGATGCTGAGAAACAATTTGAGAGTTGGAATGTAGTCAGCAAAAGAGACAGATGTCTGAATTTGCTGGCAAGAAACAGCCTTGTGAGGCTCCAATGAGATGGTGTTGATTATGGAGGAACTGGTGCTGCTTTCAGGACCCTGACCAGTCCCTCTTCTGCACATCATCTGAGATCATCTGAGGAGCTCCTCCCGGGCCCCTTTCTCTCCCGTTGTGCTCAACAGGATGTAGCTTTGTGATGTGGCTAGTAGGGCTGCCTCTGAAATGTTTCTCCACTTCGACAAGTCAGGAGCAGTACCAGGATGATGTCTGTGTGATATCTATGGATATTGTTACTTTCACCCCACTTCTCATTTCATAAACATCTCATTCATTTTTCTCATATTGCTGTATCCAGTATACATGGGTGGGGAATGTAAATGTAAATGTAAAACACCGTAACAAATAAAGGATATAATGAAACAAGATCTTAGGCATATGTCCTTCACCAAATAATCAATTAAACCAAACATAATACTTTTCCATCCAGAGTAGCTCACCCTACTTTTCTGACTGCTCAGAGGCTGATTTGGTGTTTTGTAATGTCCGAATGTAAATGGAGGCACATAGCTTAAATAGCCGGCACCCAAAGCTCATTGCTCTCACTTCAGATCTGTGGAGAAAGCCAGCGCCTAAGATGCTCACGGAAGCCAAACTCGGATCTCTGTCCCGCTGGCCTCATTGGCACAGCAGGTTACATAGCTAACAGTTACGGTGAAGGTGCCAATTCTGGCTGCTTTGATTCTTCCCACTCTTACTGGGAGGAAACAAACCATAAGCCAAGGCTTTCAGTTTGCTTTGCTCCCAATGAACCATGTTCTGTAGCCAAGGCTTTGTATGGTTTGTTGGTGTGAAACAAACCAGGATCCCTCATTGGCTAAGCCAGGAACTGTGGCTTGTTTCCTTTGCCCACAGCAACTCAGAAAGGTGTGTTCGTGTACTTTACCATGACATGGAAAGTAGACTGCTGTGCTTCTGAGCTTTGAACAGTCATTCCAGTTTGTTTGCAGGTTGGTTATACAATAATGTGCACTCATCTTGCATTCATCCTCATTTGCTCTTGGGGTGTTTACACATGTTCCCCTTAAACACTTGTTCATCCCATCCTTTTCTATGCATTTCCCCTGTCACTTTCCAAACTGCAAAATGCCAGCTGTTTTTTAAGTGAATTTGTTACACATGGACTACAGAACTCTTCAATCCTAATCCAAGCCTAAAATTTTCACTCCTGCAAAACAGTCACCATCTGGAGGTGCCCGGTATCAGTTTCACTGCTACTGCAATCTATTGTTCTTCTTGTGTTTCCCCCAACCAATCCTGATGGGTCATCTCCTCAGACCATCAACTAGCTCTTAGCTCTCATAAAGGGTGGAGACATATTACTGGGACAGGTATTGCCTCGGGCAGCCCACACAGGTAGAAATCAGTTAGGAAACCCATAACAACATGTTTGGGTATTCCTTTGTGTTAGTCTGTTGTCTTCGAACAATCAGTGTTTTGGCTGAAACCGGAAAGGACTATAAGTCAGGTGTGGTGCATTTTGTGGAAACAAGCACCAGAGCAACAGAGCACCCTGTGAAATAAAGAGGACTCCCACTCTGAAAGCGTTTTAAGTAAAATACTATTTTAATAGACTGTCTTTGTGCCTTCAGAGAAAAATCTGCAAGTTCCAAACATACCTCCTCCCATTTCTGTAAAAGACCAAAATAAAGTATTTTGCATTCAATTCAGTTTTTCCAGACCTGGATCCCACCTTTAACTGCAGCCTGTTGCATGGCGTCCACTTGATTTATTTATTTTATTATTTTGACTACATATGCCTGCACCTGTCTGACTTTCTATCCCTGCCTTCCACTTTTTCCTCATTTCCCTCCATGCTATGGACTACGCTGCCACCCCCAGTGCCTTAAGACTTTAGCCTAGGAGCATTCAGGCATTTCTTCACACACCCACGTCCCCTGGTGTCTGAAACAGACTTTGGTTCAACCTGCACATGACGTAAACCAGGGAAATCTGGAAATCTGGGCCTGCAGGAGCTGATGGACTGCAACTCCCATCATCTCTGGCCATTGGCTATGCTGGCGTAGACTGATGGGCGTTAGAATCCAATGACATCTCGGGGGGTGCCAGTTAGCCAGCCCTGTGCTAACTGTGGTCAGTGCCAGCCTGGCATTTTGCTGCCTGACGTGAAGGACAAGAGCACATTCTGCCATCTGAAGTCAGCTGGACCAGCAGTTGAATCTTGCTTCTGCACTGGTGAGCGGGCAGCATGAGGGTCGCAGGGCAGGCTGCACACAGCCCCCCTCCAACCTCTTACCCTCAGTATCTCATCTGCTGCCTGTGGCAAACCCCCCACTCAGCCTAATGGTATGGCTGAGTACAAGGATGATCTGCAGCAGGGGTCCCCAAACTTTTTCAGCAGGGGGCTGGTCCACTGTCCCTCAGACCTTGTGGGGGACCGGACTATATTTGGGGGGGGGTGAACAAGGGATGGTGAGTGGTGCACGAAAGGGCTCCAGAGAGGGGCTGGCACCAGCAAAGCCCAGCCCTCTTCTTCCTCTAGGCAGGACAGGGAGAAGCCAGGAGGAGGGAGGGAGGAGGCACCGCCGCCACCGTGTGAGGGAGAGGGAGGGAGATGGAGGGAGATGGAAAGAACATGCATGCTAGCGATCCATGCAGTGATTCCCGGACTGTCTGAGGGCTGGATTTAGAAGGCAATTGGACCTAATCCGGCCCATCGGCCTTAGTTTGCTGACCCATGATCTGCAGTGAGCCTTCGGTTCTCGTGCTCCCCATTCCCCACTCCTCCAGCCCAGCCACAATGGGACATCTGATCTCTAAACTGAGCTTAATTTCAGTTCATGCAAACAAGATAGCTTCTTAAACTATGGTTTGAAGCCAGCTTGCCTCTGCAAAGCACCAGCGGCAGTCTGCCAGGTTCAGACAACATGGCAAGCTGTAGTGAATCTGAAACGGAAGCCAGCGCTTCCAATCATCTCCTCTCAACCCTGAGAGGAAGGGCATCACACGAGGCTAAGACTTGCCTAGACTCATTTTTGCAACAATAAGCTTTGCTTTAGCATTGTGTGTGCCCCCAGTGCACACTTCCTACTGAAGAAGGTTGCCAAACGACACAGACCAAGCCTGTTCTTGACAGGCTGTGCATGTTCCTAGGCTCCTACTGTGGGGGAGAGAAATTGTGCTGAAAAAAGATATAAATGTATGTGAGCTGAAAACAAGTGTTTTTACAGAATTATAGTGTTGAAAGGGATCCCAATGGTCATCTAGTTCAACCCTCAACAATGCAGGAATCACAGCTAAAGAGTCCTTAACAGATGGGCACCCAACCTCTGTTTAAATGAAGTTAATAAAGAGGTAACACTGAAGATGGGGTATTTTGGTGAAAAGTCCGAAGAAATGAAACTGTTCCAACTTTAAAGGATGCCTAGAGGGGTGATCTCTCCCTCCCTGCTGAGCACACATGGGACTCTCGTGACCTGGAGGCCTACCAGAGCCCTGGCTGGATTGTAATTTGGAAGCCATGTAAGGGCAGGCATTTGGGGACTGGGGTTAAATGTACAATTGTTTCCTAATTGTTTTTGCCAGTTTTCGTCAACACCTCACTCAGCGCCAACACCCAGGCTAAAGTGTCACGTGGGATATAAGCCCACCTTAAAGAAGTTGATTAAATCAAATAATGATTTTATGTTATCCCCACCCTAGTAAAAATAAATAAATAAATCCTGCTCAAATGACTGGACTTTGACATTACACTTGTGGAACTCAAAAGAGAGTCCAGCCCAGTCAGTGAATAAGCAATCCTAGGTCTCGGATTTACCCAGTTTAAGGGCTCACGCCAATTGAGTGGTTTTGAAACAGCGGCTGCAGGAATAATCCAACAGTCCCCACCACGCAAACAAAGACAAATATCCAGAGAAACAGTCTGTCCACTACCATGGCAACATATTTCCAGTCTTCAATGACCTAGAAGAGAAAAACTCAATTAAATAATTTAATGACTTATCCATTGCATAAACTGCCCAAGTGCCTGTCCCACTGTGCCTCCCCTGCAAGGTGTTTATGGAACTTACATTCGATCATTTCATACTGATGAATTTTAAATACCAGCTAAGAAGTAATCTGGGAATCAGTCTGAGGCTTCAGAAGATATGAGGTTCAGAAAGGCACACTGCTTAATTCAGCCTCAAGCCCAGAAGACCACCTTACAAGGGTGATGGGGGGGGCAATGTCATGTGCGTGACATCAGGACATTGGGAGGAGCTGGGGGTGGGACTGAATACGGCCGCTGCACGGCTTCAATGGCTGGTGGTTCCTCCTCCTCCAGGTGCCACCTCCGGTGGGAGGCTGTTTTTACCCTCCATCCCCCTCTGATCGAGCAGTTGTTGGATGACAGGCCCCATCATTCCTGGCCGTTGGCTAAGAGGGCCGCGGTGATGGGAGTTGTAATCCAAGAACATCTGGGGATGCAACATTGAAGAATGCTGGCCTAATCCTTATGCTACAACCAGGGGTGCCAACTTGAATAAAATATTGTGGGGGCCCAGGTAAGCCCTGCCCCACATAATCGATCACATGACACAGTGCACCCACACCATTTGAATGGGAATACCCTATAACTTGGGGGGGGCAAATATTTCATTTTGGGGGCTGAAGCCCCCATGGCCCCTAGGAGTTGGCTCCTATGGCTACAACCATCTTTGTTTAAAATGGGCAGTTCCACAAAACCAATAAAAAAGCTTTGTTGAATTAGGTCAATAAAGCCATTGGGGCCAAACTTTTACCCCATCATGGACCACTTGCAAATTGCTTGTGAGTCCATCTATGACTTCCAACATATTTTTTCTGCCTGTTGTAGCCATTGCAATGCAGCATGCTAGATGAGGTATATTTTTTTTACTTAACAAAATGAAAGTTTTTAATTCTAGCTCTAGCCCACTGGGTCCCAAAGAAGAGCCTGGAGGCCCCCGTGCTGGAGAAAGCAAGAGCCGCTCCTTGATAGGAGAACATAAGAAAGGCCTGCAGGATCAGGCCCATGGCCCATCTAATCCAGCATCCTGTTCTCACAGTAGCCAATCAGATGCTCCAGTGGGAAGCCTGCAAGCAGGATCCAAGCACAAGAGTCCTCTCCCGTCCTGTGCTTTCCAGCGTCTGGCACTCAGAAGCATTTAGTGTCTCCAGCCGTGGAAGCAGAGCATAGGCTTTGTGGCCAGTAACCATCTACAGCCCTCTGCCCCATGAATTGGTCTAATCCCCTTTTAAAGCCATCTAAATTGGTGCCCTCCTGAAGGAGGGAGTTCCATAGTTTAACTCTGTCCAAGGGGAGTGGGATTACCTATGGGGGCACCAAGAGGCAAGAGGACCGCCATGAACACAAACCATCATGAACACCCAATAAGACAGAGGCCCTCAAATTGCCTGAGATTTCTAGAGACTGTGGGATCAAGTGCGGTGGGGAAATGGAAGGTTCCTTGTGCTACTTACAGTCTCATTGTTGTCCTCACTTCTCATGTGGTCTGCTATGAAACTGACTCCCTCAATAGCTTCCTGGACCTCAGGAGAAAACTTTGCCGATGACCGTAGCCTGACATCCTGATGGCTGCCAATGTGATCAGGGTTTTCCGTCAGTTTCAGGTCGTATTTTTTGGCAGAGGCTGTGTTCACAAAGTAAGTGGAGGAGCCCTTATACAGGTCCGACGGGTTGCTGCCAAACGTGTCTGCTTTGCTCCTCTTGCTGCCGGACAGCCTTTGCCTCATGGAGTTATTCTCTGGGCGCTTCATGAACAGGAAGTTGGGCAGCCTCTTGAGGAAGACCACCTTCACCCACGGAGGCATCGCATGGGTGCTGGGAGACCTGTGGTGCACATTCAGCACGCAGACACTGGTCACAATGGAGAACGTCACCAGGACCATTGTGAACATCAGGTACTTCCCAATCAACGGGACGTCCAGCGATGTTGGGGGGACGATTTTGGAGATCAGGAGCAAGAACACAGTCAAAGCGAGCAAGACAGAGATGCACAGCGTCATCTTTTCTCCGCAGTCTGACGGCAGGTAGAAGACGAGGATGGCCAAGGATGTTATGAGCACACAAGGGATGATGAGGTTGATGGTGTAAAAAAGAGGCTTCCGTTTAATGATGAAGTCGTATGTCACATCCACGTAGTTTGGGTCCAAGGGGTTCTCAGTTCGCCGCCCCGGGAGCGCCACAATGTCCCATTCACCACTGGGTGTGAAGTCATCCATGCTGGCCGAGCCGGTTTTAAGGATCATGTCGATTTCGGTGTGATCGTAAGTCCATGACCGGAACTTCAAGGTGCAGTTTTGTTGGTCAAAGGGGAAATGCTTCACTTCGATTTTGCAGGCGCTCTTGTAGATGGCTGGAGGCAGCCACAACATGCTCCCGTTATTCTTCACGATCACGTTGGTGTAAACAGAGACTTCATATGTTCCATCAGCACTAAAGGAGTCAAGAAAAATGTAACAATAGAAAAGGACTTGTGGGTTTCAAAGCGCTGCAAAGGCCAGCCAGTTTTTGTGACCTGAACCAGCCTGGACAGCTCAGTTGGTTAGAGCATGGTGCTGATAACCCCAAGGTTGAAGGTTCGATCCCAGTAAGGGCCAGCTGCATATTCCTGTATCTCGGGGGTTGGACTAGATGATCCTCAGGGTACCTTCCAACTCTACAATTCTATGAGTCTATGATTCAAAACTAATTCTGATAATAAAATATTGGGGCTTTTTGACAATGAAAGACCATGAAAGAGCCCATAAATAGTTGGTGTTTCTGCTTATCCAGATTCAGTACCAATATATTACAATGCTATCCCATCCCTACAGTCAAGGAAGAAAGCCACTAATAATAATAATTAGCTGTCAATGCAAAGTGACTTACAATATTTTAAGTAGAAAACAAACACGAACGTAGATTAAAACCAACATTAAAGGAAAAATTTAAAAGACAATTTTTTCTTCTTTTCAAAACCAGATTAAAACATTCCACCCGTCATGCAAAAAATAAATAAATCCATGGATAGATGTCTTGCCTGGCACCTAAAGGTATGTAACAATGGTGCCAGGCAAGTTTCCCTGGGGAGAGCATTCTGTAAGTGGGGAGCCACCATGAAGGGCCTTGTTCTCATGCTGTTGCCTCAGGACCTCCTGGGAGGGGGAGCATGGAGAAGGGCCTCTGGTGGCAACTGGAGGGTCAGGGCTGGGCTGGGGGGGCAGTCCTTGAGGTATTGGGCTTAGCTCAGGGGTGGGACATCTTTTAGGCCCAGCAGGCAAGAGCCTTATTTATCCCCACCCCCCTGCAGGATGAGCAGTGGGTGGGACGGCCAACTCAACAAGCTTCCTTCAAGAGTAGTTCCAGGGCACCTGAAGTGCAAGGCTCTTCCCAAGCGGCAAGCCTGGGGCTGAGAAAGCTGACTTCTGCAGGGACTGGCTGCCTGATCCATCAGGATCCACGGGTTATGTATCTGATCTGGCAGGATTTTACTCAACAGCCATCAGCTGAGAGGTCGGTTAGGCTGAGAGTGAGCCCACGGTCCCACCTAGGGAGAGCTTCATGGAGGAGTGGGGATTCTGGACTGGCCACAGTCCAGCACTCCCACCACTACACCACACTGGCTCTCCGGCCTGCTGGCAGGAGCCTCCCCCCCACCCGACTTAGCTGAACATGCAACTTCTACTGAGTCAGACCACTGGTCCATCTAGTTCAGTATTGTTGACACTGACTGGCAGCAAAGGCTCTCCGGAATTCCAGGCAGGGGAGATGCCAGTGGAGGCAGAGCCTGGCCCTCCCCCAGGCCGCCAGGGTCCCACCTGAATTGCGGGGGGGGGGGGGTGTCAGAGGAGGCTCAGGCTTTCTATCCACCATGGCAGGAAAGCTTCTTTTTAAAAAAGGGATGGAATCTGGTCTTAAGTCAGACATTTCCTTCATAGTGCTGAGTCGTACAAACTTACTTGTTGTATAGAACAATGTCGGGGAGCCAGACTTTCTTAGCTGGTATTCTCAGCTTATTGATGCCTTCGTACTCCGAGGGCTCCCAAGCTAAGCGGTAGTCCGTCCATTCCTAGAAGCCAGAAGGACACAACCCACACTTTGAGTCGCTGTTCCCATTGCACAACAGACTTGCACAGTTAATTGTTTGGCAGCCTTTTTGTACAAAATACAATTAGAATCACACACACGCACACACACACACACACACTCCAGCTGCTACTGCAACAACATCATTTATTTAGTTAATTTATATAGCACTGGATTGTAATAAAACCAGTTTACAAAAGAATAAAACAATAAAATACCATTTTTATTAAAATCTGTTTACAACTTTTTAAAATATTCAACACATAAGTAAAAAGCCTGCCAGTGTTCAACATGTCTCAATAGGCTCCCCCCACCCATTTTTAGAAGGCGTACGGGGAGGCACCTGCCTAATGTCAAGATGCAGGGAGTTTTCAGTGCTGCCACACGAAAATACTGATTTCTTACAAATGTGGGGCCAGTTCCACAGGTGTAAGTGGCTGCATAGGCATATAAGTACCAGTACATAAGACTTATAAGAACATACCAGTAAGTCACTCCCTCTCCTCCAAAACGTACAAATATGCTGTGAAGGAAAAAGTGCTCTGTACATTTATCTAGTTTAAATAGAGAGAGAAAACAGTTATCTACAACAATGCGATGGGAGCTGAACAGATGCTGTGACCCTTGAAATCTGTGCCAAAATGTGACAGATAAACAGCTTCCCAGCCCTGTAAATCTATAATTGCAGGATTCACTGTGATTCCTCAGAGCACCGTCCCATTCACAACTATTCAAAGTGCACTCAGTTGAGCTGGAGTAATTACAGTGTGTATGATAAATGGCTATAGGTAAATGGTTATAGGACTGCAGCCTTCAAAAATAAACCAAGCTGGACGTCATAGCAACCTTCCAAATTCTCAGATACCAATATAATGAGAGGATGGGGTTGTAAATTAATAGAGCAGAAATTATGTATCCACGGGATGCTTACTTGATTGAGCCAGACGTTGGTAGTCATGATCTGTTCACGCTCATTCTGAAGAGAAAGAGAAAGACACAGAAAATCTATGTGGTAACGAACAGTATCTTAATTGGATCCATTCATTAGGCTTGAATACCCTTCCCTCCATCCTCTCTCCTGAACCTAGAAGGGCACTCAGGTAGAAAGCAGCAAGGCAGTCAGTCTTCCAGTTCCCTTGGGGACTTCAGGCGGCCAGCCTGCATTGTAGCACAAGCTTTGATGGACCACTCTGGCCACTTCATCTGAGGCAGAATTGCATTTTTGCATCCCGTCCATGAAAGTTAATGCTAAAATAAAGGTTTCCTTTTAAGGCAGGCCTTCATAGCCTGTCATGTTGGCCCAGATGTTGTGAACTAAACCTCTGGGATTGATGGGCATCATAGTCCAAAACATCTGTAAGGCACCAGGGTGGCCCAGGCGACATTAAATCTTCTAGAAGCAGACATGATTCTGTGTGGAGTTTATTCAGATTATTACAAAATAAATGTGGCAGTAAGCCTTGGCACATCTGGAAGAGGCTAAGTGGCTGGAGGTGGAAATAAACCACAGAGGAGAAATTGGATTAGAGAGCTTTCTGATGAACCAGGCTCCAGGCTCTTTTGCTAGGCAGATTTCTTAAATGAGAACAAGGCCCATGGCAACACAGAAATTGGAAAATGAATGGACAAGTCGCAACCTAAAAGGGAATGGCTTTGGCAGTTGCTGTGCTGCTGTGCTACTCTTGTAGCTCTCCTGGGACAGGAGGGGAAGGGAAATCCAGGAGGAAAGGAAGGAGGACTGGATGGAGTCTGCTAGGGTGGGAACCTAGGAGCACAAGAAGAGTCCTACAGAACAGGAACACATGAAGCTGCTTTATTCTGAATCAGACTCAGGGCTCCATCGAGCTCAGTATTGCCTCTGCTGAGGGCAGGGCCTCTCCAGGGTTTCAGAATACTGGAGATGCCATTGGAGGTTGAGCCTTCTGCTCTACAGCTGAGCTGAGGCTCTTCTGAAGAAAAGAAAACCCTCAAGCGCCAAAGCCCGTCTAGTTCAGCATCCTCTTTCTCGCCAGTCAGATGCCCCCAAGGGAAATCCAAGCAGGACCTGAACGCAGCAGAGCTCTCCCCACTTGTGATCTGCAGCAACCTGTATTCAGAGGAGGCACACTAGCAACAGAAGGAAAACATAGCCATGGGGTTAGGTAAAGGGACCCCTGACCATTAGGTCCAGTTGTGGCCGACTCTGGGGTTGTGGCGCTCGTCTCGCTTTACTGGCCGAGGGAGCCGGCGTACAGCTTCTGGGTCATGTGGCCAGCATGACTAAGCCGCTTCTGGCGAACCAGAGCAGCGCACGGAAACGCCGTTTACCTTCCCACTGGAAGTATTGATCTACTTGCTCTTTGATGTGCTTTCGAACTGCTAGGTTGGCAGGAGCTGGGACCGAGCAACGGGAGCTCACCTTGTCACGGGGATTCGAACCGCCGACCTTCTGATCGGCAAGTCCTAGGTTCTGTGGTTTAACCCACAGCACCACCCGCGTCCCAGCCATGGGTTAGCAGCCATTAATAGCCCAGTCTGCCATGAATTTGTCCAATCCATCTTTTAAAGCCATACAACTTGGTGTCCACCACTGCATCTTGTGGGAGCAAAACCATAGTTTTCCTACATGCTGCAGGAAGATGTTTGTCTGTCCTGAACCTTCTAATATTTATTTAGGGAGTATTCAGGGTCCTAGATGCTGCAGGACTTGACGTTCAAGCAGATGGGCCATTTCACTAAAGTTGATTAAAGTCTCTCTCCTTTCTGTCACTCACTTCCAATAAAATGTTTTCAAGATGAATTTATACATTTAACACACCGAGGAACTGATCTCTTTCCACGCAGCACTGCCATTCAACTGGTCAAGAGCTGGGGCCCCCCTAGAACCCCAATTTGCAACATGAGCCCAGGCAGCCATAGAGCACAGAGACAAAGGGGGGTTCTTGGGGGTGGGATCCAGCACTAAAGTGGGTGACTAAAGGGGGGGGTAGGAAAACTGCATAGCTGCCGCCTTTACTCCGCAAAGTAGGATGTGCTCTTGTCAGTCCAAGTCATTGTACCAAGAAAAGGAGAGATCAGCTGCAAAGTTAGCAGGCACAGCCTGCCTTCATATGCAGACAATACCAGAGGGCTGCAGGAAGCTTCCTGAGAATTCAATGAGACTCATTCCCGGCAGCGGCGCAGCAGGAGAGACATGTGGCTTGGGCACGCGGCAGACCCCCCGGGGTAAGTGCTGCCCCTGTGGTAAGTGGTTGCCCAGTTCGCCCCCCCCCCCCAGCTGTGCTAGTGACTCCCAGGTTACTGTGTTCAGGATGGCATTGTCTCCTCTGGTTCACAGCAGATCTCCAGGGACTCAAGCTTCTTTTCACACGGCTGCTCAACCACAAGAAGGCTTAAGTCAGGACACATCAAAGGATGTTCTTCTTTACACAGCACATAGTTAAACTACAGAACGAGGATGGCCACCATCTTAGATGGCTTTAAAAGTGGAATAAAAATGTTCCTTTTTAACCAGGCCTTTGGTTCAGATCCTACGCCCTTTTAAAACTTGGGGGGGGGGTGCTATTGGGTTGTTGTTTTTAATTTTATTATGTATTTTTTGTTTGTTTTTATAACTTGATTTTATTCTGTGAACCTCCCTGAGACTCCCTTCTATAGGGTGGTATATAAATTCAATAAATAATAATAATAATTAGATGAATTCATGGTGGAGGGGGTTATTGATAGCTGCCAATCAGGATGCCTCTGCCTAGGTGTCCACAGCTGGAGGCAGCCATGTTGCTGGAAGCCACAGGAAGGGAGAAGGCTCTTGTGCTCGGATCCTGCTGGATGGTTTCCCAAAGGCAACTGTTCAGACACTATGAGAACAGGATGCTGGGCTAGATGGGCCATGGGCCGGATCCAGCAGGCTCTCCTGATGCTGTCCCCAACCTTTTGGGGTCACTGGTGTCATGAATCCCATGGATACGCCATGGAGAGGATAGTCCAGTGTGGAAGACGAGTGAGAGGTACTCACAGAAGAGGCTGACCCAAGGGATGGTGCTAGTGGGACGGGGAATGAGACCCAAGTGGAGTCTTATCTGGAGGAGGGTCCCAGTGGTTTAGGAAAAGGGGGTCTGGATTATGGGAATGGGCCTAGTGGTCTGTTAAAGGAAAGACCCATCTCTGTAATAGCAGACACCTCAGGCGCTACGTCACTGTCAGCGAAGAACTCTCTTCTTCAGACAGGTCTCTGAGAATAAGCCCAACCGTGGCCAGACTTCACTGAACCCCCTACCCCATCCCACCCCCCATCTCCAGGGTTGTGGAGGCAACAGTGTCAGTGTGTGCAAACCCTGCATGGCCGGCCTTCATGGAAGAGTTCCCACGCACTGGTCCAGTCCCAAAGCTCATGATGTTACCCACACAGTCGTAGATTTTGCTAGGAAGGAGCAATGGAAGGGATGCTCAGACTCACCACATTGATGAGCTGGGCCAGGATAACCTGCAATTCTATAACGACCAGCTGTGAGGAGTTGAAGGCAGGGCGGATTAAGTTGTTGTAGCGAGATGTGTTCAGGAGGTGGTTCATCAGCCTCTCCTCAGCATCAGCTGTGTCACTTCCTATAAAAGAGGAAATGGCAACCAGGTCACAAAATGGCAGCACTGTGCCGCCATTCCTCTTGCTTGACTTCAGAGAGGATTGGACTGGAAACACATTGGGTAGGAGATTTACGTGACGTTTCTAGATCCCATAGTAACTGGGTTTCTTTCCTCACATGCTAAATAGGATTCAGTTTCTCGGTGGAGTCATTATAGGTCTATTCTATGACTTTTTGAACCCTCTAGGAAGAAGAGCCTCAAAAGCAGAATGACTCTAAGCAGAAAGCAACCATTTTAAAATTAAGAGCAAGCACATCAAATGGCTGGGCAGTTTCATTCCTTCACAGCCTTTGAGTAGAAAATTTAACCATGGGGGAAGAAACTATAAAACACGCCCCCATCACAGATACACACACACACACACACACACACACACACACACACACACCCAGCAACATAACCTTGAGGTAGTGGAACAACATTTTGTATGAAAATTCGTGTAACGAAAGCTTGATGGGAATCGCAGGCTTGGGAAAGAGCTTTAGAGTCCCGAAGCAGCCAGGGAAGGGGAGCTCATGTCTTCCATTCCAAATCCTTCCCCACTTGCTTAGCCCTCTTCCTGTCTACTTCTTTGCTGTTAAAATACCCCCAACCACTGAAGCCTCTCCCTGCCTGCCCCCCCCAGCTGCTTTACCCTTTCCCTGCCAATTTCTTCTCTTTCAAATGTACCAGCACCTGCTCATCCCTCTTCCCCACTCCAACTGCACTAATCCAGGCAAGGTCCATGTAAGAATATAATCTAAGAGCCAGACTCTTTATAAACTACCGATCCTATTCCACCGCCAAATGCTATTTTCTCCTCATTTTGTGGCAAATAGGGAGATGCCACTAGATGTCAGCAGCAGGTTGCTTTGGAATATATATTTTTATGTTGGCGCCTCAATGGTGCCCAAAATTCATGTTGTTCCTTCAATCAGTGTTAAGGTCCTTCCCCTTATTACTACTACTACTACTACTATGACATAAATTAAGTCCTGGGCACATTATATTCTGAAAGCAAAATAACCCAAATTATCGCCATCACTGTGTCAGATTACAAATTATGGCTAAACCTCTGGTTATTCCCACCACCACCAACCAATATGTGTGATTGGTGGTTTCCTTGCACCACAACAGGCTAGCAACTTTTCATTCAACCAATTAACATTGTCACCAGGGGGGCCAACCCTGTTCAAGCGGCCTATGAAAATTATTTTAAAAACACAGCAATTCAGTCATTTAAAAATCTGAATTAAAATCACTAACTGATACTTAACTAACTGATACGTTTCCCCTACAGCTGGTTTAATTATGCAGCAGTTTCAGTTCCACAGAACACACTTATCTAAGGATTCAAAGTGAGTCACTAGACCTCAGTCAATACAGCAACCACATGCCCACCTTGGAAACAGAATCAATTTCTTTCTTGTGAAGTTGGCAAATGCATTTACAGGCTCTGCAACATTGCAAAAACTACATGCAACTTCTTTTCTCTGTCTTCTACTTTAGACTGGCTAATGCCACTCTCCCTCACTTAATCCAAATGTTTATATGATCAGGATTCCTATTTGCAACAAGCAAGGATCCTTTGCTAGACTACGTAATTCCAGATTTTCTTTCTCCTTCTCTATGTCAGGAAAGAACAGGGAGGAAATGTAAATTTTAAGATGCCTCAAGGTCTTTATTGAATGCCATTGTTATTGCTTCTCAGGATGCTCTATTAGAACATGATTTATTCATGTTGCCTAAATGTTGCCTACTGCACTCTAGCAAAATCATGTCAGCATCGTGTCCGAGGCAAGTAAGATCTAATGGATCCTCACTTTAAAAACCTAAGTCATTTTTTAAAAAACGAAAACAGAACACACAGAGAGATATTTGTTTAGGTCAAAAGTCAGCGTTCTTTTTCTCTTTTTGTTTCAGCCTTAACTCTCCCCTCCAGACACATGCGATGTTTTATCGACAAAAAGTCCCTGTGCATAAATTCAGTAAACGAAGCACAACTTGGGTAACGAAACAACGCCTTCCTTTTTTGGAAGGACAGCAAGATCCATCGCCTAGTTAAGTCAGAGCATGTGAATTCGAGCCAGTTTGCTCCCTTGGAATCTGGTAGAACAAAGAGGGAGGCTGGGATGGGGTTATCGAACAACATGGCTAAAGTAATACCCTATTAAACGCCGCTCTGCACTGAGATGCTACGGAGACATCTCAATGCGGGAGGAAAACACCTATGCTCGGAATTTCAGCCGGGGGCTTGTTTTTACCACTTTCGCAACGATCAATTGCTTCTCGCTTGCTCAAATAAAAGGGTTGCAAGACCTCGAGCGTCTTGCTTCTGTAATTCCCATAAAGTGACAGGAAACTCCCTCCTGACATCTCCCCTCGACTCAATGCCCAGCCGAGGCACATTTGTTTGTCGTTCTGCTTTGGCACCGGTTCAGTTAAGCAGGTTTGTACTACATGCCGGTCTTCCTGATCCCATCGAAATCCTGTTCCGCGTAAATTGTGCTTCAACTTTCGTGCATTCCTCCCCCCCTCAAAGAAGCAATCCTGCTTGAAAGTTAGAGAAGAACCTTCGTTTCCCAAAGAATGGCTTCCCTCCCCCTCCCCGCCTTCAAGAAAAGCTCCAAAGCTCCCGTCCCTTTGCAGGAGCTGCATTGAAAAGAAAAGGCAACTCACCGTTGACATAAAAAGAAAGCCCAGCAAAGAGAGAGAGCCAGTTGATCTTCCTCATGGCAGTTGTAAGAAAGGAGGGGAGCCCTGTTCTGAGGGGGGGCTCAGCCGTCAGGGCAGGACAGGCAGGGGGGAAAGCAAAGCACCGCGGAGCTCCCGAGGCGCCCCGAGCAGGGAGGCTGTAGGACCCAGCAGGGGAGCCGAGATCCCTCCCTCTCCGCAGCTGCTTCCAGAGCAGGAGATGTGCAGGAGGCATCATGATGTGCGCTTGTGGGGAGAAGAAGGGGGAAGCCACGTCGACGGGCCACTGAGCGCCCTTGCCCTGGACGAGCAAATGGGCCATGTGACCAGCTTGCTTTACAGGGGTGGTTCATTAGCTAGATGCAATAGAGCGGGGGGGGGGGAGAGAGAACTGTGGGCCAAAGCAGTGCGTGTCCAGGCAGCACTTGCCCCCAGCACCACTGCAGGATAAATGTGGGCATCAGGCCTCCCCCCAGCTCACCCACACCCTCTCAGCTGAAAGGAAAGCAGAGAGAGCGGCCTCATGGTTCAGGGGTGGGGCACATGCTTGGCATCCAGAAGGTCCTGGGTTCAATCCCTGGCCCCTCTGGGTAGGGATGGCTCCTGGCCATGATGGCTAGGCTGTGCCTCTACAGCGGAATACCGGAGCGCTGCTTTTGTGCAGGATGTCTGACTAGCCAGGTCATTGGCTGATCCAGCAGCCTTTTCTTATGTTTCTGTTAGAACCCCCTGCCTGAAACCCTGGCTAGTTTGCTGCCCGTCAGTGCAGACCAGGAATGGGACCCCTGTGCCCTGCAGATGCCCTTGGACGCCTGACTGCCACCAACTGGGGCCAGTAGAGTTCTAATCCAGCAACACCTGGAGGGCCACAGATTCCCCACCCTTGGTGCAGGGAGGGCTGGGGCACATGGCCAATGGTTTGATCCGGGAGGCTTCCTGTGCTCCACCAACTTCAGTCTCCTACATGTAAGCTGGACAGAAGGGTGCCTTTGACCATGTGCAGAGTGCTTCTCCCCTTCTCATATTGCCATCATGTGGCCTCTCTGTTTGCCAGGGGAACAGCTGAGCCACTACCAAGAAATGAGGTTCATAGAGGAGCAGTCAGAGAAATATCAGAGGGGGCAGATTTCAAAGAAGAGCAGGGTTCTGGTTTGCATATTGTTTTGGAAAGTGTGAATTTGGTAGATTTGGCTTTAAATGCCAAATCTTTAAATGAATTGAATGTCTTCTCCGTCCCTTGCTCTGCTACCCCCTTGACCCTTTCTATGGTCCATATTTCCTCCTGCTTCCCCTTCCTTCTCTCTGCATCTTACGCTACTTTGCACTTTCTCTCGCGGTGTGTCTTTGTTAAGTTCCTTTGTGCATTGTCTGACTCAGGCTTCCTGCAAGCTTCTGGCTTACAAATCAAAGTTTCTGGTGGCAGGAGGAGCTAACTCAGCCTTGTGTCCCTGGGACAGGATCTTATTCTTCCCTCTGTCAGCAGCAGACTGCAAATGCTTTGGAGAGCCAGGCGCCATCCAAAGCCGGGGGGGGGGGCATTTTCCCTGGCAAGAGTCATCACCACCATCCAGTATTATCTCACAGCAAATCTGGGCAATTTGCAAGGTGGGTGGAAATCTCTCTCTCTCTCTCTCTCTCTCTCTCTGGGGGTGGGTGGGTGTGCTGTTGCTGCTCAGCTGTTGGTAGCCCTCGTTTTGTTTTGCTTTTTAAGAGGGCTTTATTAATTTATTTAGACAGATTTATAAGCTTTCTAAGTAGAGAGTTTATAACAAAATGATCAATAAAATAAGCTAAAGCCATATGGTAAAGTATATGTTACCTCTGTTAAATATTTGAAAACCAAGGACTAAATTATTTACAAAAATACAAATAAACACACAAAAACACAGCTTAAACCCACCAAACCATTAGAAAGCAAAAATACTCAAGGGAACCATAATTCCCCCCCCAAAAAAACTGTTAAAAATCTGCAGATAGGGGAAATATTGGTAATAAAGATGAACATACTACCAAGGATGATGTTTTTATTTCAAAGTATCCCAATACTAGGAGGAGAGAAATGTTTTAATAATTGGAAAAGAGATTTGGCCAAATTCGTGTGGTCAGGGGAAAAACCCAGAATAAAACATAAAATAATGAAAAGAAGGAAAGAGGAGGATTTGGCCTCCCTGACATGGAGTTATACCATGATGCGGTGGGTCTGACCTGGCAAAAAGAATGGATTAAATTAGACGATTCGGATGTATTGGATTTAAAGGGGGTAGAGACGAGATTTGGATGGCATGCCTATCTAATAGATGAGAAAGTCAAAGTACATAAAGGCTTCCTAGGGCATATAGTCAGAAAGTCTATATATAAAATATGGGAGAAATATAAAAGACTACTAGAGCCAAAAACTCCATGGTGGGCATCACCAGCAGAAATTGTCGCAGTGAAAAAATAAAATATGAAAAAAAATTGGGCTACTTATAAAACTGTATTAAAGGAAGAAAATGGAGAATTGGAATTAAAGGATTATACAGAAATTAAAGCTCATATTAGTGATTGGCTCCAATATATTCAAATTAAGTATAGATTAGCGAAAGATAAAAATATAGCATTTGAAAAAGAAATATCTAAAATTGATAAATATTTAATACAAGAAAAATAAAAAAAATCTAAATTATATAATCTGATATTAGAGTGGGAAACAAAGGATATATATATTCTTTTTTGTTTGCGTTGTTTATAAGTTAATTTAATAAAAAAATTAAAACGAAACAACTCAAACAGATGCTCACAAAGGTCCCCCAAGAATGCTAGCATTGACTGGAGTCAATGAAGTAAGAAAGAGTTATTTGTTTCTTTATTTCATAAAATTTATACAGCCAGTGTGGTGTAGTGGTTAAGAGCGGTAGACTCGTAATCTGGGGAACCGGGTTCGCTTCCCTGCTCCTCCACCTGCAGCTGCTGGGTGACCTTGGGCCAGTCACACTTCCTTGAAGTCTCTCAGCCCCACTCACCTCACAGAGTGTTTGTTGTGGGGGAGGAAGGGAAAGGAGAATGTTAGCCGCTTTGAGACTCCTTAGGGTAGGGATAAAGCGGGATATCAAATCCAAACTCCTATTTCTATTCTTCTTCTTCTTCTTCTTCTTCTTCTCTTGATAGTAAAAAAAACCAACCCTCAAAAGATAAAACAGTAAAATCAAGCAAAATTCACAACCTTACTTTAAAACATACAAAAGTTAAAATACTAAAACAGATTAAAATTACCTCAACTTTAAAGCATCTGGGTAAGCTTGTCTAAACAAGGATGTGTTTTAGCAGGCATCTAAGAGAGTACAGTGCTCTCAACAGTCAGGGAGAAAGTAAGAAAACTCGTGGGACTTTTGCATAAGAGAAGAAAATGGGAAAGAGCAGAAACTCAGCAAAACAAGAACACCTTGATGACAAAGCACTCCATCTGCATTTTCCAGCTCCTTTACTCAATGCAGATTAGTACACAAGAGCACTGAGGCCTTGTCTGCTGTTGAAACCTTACTTGTTGTCTGTGGCTCTTTTTCACCCATCTCAATAATACTTCCATTTGGGAACGAGTACTCTCTACCTGCCACAGACTTTCCAGCAAAGGGAAATAAGGCGCATATCACTCTTACTTTTCCTCTTTCCCAAGTGTCCTTTAAAACCTCTACTTGGCTACCTAGTTTTGCAAATCGGCTGAAATTTCCAACTTCCTTTTGGCATTAAAGGTAATTTTCAGACTTTTGATTAGGGTTGGAACATAAATATTTATGGATGTGGGAGTTCATTTCAGTTCACGTTTAAAGGCAAACTTACATAAGTCACACTTTCTAAAACAACCTGTGAACTGAAACACAGCCATCCTTCAAAATCTACACTTCGGTGAATTTTACAATGCAGTTCTCCAACTAAAATGCATATACAGTACCAAGGGAAATTGTGTATAGAAGTACCTTTATTACTGAAAATTACCAAAACAAACAAACAAACAAAAAAATCCCCCCTAAAAATTTGGGTGGATTTGCATTGCAGAAAATGTGTATTATAGCAGATATTTGCACTAAAATGCTGATGAATTTGCACAAGGACATTGTTAGTAAAATATGCAAGCTGATGTGGAAATATGGTAAATTGAACTTACAACTGGAAAAACGAGAAATTGAGAGAAAACAAAATTGCCAGATTTGCAAACTGACCCAGAAAAGTGGCAAACGTAATATTGGGGAAATAGGAAATGGAAAGGCTCCCAATCCCAGCATGGCCCCTGGCCTTGGTGATTTGGTTTCCTGGTTTGGGCAAACTCACCTGATGGACACTCCCTGGACAAATAACCTGGATCAGGATGCAGGGATGCTTCAGATCACACACTTCTCTAAATACTATTCTTGGCTCCCCAAACACCAAACAGCAGGGTTGAAGTGTCTATTTGGAGGTCAGACATGCAGACTGATGCAAAGATGGGACAGAATAATAGACCTGGGTTAGCTCAGCTGGTGAAGCATGAGACTCTCCATCTCAGGGCTGTTGCTTCGAGCCCCACATTGGGCAAAGGATTCCTGCACTGCCGGGAGTTGGACGAGATGACTGTGGTCATCCCTTCCAACTCTACAGTTCTGTGGTTCTAAGATTTTGGATCAGACGTATGAATGAGTACATGTAGCACTGAAATTGGTTGATCCTTCAATTTCCTAATTTGTTGGAAGGGCTACGTTAAGAGGGTGTTATTAAAAACCCATTTCTGTTAGGTATATAAAATCAACACAGTGTTTCAGGAAAAACAAGCCACAATAGATACAAATTTATCAATCATTTTTATAACATTTACATGCTGCCTTTTCTCCAAGCAGCCACTTCAGCATGGAGTGAGATCGGTGACCCTGAGAGGTGGCGAGTCACCCAGTGAGCTTCATGGCTGAGTTTGAACCCGAGTTCTCCTCAGACCTCGTTCCTAGGCTTGCAGAGTCCCACTGTTACACTGTGGTGGCTCTCATTCACAAGCCAATCATCCTACTTCCTATAAAGTAGGATGCCAAACTCCAGGGAGAAACACAAATATCAAAATAGCCCTCCTCACCTTATTCCCTAAAAAGGTAGGAAAGAGAAGGAGAAGCAAAGGAGAAGCAGCAGCTTCACAGCCTCACCCTTACAAACACAAAACCACCTGTGGAAAGTTTTCTTTGCAAACTAATGGCACTATTAATCTCAAAATAGCTGGAGGAATATCTGCCAAACATGCTGAAATGCAGAGTCCTCTGTTGCAAATCCTGCCTATGCGATGGGCAGCTGCTCTTGGCGCCGGTGAGGTCCTCTGGGTTGGATTTCGGCCTGCATCTGATTTGGCAGGAGATTCTGCTTAGGGTGCACTGGAGCCCAGCCCATTCCCGGCATGTTGAGGCTGGCTCAGTTGGACAGATGTTAGAGTTGTGGGTCAGGGGGAGGAGGGGGCTTCTTTCATCTCCTCCAGAGCACGGGGTCAATCCTGTCTTTCTGGAACAATGTGTTGGAGCAGAACTGCATGGCCCTAAAAATATGCGGTTTGGTCCATATCCTCCTCCTGTACTTGTAACACACAGAATGCTCAGCTCTGGAACTCCTTGCAGGCTGTCTCTCACGCGGCTCTTGTTCTGGAAGCAATTAAAGACCTATTTACTTCTGCAGGTCAGAATGTAGGAAAGGTGACACCACTGGTTAATTTTTATCAACAGCCATGTTAACATTGAAGTGGCCTCTACACATGGCCCTACTGGGACCCTGCATTCATTGCCTGAGCCCCCTTTTCATGTGTGGCATCCGAGGGAGGTGTGGAGGGTGACGACACAAAGAACAGGCCTTTTTAGTGGTGGCTCCCCAGCTGCCAGTATGCTTTCTCCACCAGGCCATTGCCCCTTGTGCCATCAACATTAAGGACTGAACCTGGGCCCTTCTGCATACAAAGCTGAAGCTCCGCCCTTCTCCTGCTTCCTCTTTCGTCCTGCTGCACCAGAAGTCGAGTTCAGGTCCAGAAACTGAAGTGCGTCCAAGATTTAATTGCTTGGCTGCGCAAGAGAAAATAATACAGTACTCTAATATCCTAAATTAGAGGTATTTTAAAAACCCTGAACATCTTGGCTTAGGTAAGCTAAATATTTGGAAATTTAAAAGGGGTCGTGTTTTTTCCTGCCTTTCTGACTTGGCATACACTATCAATAGTACAGGTTTTTTAATTGCAGCTCAGCTTTTGCATGCAGAAGCTTCCAAGTTTGATCCCTGCTAGCTCCTTTTATTTTATTTCATTTTAATTTTTTATATCTCATCTTTTCAAAACCCTCAAGGCAACTAACAAAAAAAAAGTATAACAGGTTTAGAAAAATATATCACATATCACAGATCTATGGTGCAGCCACATTTGGAATGTTGTGTACAATTCTGGGGACCTCACCTTAAAAAGGGTTTTGTAGAGCTGGAGAAGGTTCAGTAAAGGGCAGCCAAATGGATCAGGGAGATGGAGTGACTCCCTTGTTCAGAAAGATTGCTCTACCTATCTATCATATGATGAAGGGGGGTATATAAGTAAAAATAACTGTGGCTAAGTGGGGTTTCGATGCCACCTTGATGACCTGTAGAACTGAACGCATTTCATTTTTGTAACTTTTGTCAAACAGCTGCCCTTTTGCAGGAAGATGTGGATTCTCTTGTCCCATGAAGACAGAAGCAAATTAGCTCGGTGACTCTACAGGCCTTGCCGTTTGTCAGGGAGCAACCTCATCAGACATGCTGTGGCTTCAGCCTGCCTCAGAGAACTTGCGCTCAAGGCAATGGCCTGTCAACTTGGTAAATCTTCAGCGACTCATGGAACAGCCAGGCAAAACCCTTGTGTTGACTTCTGGGGAAAGCATGGAGAGGAAGACACATTTCTCCCTTCTCTCCCCCCAAGGAACCATCTCCATCTGCCATCTGATCATAGCTTAGGGCTGCGACAGCAGTCAGAAGGGAACAGGATTTGGGCCCCTAGCGCTATTCTCCTCACCTTCCGTGCCCCCTGACAGCAGAATACAATGTGGCGCTTGCTTGGCAGAATGTATTAGCATCCTCAGTGATAGGCAAGAGATATGCCTGTGATTCCCAAATCCAAGATGCTCCTTGGAAGCCCCCTCTAGTATGAGGCCTGGTGGGGGGAGGGAACCACCCAGAAGAATTTGGTGTCTCACATAGAGCAGGTAAAGCAAGTGAAAAGAAACCCAAGTGCAGCCTGGGGGTAAGAAATCAGCCCTGCCTTTTCCATGTCTCCTGGCAAAGCAGGAGCCAGCTGCCAATTGCAAGGAGAATGAGGGATGCACAGCTGAGCTGCAAGATGTCTTCTCCATTAAATGCCTCTTGGGCTTCAGGAAGAAATTGCCAAAGATCCAGAAAGCTGAAAGCCCCAAAAGCAAACCCCTCAGTCGCCCAAGTACTCTCCCACCTGGGATATAGTAGGAAGAGACCTGGGAGACTGCAGTGCATAGGTCAAGACCAAGACTCTCTCTGTCTGGTTTATTTTATGGGTTGTTGGGCAAATCCTTCATACCAGCCATAGAAATGGGGGAGAAATTCGGTTCAGTTTGAATGGTGAATCTACCTAACTGCACTTTCTGAAAGATTAGGCAAACTGAAACAGATTATTTGGAGAAATTCACAGGAAAACACTGATTAATTTTCATGGGGAAAAGTTAAAACTGATGTGGAAATAATAGAATCATAGAACAGTAGAGTTGGAAGGTTCACCCAGGGTCATCTAGTCCAAACCCTGCAATACAGGAATCACGGCTAAATAATCCCTGATGGATGGCCATCCAACCTCTGCTTAAAAAGCTCCAAGGAAGGAGAGTCAACCACCTTCTGAAAGAGTCCATTCCACTGTTGAACAGCTCTTACCATCAGAAAGTTCTTCCTAATGCTTAGTCAGAGTCTCTTTTACATATTGATTTGAATCCATGGGTCTGGGTCCTCCCCTCCTGAGCAAAGCTCCAAGTGCCTTCAGTTATTTGGCTATCCAAATCACATCTCCTCTTCAACAGGCTAAACGTACCCAGTTCCCTCACCGGAAATATGGATAACTGAATTTAAGACAGCAAAAAATGAGAAACAGAGAGAAATAAAAATAGACAGATTCTCCAATATTTGCTGACTGAAGATGGCAGTTTGTTACGCTTGCCCCTGTTCTGAGGTTCTAGTTGTTTCCACTGCATGTTTTACTCTGCAGGCAGTGCAGTGATCAGGCCACAGAATGATGTCACAAAACATTACCTTGTCATCCTTACATCAAGGTAGACTGCTACAAGTCATCAACCTGTTAACTAAAGACTGGAGTGGGGAAGCTGTGCATTACAGAGCATTGTATTCCAGGCGTGTGGAGTTGTTCCTGGCCGCTGAAATGCGTTCTGCAGCTTTGTCATTCTTTCTCTTTAGTTTTCTGCCTGCATCGTAAAAAGTACCAGAGGCAAAAATGTCCAGTTTTCTAAGCTGAAGCTGCCTGAGGGTGACCTGAAAGTGGGGGATATTGACATCAGTCCCTTGTCATGGTCAGCTCACTTCCTGTTGAGATGCAGCTTTCAGCATCTTTTCCCTTCAGCAGAGGTGGGGGACCTATGAGGACGGTCCGTCCTCTGAGGCTGATGGGTCCAAAGGCTTTTGACTTGGCTCTGGGTGATTTCGCGGCTATGACTGGCTGACTTGTGGAACATCTGAATGGCTTGGGTCGTTAACACAATTGCCCATAAGCACCCTCTCCTATTTTGTGGAGCCTGCTTGGCTCCTTGGTATCAGAGATGGGTTTAAGGCAGCACAACTGGTCCCTCTGCTCTGGGCACTGAGTGCAGGGGCACTGCTGGGCATCACAACTATGACATAGTAGTGAATAGATGTGCGCGCCAGATTTTGGTCTCACACTGGATGCCACTACAGATTGAAAGATCAATGCCCACCCCTATTGGTTTACTCCAGAACTTTAGGACAAGGAAACAAGCTGGGACACGCCTCAAACACAAGTGGAGGAAAACTCCACTCACATATAATCAACCACTGGTGAGGGCTTATCATTGAACCTACTTAATGGCAGTGAAAAACGAAGATCATGGCCACTGGGCCCATCACCTCCTGGCAAATAGAAAGAAGGGGAAGAAATGGAGGCAGTGAGAGATTTTACTTTCTTGGGCTCCATGATCACTGCAGATGGTGACAGCAGTCACGAAATTAAAAGACGCCTGCTCCTTGGGAGAAAGGCGATGGCAAACCTAGACAGCATCTTAAAAAGCAGAGACATCACCAGTAGTGATATATGGAAGTGAGAGCTGGACCATAAAGAAGGCTGATCGCCAAAAAATTGATGCTTTTGAATTATGGTGCTGGAAGAGACTTGAGAGTCCCATGGACTGAAAGAAGATCAAACCTATCCATTCTGGAGGAAATCAGCGCTGAGTGCTCACTGGAAGGATAGATCCTGAAGCTGAGGCTCCAAGACTTTGGCCACCTCATGAGAAGAGAAGACTCCCTGGAAAACACCCTGATGTTGGGAAAGATGGAGGGCGCAAGGAGAAGGGGACGACAGGACGAGATGGTGGGACAGTGTCCTCGAAGCTACCAGCATGAGTTTGACCAAACTGTGGGAGGCGGTGGAAGACAGGAGTGCCTGGCGTGCTCTGGTCCATGGGGTCACGAAGAGTCGGACACGACTAAACGACTAAACAACAACAACAATGGCAGTGAAGGTAGCAAAAAAGGCATATGAATGGAGAGCGTTACACTGCATCTTCATGAGCCTCTTCTTGAGGAAGGTTCTTCAGTGGGTGGTCGCAGACCAGATTCAGGCACTCTTGGAGGAAACTGATTTTCTAGACCAATTTCATTTGGGATTTAGGCCCGCTTTCGCACAGAAACTGCTTTTGTTACCTTATATCAGGGGTGCCCAAACTTTTTTCAAAGAGGGCCAGATTTGTTGTAGTGAACCTCAACCTTAACCCTAGAGCCAACCCTAACCCTCACCCTAACCCTAACCCTCACCCTCACCCTAACCCTAACCTCAACCCTAACTCTAAACTAAATGCCAAACCGAAACCTAAGCCTAACCCTAACCCTAATCCTTACCCTAACCTCAACCCTAAACCTTACCCTAACCTGAAGCCTAATTCAAACCTTACATCTAACCCTAACTCAAAGTTCAACCCTAACCCTGACCCTAACTCTAACCTCAACCTCAAACCTAACCCTCCCCCGACTTCTGACCCTAACCCTAACCCTTTAACCCTAAACCTCAACCTCAACGCTAATCCAAAACCACAACCTGAACCCGAACCCTAACCCGAAACTCAACCCTAACCCTAACCCTAACCCTATCCCTGACCCTGACCCTAACCCTAACCCTAACCCTAATCCTAACCCTAAACTCAACACCAACCCTGACCCTAACATTAATTCTAACCCTACCCTAATCCAAACCTCGACTTCAACCCTAAACCTAACCACAACCCTAACCCTAACCCTAACATTAACCCTAATCCTGCCCTAAACCAAACCTCAACCTCAAACCTAACCTCAAATATAACCCTAACATTAACTCTAACCCTACCCTAATCCAAACCTCGACCTCAATCCTAACCCTAACCCTAACTTTTAGCCTAACCCTAACCCTAACCTCAACCCCAACCGTAACACTAACCCTAACCTCAACCCTAACCCTAACCTCTACCCTAACCTAAACTCAAACCCAAAACCTAACCCTAACCTCTATCCTAACCTGAACATTAACCCTAACCATAACCCTAACTCTAACCTCAAACCTAACCCTAACCCTAAACTCAACCCAAACCCTAACCCTAATCCAAACCTCAATCTCAACTCTAATCCAAACCTCAACCTCTACCGTAACCCTAACCCTAAACTCTACCCTAACCCTAACACTAAGCCCATCCATAACCCTTACCTTTACCATAACCTCAACTCTAACCCTATCTCTATCCCTGACCCTAAACTCAACACCAAGCCTGACCCTAACCCTAACCCTAACCCTAACCCTAACCCCAACCCCAATCCCAATCCCAATCCCAACCCTAACCCTAACCCTAACTGTCAAAGCTGCCTCAGGTCTCAGCTCACAAAAGACCAACGCCAATCTCTTCTTATATACAAAAGTGTTTATTGCAGTTCATTGTTTGCTTCATATCCGAGGCGCAGCCCCACGTCTGTACGCTTAGACCGTTGAAGTCCCCTCTGAGTCAGTCCCTCCCCTGCACCAGTTTAAGAGCCTTGCGCTGCTCCACCTCTTTCTCTCTTTCCTTTTCCTCAGGGTCTTCCTGCCCGCTGGGGTTTCGCCCCTCCTGGATTCCCCTGACGCGCTATCCCCCGACTGCTCTTCCCCCCTCCTGCGGGCTTTAGGACCTGGCTCTTCTTCCGGGCTCCCTGTACTTCCGCGCGCCTCTACATTTGAACTAGGCGCGCGCGCCCAACCTCTAACCTTCCTTTTGACAGCTACACTACTCCCTTCACTACTCCCCTCCCCTTCCGGGAGGGTGGCTTGCTCCGACCTCCCTCCCTTCTCTGCTGCCGGAGCTGCTTACCTGATACACTGGAACCTCCATCCCCTTCGCTGCACTCTGGCGGGAGGCTGGTCCTGACGCCCAGCTGCCACTTTGGGATCCCCGCTGGCCCCCTGTTCCTGACACGTCCCCCTGGGGCTCCCTGGCCTTGACCACTGGCGCCCCTTCTGGGAATCCTCTGATTCGCTGGAAAGACTCATGGAATCTCTTGAGTCATTGTCATCCTCTTCCTCGCTGTCCTGGGATTCATCCCCATCGCTCTCCATCTCCTCCCTACCCTGTGCCTCTGTCCCTGAACCCCTGACACTAACCCTAACCCTAACCCTAGCCCTAGCCCTAGCCCTAGCCCTAGCCCTAGCCCTAGCCCTAACCCTAACCCTAACCCTAACCCTAACCCTAACCCTAACCCTAACCCTAACCCTAACCCTAACCCTAACCCCAACCCCAACCCCAACCCCAACCCCAACCCCAACCCCAACCCCAACCCCAACCCTAACCCTAACCCTAACCCTAGCCCTAGCCCTAGCCCTAACTCTAACTCTAACTCTAACTCTAACTCTAACCTCAAACCTAACCCTAACCCTAACCCTAACCCTAACCTTAACCTTAATTCTAACCCTAGCCTATACCCTAACGCTAACCCTAACCTCTACCCTAAATCTAACCCTAACCTCAAGCCTAACCCTAACCCTAAGCCTAACCCTAACCCTAACCCTAACCCTAACCCTAACCCTAACCCCAACCCCAATCCCAATCCCAATCCCAATCCTAACCCTAACCCTAACCCTAACCCTAACCCTAGCCCTAGCCCTAGCCCTAGCCCTAACTCTAACTCTAACTCTAACTCTAACCTCAAACCTAACCCTAACCCTAACCCTAACCCTAACCCTAACCCGAACCCGAACCCGAACCCGAACCCGAACCCGAACCTCTACCTCTACCTTAACCTTAAACCTAACCCTAACCCTAAACCTAAACCTAAACCTAAACCTAACTGTCAGGGGTTCAGGGAGAGAGGCACAGGGTAGGCAGGAGATGGACAGCGATGGGGATGAATCCCAGGACAGCGAGGAAGAGGATGACAATGACTCAAGAGATTCCATGAGTCTTTCCAGCGAATCAGAGGATTCCCAGAAGGGGCGCCGGTGGTCAAGGCCAGGGGAGCCCCAGGGGGGACGTGTCAGGAGCAGGGGGCCAGCTGGGCATCCCAAAGTGGCAGCTGGGTGTCAGGACCAGCCTCCCCGCCAGAGTGCAGCGAAGGGGGTGGAGGTTTCAGTGTGTCAGGGAAGCGGCTCCGGCAGCAGAGAAAGGAGGGAGGTCGGAGCAAGCCATCCTCCCGGAAGGGGAGGGGAGCAGGGAAGGGAGTAGTGTAACTGTCCAAAGGAAAGGTAGAGGTTTGGCGCGCGCGCCGAGTTCAAATGTAGAGGCGCGCGGAAGTACAGGGAGCCCGGAGGAGAGGCCAGGTCCCAAAGCCCGCAGGGGGGGGAAGAGCAGTCTGATTCCGCGTCAGAGGAATCCAGGAGGGGCGAAACCCCAGCGGGCAGAAGGACCCTGCGGAAAAGGAAGGAGAGAAAGAGGTGGAGCAGCGCAAGCCTCTTAAACTGGTGCAGGGGAGGGACGGATTCAGAGGGGACTTCAGCGGTCTAAGCGTAGCAGACGTAGGGCTGCGCGCCTAGGATGTCAAGCAAACAATGAACTGCAATAAACACTTTTGTATATAAGAAGACATAGGCGTTGGTCTTTTGTGAGCTGAGACTTGAGGCAGCCCTGACACTAACCTTAATTTTAACCTTCGCCTATACCCTAACACTAACCCTAACCTCTACCCTAACGCTAACCCTAACCTCAAGCCTAGCCCTAACCCTAGCCCTAACCCTAACATTAACCCTAACAACCCTAACCCTAACCCTAATCCTAATCCTAACCCAAATCCAAACCTAAAACCTCTACCTCTACCTCTACCTCTACCTCTACCTCTACCTCACCCTAACCCTAACCCTAACCCTAACCCTAACCCTAACCCTAACCCTAAGCCCATCCATAACCCTTACCTTTATCATAACATCATAACCTCAACCCTAACCCTATCTCTATCCCTGACCCTGATCCTAAACTCAACACCAAGCCTGACCCTAACCCTAACCCTAACCCTAACCCTAACCCTAACCCTAACCCTAACCCTGACCCTGACCCTGACCCTGACCCTGACCCTGACCCTGACCCTAACCCTCAACCTCAACACTTAACCTAATCTTAACATTAACCTCTACCCTAACCCTAACCTAAACCCAAACCCAAACCCAAACCTCTACCTTAACCTTGTGGATTTTTTTTTTTTTAAAGTGATGGAATGCCATTGTTGGCCATTGTTGTTCTTTTTACTTGGAAGAAATGGTTTTATCTGTGCTCATTTGGTAAAGTCCTACCCTTTACCAAATGCATTTGCATGTCAGTTGTTGACCACCCAAAATCATCATTTTAAAATTCATTTCTCCTCCCCTCTTGAATTCTAACTAAACTATCCCTTCCTGAAGACAATTTAGGATGGCAAGTTTATACAGAAATATGAAATCATGGTACTGAGAGTGGTTGCAGTTCTAACCTCACTTAGCACTGAATTAAATGGGACTGATATCTAAGTAGCCATTGTTAGGTTACAATGTGGTAGCACCCTGAAACTGTCTTTATTTACTTTGGTGTAATAAAAGCATTGGCTTTCTTTGTCTTATTATGTTCTCCCTGTTTCCTTAAGCAAATGGAAATTCCAGGGACAGCACTAAAGTGTTTCGTTTTCTCTGGATGAGAGCATCAGAGACTTACAGTGTCTTCATCATATTTGCTTTATTTACAAACATGCAAATGGAGCATTAAGGGAAGCAAACAGCAGGCTTGCCTACAGCTGATCCTGGGGGAGCACATGGCACAACTCCTTCCTTACCCACTTCCAGCCAATTATTGCAAGAAACACAGCTCTCTTCTCTCCATCTTCCTTTCCTTTCTCTCCAGCAAACTACAAACTCATAACCCCCCCTCCAAACACACACACACACACACACACACACACACACACACAACCTGCACAGCATTGTTCTGAGATACCAGCCCTGCAGGTAGAACATCTGCGGCGATTAGTGTGTGCTCAACATCTCACAGACAGGTTTGTATTGCCTGATTCTCTTAGTAAGGGCCAAGACCCCGTTCCCCAGTCAGTGCTCATGCTATGGGAGGAAAGTCTTTAATCAAATTAGCAAGCCCTATGGAGTATTGGGTGGCCACTTCCACCTCAACAATAAAAGGACTGGAATCCGGCCCACCCGCCGATTTAAACCGGCCCCCGTGGCAGTATATGTCCTGGGGTAAAATCCTTAAAAAAGCTCAAAAACTTTGGGGTAAAATTATTAAAAAACCTCAACAACTTCAATCCTAAAAAACAACAACTTTGGTCAGCCCTTACGTATGTTCAATTCATCAAATCTAGCCCTCTTTGAAAAAAGTTTGGGCACCCTGGGTGAGGGTGAGGGTTGGTGTTGAGTTTAGGGTTAGAGTTAGGGTTAGGGATATGGTTAGGGTTGAGGTTAGGGTTAGCGTTGGGGTTAGGGTTGAGGTTACAGTTAGTGTTTGGGTTGATCTTAGGGTTAAGGTTAGGGTTAAGGGTAGTGTGAGTATTAGGGCTGAAGTTACAGTTAGGGTTAGGGCTGGCATTAAGTTTAGCGTTAAAGTTAGGGTTAGGGTTGAGATTACGGTTAGTGTTAAGGTTGAGCCTATGGTTAGCGTTAGGGTTAGAGTTAGAGTTAGAGTTAGAGTTAGAGTTAGAGTTAGAGTTAGAGTTAGGGTTAGGGTTAGGGTTAGAGTTAGAGTTAGAGTTAGAGTTAGGGTTAGGGTTGAGGTTAGGGCTAGGGCTAGGGCTAGGGCTAAGGGTGAGGTTGAGGGTAGGGTTCGGGTTCAGGTTAGAGTTAGGGTTTGGGTTAATGTTAGGGTTAGGATGAGGGTTAGGGTTGAGGTTAGGGTTAGGGTTCGATTTGAGGTTAGGGCTAGGGTTTGGGTTTGGGTTTGGGTTTGGGTTTGGGTTTGGGTTTGGGTTTGGGTTAGGGCTAGGGCTAGGGCTAGGGCTAGGGCTAGGGCTAGGGCTAAGGTTAGGGTTAGGGTTGAGGTTAGGGTAGAGGTTAGGGTTATGGGGATGGTTAGGGTTAGGGTTTGGGTTGATCTTAGGGTTAAGGTTAGGGTTAAGGGTAGTGTGAGTATTAGGGCTGAAGTTACAGTTAGGGTTAGGGCTGGCATTAAGTTTAGCGTTAGAGTTAGGGTTAGGGTTGAGATTACGGTTAGTGTTAAGGTTGAGCCTATGGTTAGCGTTAGGGTTAGGGTTGAGGTTAGGGTTAGGGTTAGGGCTAGGGCTAGGGCTAGGGCTAAGGGTGAGGTTGAGGGTAGGGTTCGGGTTCGGGTTCGGGTTCGGGTTCGGGTTTGGATTAATGTTAGGGTTAGGATGAGGGTTAGGGTTGAGGTTAGGGTTAGGGTTAGGGTTAGCGTTCGATTTGAGGTTAGGGCTAGGGTTCGGGTTAGGGCTAGGGCTAGGGCTAAGGTTAGGGTTAGGGTAGAGGTTAGGGTTATGGTGAGGGTTAAGGTTAGGGTTTGGGTTGATCTTAGGGTTAAGGTTAGGGTTAAGGGTAGTGTGAGCATTAGGGCTGAAGTTACAGTTAGGGTTAGGGCTGCCATTAAGTTTAGCGTTAGAGTTGGGATTGGGTTGAGATTACGGTTAGTGTTAAGGTTGAGCCTATGGTTAGCATTAGGGTTAGAGTTAGAGTTAGGGTTGAGGTTAGGGTTAGGGTTAGGGTTAGGGTTAGGGTTAGGGTTAGGGCTAGGGCTAAGGGTGAGGTTGAGGTTGAGGGTGAGGGTGAGGGTGAGGGTAGGGTTCGCGTTCGGGTTAGAGTTAGGGTTTGGGTTAATGTTAGGGTTAGGATGAGGGTTAGGGTTGAGGTTAGGGTTAGGGTTCGTGTCAAGGCTGCCTCAAGTCTCAGCTCACAAAAGACCAACGCCTATGTCTTCTTATATACAAAAGTGTTTATTGCAGTTCATTGTTTGCTTGACATCCTAGGCGCGCAGCCTTACGTCTGCTACGCTTAGACCGCTGAAGTCCCCTCTGGAACCGTCCCTCCCCTACACCAATTTAAGAGGCTTGCGCTGCTCCACCTCTTTCTCGCCTTCCTTTTCCGCAGGGTCCTTCTGCCCGCTGGGGTTTCGCCCCTCCTGGATTCCTCTGACGCTGAATCCCAGACTGCTCTTGCCCCTCCTGCGGGCTTTGGGACCTGGCCCCTCCTCCGGGCTCCCTGGACTCCCGCGCGCCTCTACATGTGACCCTGGCGCGCGCGCCAAACCTCTAACTTTCCTTTTGACAGTTACACTACTCCCTTCACTGCTCCTCCCCTTCCGGAAGGGCGGCTTGCTCTGACCTCCCTCCTTTCTCTGCTCGCCGGAGCTGCTTCCCTGACACACTGGAAACTCCACCCCCTTCGCTGCACTCTGGTGGGGAGGCTGGTCCTGACGCCCAGCTGCCACTTTGGGATCCTCCGCTGGCCCCCTGCTCCTGACACGTCCCCCTGGGGCTCCTGGCCTTAACCACCGGCGCCCCTTCTGGGAATCCTCTGATTCGCTGGAAAGACTCATGGAATCTCTTGAGTCATTGTCATCCTCTTCCTCGCTGGCTTGGAATTCCTCCCCATCGCTCTCCATCTCCTGCCTACCCTGTGCCTCTCTCCCTGAACCCCTGACAGTTAGCGTTAGGTTTGAGGTTAGAGTTAGGGGCTAGGGCTAGGGTTAGGGTTAGGGTTAGGGTTAGGGTTAAGGGTAGTGTGAGTATTAGGGCTGAAGTTACAGTTAGGGTTAGGGCTGGCATTAATTTTAGCGTTAGAGTTAGGGTTAGGGTTGAGATTACGGTTAGTGTTAAGGTTGAGCCTATGGTTAGCGTTAGGGTTAGAGTTAGAGTTAGAGTTAGGGTTGAGGTTAGGGTTAGGGTTAGGGCTAGGACTAGGGCTAAGGGTGAGGTTGAGGATGAGGTTGAGGGTAGGGTTTGGGTTTGGGTTAGAGTTAGGGTTTGGGTTAATGTTAGGGTTAGGATGAGGGTTAGTGTCAGG